GACTCACAGGCTGAAAGCTCACCAAAGGCCATGCCAACCGCTGCTGAAATGCCGTCCTTGACTCCGACGGCCAGCTCTGGACTGGCCTGTAGCAAGTGTGCAATATGGGGCTGCTGTTGCTCGAGCAGAGCGCGGTTGACAACCTTGTTGAAGATGGAATCCGTGCCCACGGGTCGAAACTTGCCATTGGCCTTCTCCAGGATAGTGTAGTTGATGGAGCAAAGGGCATGTCGACTCGACTCGGGCACGGTGTTGTTGGCAATGTGGTGAAAGATCTTGTTCAAGGCAACCTGAGGGCCTCCAGTGGCTGTGGTGGGGCCCTGAGGCGCGTCTCCATCAGAAGGAGCAGTCGGGTCACTGGTAGAACCCTGGCGTGGGCCCAAGACTTGACTGAAGTTCTCCTTGATGCGGTAGATGGAGGCAAGAAGCTCACCAGACCAACCATAGGGGTCGGTGACACCCTTGGTGGCCGCCAACGCCTTGGGGAGCTCACCCTTGGTGAAGGACACGTTTGGGGAGCTCACAGCCGTGGCTGGTGCCAGTGTAGACGTGGAGGCGGGTGTCGAAGCAATGTACGGGGTCAGCCCGGGCGGTACCAAGAGGTCGCGCACGGCCTGAACCTCAGAATTACCAATCACGGCACGAGCCTTGTCGGCATCAAATGCTTTGGCAATCTGACCTCGGTTCAGACGGTTCGTGACGTGGTTTGCCCAGGCTTCGTCCGCCAGGTCCGGGTCGCGGACGAGCGACCTGAGGCTCTGGTCGACTGCGTCGTTCGGGTGGGCGCCCGCGCCGGCGTTCAGCTGTCCTCGACGGCTCTGCTTGCGTGCAACTGCCTAATAATAAATTAGGTGTTTGAACCTCAGAGCTGAAAGCAAAGCTGTGCAACCCCGACATCAAAATCACGACGGCACGCAAAATAACACAAGAGAACAAGGTACATTCATTGGCTTCTATCATGCCAAGAGGTACAAGCGCGAAGAATCACGCACATAGAAACAAAAATCGTACAAAACTACCAAGTATAACCAGAGATACGGCCATTTCAAACATTAGACACACAAAAAGGCAGTCACACATCACAAAAATAAGCCATCACAGCACGAACACAAAGAACACCACGGCACGCTCACATATAACAAGAGACAGCGTCGGGTTGTAAAGGCAACCGACCACAGAAGGAAAAGACATCATACAAAGGACCTTACAAAAATTCAGCAAAAATACCACACAAATACATTAAAAATTAAGCAAAATTAAAACAAAAAAACAAGTCAAGCCATGAAAAGATCACAACGAGGAACCACCCTGGGAGCGACAGGTGCACACAGGGATCCCCACAGAGGGACCCCCGAGACGGTGCCTACCTACGACGAGCGCAGGCAGACACCGCCAAAGTGGCGCCTTGCGCATGGCGTCCACGACCCGACCTAGTTGCCCCGTCACAAGCCAACGGAGACGATCGTGAAACATATTGCGCAGGTCAATCGTAGACAGTGCGGTCGAGGGGGCAGACAACAACATGCTAGGCAAGGCCAAAATCAAAGCCCAGCACATCTCTCGCTCTTCAGCGGTATAGTCCGAGTGGACGGCAGACCAATACAGCTGGCTCAAGGTGGCAGCCATCAGCTTGGTCTCGGTGGCGTTGGATGGGTAGCGGCTGCGCTGCATCAGTGGATGCCGGGCGAGCTTGAGCAGCTCGCAGACACTGATGCGAGACCCTACACACTGTTGGGGCCAAGCGCCACGCATAATCTCAAGCAGGTCGTGTCCAGCCGCATGAAACAACGCCTCGGTCGCTCGCTTCAGATTGGCACCACATCGGGAGCGGTGTTGACTGATACCAGTAGCTTCGAAGAAGAGGTGACACTTGTTGCACTGGGCGACCAATTTGGCCTCCATCACCTGCTTGACCAGATCAGTGGCTTGCTCGTCGTAGGGGTGCTCGCGTAGAACATGATTGACCCAGGCTTTGCGGTCAAGGCGGGGCCCCTTGCATTTGCAAAGCCCAAATGGGCAGGCGAGAAGTTGCCTGTGGCCAGATGTCTTCAGCAGGACCTTGCGCTGGGCATCCAGCACGTTGGCAGCGTTGGGCGGAGCGGGATCGCTGAGAAGAACATCTTGCTCACTCTCACTGTGTTCGCCCGCTGTATTGTGTGTTTCACTCTCACTGACTTCGCCAAGTGGGGCTGAGTTTGTATGCTCACTGTGTTCGACAGGATGTGAAACGGCAGCGGGCAAAATGGCAGTGGCAGGGGGTGAAGCAGAGGGCGGAGAGGGATCGGAATGGGTTTGTTGTGTACCCGATGGATCTGGCAGCACCATTTGGGCGGGTGTAGGTGATTGCACCAATGGCTCAGGCGTGGCACTGCCGTTTGTGTCACCGTCACCATGATGCGCGGGAGGGGCGATAGGGGTGGGCGCGCGGAGTGCGGTGGAGCGAGGAGGGGAGTCGCTTTCATCCGAAGACATGGTCAAAAAATCCGATGGTGTGTTGGGAATCGAATGATGTGTCTGCCCTATGGACTTGGGCGAGGGTTGCTGCTCCCCGCTGCCATTTGGCTCAGAGGGCACCGATGCTGACAAATCCTCGGTCACAGGGGCCAAAGATGTGGCAGTGGCGGCGGCAGGCATTGCCGCAGCAACTTGAGCAAAGGAGCGAGGGCTGGATGGCGTGCGAGGGGTGCGGGGAGAAGCATTGGAAGTGTTTCCGAGAATGGGAAGTTGCTCCCCGCCGCCGTTTGACGTCCTGGTCACTGGCTCGGCCGCGGGCACGACGGCACGTGCCGAAGACTCGGTCGCACCGGCAGCGGGGGACGTCAAGGGCACATGAGACGAGGCACGAGCGGTAGGGACAGAGTGGCGGGCGTGAGGGCGAAGCGGGGTGGTCATGGGGTCAGGGAAAACATGGTTACGGTCGTGGCGAGCGCTGCCATGTTTCGTGTGTTTTGCAGAACGATGAGTTTGGGAAGGCGAGGTGGTTGCGTTGCTTGGAGGTGATTCGGCACTCGGGCGCTTAGCACCGCGGACTTGGGTCCAAGAATCCTCGCCGACGGACTCAGTGGCCATGTCCGCGGGGCAAGCTAGCGAGCAAGCGAGCGGACACGGTGGGAGCGAGGGCGCCGCCAAAACGCGGGCCGCAAAGAGCGGGGTTGCAGATTTTGTCTGACAACGTGGTTCACGCCAAGATGTCAGAAAAAAAGGCTTTGACAAAGGTGTGTTTGCAAGCACGGTTCAAGAGCTCGGACAAGCCTGACGTCAGACTTGGGGGCAGCGTGTAGAGGTGGTTGATGAGGCTAGGCACGTACTGCATGGCCGTGAGGAGGGCCTGAAGCGAGACACCGGTCGTCAGCATGTCATTGAGCTTGCCAGCAATGTGCTTCGCCTTGTCGTTCAGCTGCTTCTTCATCCACTCGCGACGGCCAATCGGCGTTCCCAAGACCGTCATGCGCGTGTTGGCCGTCTCGCGCACGGCATCTGGCAAGACAGACTTGATAGCAGTGATGGAAGCCGAATGGTGGCGAGGCATGTAGAAGCGGCTCTTACTGGGCTGCAGATGAAGGCGCGCAAGAGGCCAGGGACCTTGTCGGCCACAATCTCGTGCAGGCGTGCTCGGTCGGTGTAGTTGAAGGCACTCTTGAAATCGAGGGAGAGCATGGTCCAGCCCGGGGTAGACTCACAGGCTTGAAGCTCACCAAAGGCCATGCCAACCGCTGCTGAAATGCCGTCCTTGACTCCGACGGCCAGCTCTGGACTGGCCTGTAGCAAGTGTGCAATATGGGGCTGCTGTTGCTCGAGCAGAGCGCGGTTGACAACCTTGTTGAAGATGGAATCCGTGCCCACGGGTCGAAACTTGCCATTGGCCTTCTCCAGGATAGTGTAGTTGATGGAGCAAAGGGCATGTCGACTCGACTCGGGCACGGTGTTGTTGGCAATGTGGTGAAAGATCTTGTTCAAGGCAACCTGAGGGCCTCCAGTGGCTGTGGTGGGGCCCTGAGGCGCGTCTCCATCAGAAGGAGCAGTCGGGTCACTGGTAGAACCCTGGCGTGGGCCCAAGACTTGACTGAAGTTCTCCTTGATGCGGTAGATGGAGGCAAGAAGCTCACCAGACCAACCATAGGGGTCGGTGACACCCTTGGTGGCCGCCAACGCCTTGGGGAGCTCACCCTTGGTGAAGGACACGTTTGGGGAGCTCACAGCCGTGGCTGGTGCCAGTGTAGACGTGGAGGCGGGTGTCGAAGCATTGTACGGGATCAGCCCGGGCGGTACCAAAAGGTCGTGTAAGCGTCAAATCCGTGCTTCCACGCATTTGAGCACTCCCACTGCTTTCGCACACACTCAGCATCGGTCGCTATGGGTCTTCCTATTGGTATCCCATAGCTGCTACGACCTCACACATTGACACCTACACTTGGACCCCCTGGCCCAGATCCTCCTCGTGGGAGTCACATGAGTAAACACCGCGTGTGACGCGGTCCCCACGATGCCTGGGCAGCTGCCCTGGGGCAATAAGCTTGTGACTACTGTTGTTTCCCTTTGTTGTGGCACCTGCGGTCGGGCACGAGTTGCACTTTCCCTATCCTCGGGATTGAGCGACTCTACAGCTATTCAAACGGTGCACCTGGTCTAGTCACTGTGAATGCTTGCCGACCGCAGCTGGTACAATTGACCTCAAGACACCATCAAAAAAAAACACGTTGTTTTTATCAAAGCATTCGCTCCGTCCCGACGGACGTCTCTCAAACCTCTCTCAAAACGCTTCCTCAAATCTACGCCCTTCCTCGCAACCCAAAAACGGCCTCCAGACGTGCTGGAGCCTCACAGCGCCACTTTTCATGGTGTCCGTTTTTCCGTTGCAGATGCGATCATTTTCTCATTCGGAAAAAGAAACTGAAAATTCTGAACGACTCATTCTTGCGGTTTTGCCGACCCTCTCAGAATCCATCCTCAAGGGGTCGAAAAAGCCGATTCTTGCTGTTAGCTGACAAATGCACTTGCAAAATTGAAATTTATCATTCATTTGATCATCATTCTGGGAGAAGACTGTGTCACTGTCTTCATGGAGGAGCCTGCTACCGCATGTTAGACTTAATATACGAAGAAGATCCGCCCTCGCCGTCGCCTTGACATTTGTTTCTCTCGTCTGACGAGTTATCTTTCACACAGTCGATTCATTTGAGGGAAATCAAGAGGTCATCTCTATGATCATCACTTGAACATTGGATGGCAAGCACGGACGCACTCAGGCCAGGTCTTGTTCTGACTCAGCTCAGCTTGCCCAAGGATTTTAATCGACAACTTTGCATGTTCCAGGCACTGGCGAGTCTCTGGTCTCATGGAGCGCGTCGTCACGAGGTAGTACCGGCACTGCAAGCTCGGGATAGCAAAGCGCTCACGGTAGTCAGATATCTTTGCGGCTTCCATACTTTGCCAGCGTCGAAGCACGGCCATTGCGTCATCCTGCTTGAGCTCCCGCGTTCCCAACTTCAGCTGCATGCAATGCACCAGGACATCGTCCCCATCGCGCTGGAAAATAACGCCGTCGGACCCGTAGCTGTCTTTGCCCTTGATTGCACTGTCCTTGAACAAGATACCATTGAGCTCGTCCACCAAGGCGCGCTTTGGCAGTGGGTGCACATCAGCGTTTTCGTTGAGCACATCAAAGCCAAGCCAGGTTTTGGCGCGCATTCCCAGGATACGCAGCGCAATGGCTTCTGCATTCTCGTTGCGAGCCAGGAGATGGCCGACCTCTGCTGCCGACACCGAGGGTCCGTCTCTTGCCGCACACACATCATGATAGACCTGGTAAGATCCAAAAGCGACCATCAAGCGGTTGGTTGGTGAATATTGCATTCGGATAAGACCGCGGTCAGCCAGGGTGTACCAGCGCTCCAGAACATAGGATTCACGGCCATACAAAAGTTGAAGTGGCATAAAACGCAAGGCCCCTGCAAGAGCCTGGACAGCTCGCCTGCCTTCAACCAAAACAGCTGTGTCCAGGTTGCCGTCGCAATCCCCGCCGTCGCTGTTGCTACCAGAATCCAAGTTGTCACTGACATAAAAGGTGGCATCAGCACAGACAACATTTGACAGGCGCACCAGCTCGTCGCATTTTGCCTCATCCTTGGCGCCAGCATTGTAGGCCAACTCGCCAGCGCTTGCGTCGTCCATTGCGGACGCCATGAGACCGGGGAGGCCTGACGAGCTCACGTAGGTAGACAGAACGCTGGTCAAAGGATTGTGTCTGGTCATGAACGTCAAAAAGTCGCTTGCATCCAGGATGGGTTGCATCCACTGTGGTTGTATCTTGTGTGAGTTGAGGTTGAATGCCTGTTTGTAGCGTTTAAACCCTTGGTCCTGAGCCTGGCGGACATCCATTTGACAGAACGCCAGTGCGCGCAGGTATCGGCTGCTGCCGGTCGCGACCACATAGAAACAGCCCTCGTCACGCCCCACGAGACAGGTGAGATCAGCTAAAAAGCGCCTCGATGCTTTGTCAGAAAATTTCTCGGTGTACACGTCCTGCAGCTCGTCTAGAAATAGCGCCAACACCTCTTTTCTCTGCTTCAGGTGATTCTCGAGCAGCTCTGCCATCTCGTCACTCGTGCTGTCGGCCCAAACACCATCCTCCAGAGGGCAGCCAAGAGGCTTGGCAAGAAGATAGAAAAGTCCGTTCTCGACGCCTGCCTTCTCAGGAAGATCGCCGACATTCAACATCAGAACTTTCAGGCGCCTGTCCAAGCGCTCACCCAGCACCGCTGGGCAGACTCGGCACAGCTCGTGCAGCAGCACCGTTTTGCCAATGCTCTTTTTGCCTAGCAAAAGCATGTTGTAGCGGTTCTTTCTCTTCAGGTTGCCAGACACGAGTTGTGCCACGCGTGTAGCCATCACGCGCACAAGCCGCTGCCGTGACTGGTCCAAGAACAATCCGCTTTTTTCTTCTTGCATGGCCTCGACGATACCTTCTGCTATCTGACGAAGATTTGAACCCGTCCGAATGACAGAGGTCCGGACCTCTGTCTCGCAGGGTCCTTCTGCCATCATTTGAGGTACCGAGGACTCAAGGAGCGTGTGCAAGAAAAGGCGAGAAAGGTGGATCGAGCTCGTTCACGGCGTGAAAACGGTTTTAAGCCGAATTATTTATTCTTGAAGAACATGTGTTTTGGCCGGTACATGTATACTGTAATAATGCCACAGCTTTCGCTCTCTCATTCCCAGATAGTGAGTCGTCTGACAACAAGTTTCGAGCCGTCGCGATGAGTTTAGAATCAAGTGAGAACGTAAATTTGGGCTAAAACAATCCAAAAAAGCTTAATGTGATGCATTTGTGTCCTCTGAAATTCCAAGGGTGATTGTCCAAAGCCCTGAAAGTGTCTCGTTCTCTTGTGTTGGTTCGCGGGCCGATGTCGGGGTTGCGTAGCTTTGCTTTCGTCCACTTAGTTTATTATTACAATAATATACATCACACATCAACGAACTAGTGATTCTGTTGATCGCGTAGTGGTTCAGGCGTCTGACTTTTTAGTCTCTCTCTCTCTCCCTCTCCCATGCCATGCTATAATCTATTATGCCATTCATAGCCTGATCCGTACGGCGGCGATCTGCGCTTGCGTGATCTGCTAGGGACTTATCTGCTCGGATGCGATCTGCACGGGCCGGAGTAGTGGCTTTTTAAAGCCCAACTGGCCTGATCATGCGAGGTCAAGTCTGTTCGGCCTCATCTGATCGAACCTATTCTGTTCAGGCCTGACCTTCTTGGGCTTGATCTGCTCGGGCCTCATCTGATCGGGCCTGCTCTGTTCAGATGCGATCTGTTCAGATGCGATCTGTTCAGATCCGATCTGCGCCTAATGACACGAGGTCAAATCTGCTCGAGCTGTTCTGTTCAGATGCGATCTGCACGGGTCTCATCTGATCGAGCCTCATCTGTTCAGGTCTGACCTTCTTGGGCGGGATCTGTTCGGGCCTGATGATGCGAGGTCAAATCTGCTCAGGCCTCGTCTTCTGGGACGGGCCCAATGATACGAGGTTAAATCTGCTCGGCCCTCATCTGATCGGAACTCATCTGATATTTGATGCCGACAAGACTCGTGCCGTGATTGGTAATTCTGAGGTTCAGGACGTGCGCGACCTGTCAGGCTCCAGCACGTCTGGAGGCCGTTTTTGGGTTGCGAGGAAGGGCGTAGATTTGAGGAAGCGTTTTTGAGAGAGGTTTGAGAGACGTCCGTCGGGACGGAGCGAATGCTTTGATAAAAAAAACGTGTTTTTTTTTATGGTGTCTTGAGGTCAATTGTACCAGCTGCGGTCGGCAAGCATTCACAGTGACTAGACCAGGTGCACCGTTAGATTTGCTGTAGAGCCGCTCAATCCCGCGGATAGGGAAAGTACAACCCGTGCGCAACCGCAGGTGTCACAACAAAGAGAAACAACAGTAGTGACAAGCTTATCGCCCCAAGGCGTGTGCCGGAATCGTGGGGTCTAAGTGTAGGTGTGATGTGTGAGGTCACAGCAGCTATGGGGGTTTCAGTGGAAAGACCCATAGTGACTGACACTGAGTGTGCGAAAGAGTGGGAGTGCTCAAATGCGTGGAAGCACCGATTTGACGCTAATAAATCGAATTTGGAATCAGTTTGACATCACCCACAACGCAAAAACTCATTCTCATTCTTGGGTTTGCAACAACGGCCATTTGTGTTCGCAACAGATGACAAAAAGTCGACCAAAAAACACCATTAACATCTGAACAAAAAACATGAACCACAAAACATCTAGTGGCTGCTGTGAAGCAAAGTGGCTAGACATCGGTGATGGTTCAAGCACCTGTCCAAAACGATGGCGAAGCATCACTGTGGGTTGCGTGAATGATGCTGGCTTGACAGCATGTGAATGAATCCTATGCTCATGATGGCAAAAGACAACAGCAAAAGTTTGACATCACTTTTGCTGTTGTTCTGCTGCGGGCTGTCCGAGCACGGACCTGACCCCTGATTCATTGGCCCCTGACTCCTGTTGGTACGCTCCAAAGCCTGAAACCAAAATTGTTTATTATCAATTTTTTTTAACAATTTGTCGTTAAATTTACGCATCGCCATGAAGCCAGCTATGGATTTGAGCAACAAAGAATGAGCAAAAGCCATGTGTTAATCGCCGTAGGGGAGTTCATCGAGCATTATCAAACCTGGATGTCAAATGGCGTTCCTTTTCCAACTGAAGGCGCTCAGCGCGAATCGCGTCCGACTCTTTGCCAAGCCGAGCAGCGAGCGCATCCAGCGCTTCCCTGAGGCGGGTGCACACACGCAATTATCGCTAAGGAACCGGTTATCAGCTATGAGCCGAAGCGCGGAGCAGACAGTTTCTGGACCAACCTGTCACGTCGCAAGCGTTGTTCTTGATCCTGAAAATCGGTTGCGGCTCGACGGTCCTTTTGCGGGGTGGGCTGAAGAAAACTCTTTTCTTCGTACCTGCACATAGACACCAACATCCATCAACATAAAAACCAGGTTTGGCAAGGATAAAGACGATCATGCCAACCTGTGGTCCGATGAATTGAGAAGCAAGGCTTGCTGTTGCTCAACAACAGCCCGAAGCTCTTCAACTTCCTGTTGTAATTGTGCTGGTGGTGCATGACGTGCAGCACGGCCGGACAATTGAATAACTTCTGCCCAGCTTGCGAATTGCACAAGCCAAGCTGGAACCGTTAAAAGCTGTGTCGTTCTCTAGCAGAACTGACCTGGGTTGGATGTCAAATGTAGCCCGTCAACGTGTTGCTTGAGGCGTGCCATCTTGTTTCGAATTGACAGGGAAATGCGATCTTGTGTCATCGCGACTGGGAGCTGAAAGTGTCCATCGTTCAGGTATTCTGCATGACAATTGCGTACAGGGAACGGGCGCCAATGCTATAAGTCCAACCGGGGTGAAACTCCGCACACCTCAGGTGGCTAACATGGGTGGGCATAAGGGGAATACTCACCAGATTCGTCCAGATTATCTCCGGTGTCAGCCGACATGACTACTCACATACAGTTGAAAAAGCGCTCAAAAGCGTGAGAAAGTCGAGTTCAACAAGATGCTGTCACGCAAAGTGCTTTGGGCGTCACGTTGTGTGCGCACAGGTGGCAAGGAGCAGGGGGTATGATCAGCGAGCTTCTTACTGCTCAAAGCGTTTTTCATCATGTCAACCAAGTCTGTCTCCAGGGACTACGGGGCGTGGGCCATGAAAGGTGAGTACTGCAATTTAAGAACAAATCATGGCGGTGTTCTTGCGGCAAGCGTACGCACAGCCAATGTGTCACGGAGAACATCATTTTCGGAGCCCAGTTGCTGAATTCGCTCAGACAGCTGCTCGTGTAAGACAGATTTGAGCGTCTGGTGACCACTAGAGGCGAAAAGAGAGCATCAGCAAGGCGAGCGAAAATGAATGTAAGATGCACCTCGAGACGCAACACCTTGCGACCTTGCCTATTCTTCAAAGAACGTACTCTTGAGGCTTGGTCCATTTGCCACGGCCTGATGATTCGATTCGGTTGAGTTCCGTGAGCGTCTCAAACGCATTGGATGAACCTCGTTGACGCAGCATCTTGGTCATGATGGACAGGTATGAGGGCACACATAATACAAGCTGCAGGCGCTGCTCCACGTTGTAATGGCATACAAGACCTGGGGTCTAGTGCTGTTGGAAGCCATTCTGCACATAGTGCCATGGCTCGAACACACGATAGACAAGGGGCTTGATGCATGCATTTTCGAGGGGTTTGGAAACTCACTTGGTCATATTTGCTCTTCAGGGCATCATGTTCCTGCTCTGACCGTCGGCGAATGTGCTCAAATTGTGTTATCTACTCAAGAGGGCGCCACCATATTCGTCGTGAATGTTTGAGCTGATAATATCGGCGTGACTGGGTGCACAGGCCAAACAGCAGTGTACCTTTTGTGTGGCATTGGCCTGCGCACGGCGTGCAGTTTCCTCGGCCTCTTTGCTTGCTTGTTGCGCGCGCTGAAGTTTAAGCTTCAATTGACGCATCTCCTCTGTTTGCTTGGCTGCTTCTCGTTCCAGCTGCTCAATTCTTGCCTGTTGGGCGCAATTCGCGACGATGAATGCGTGTACTCAGACAAAAGCGCACAAAAAAAACAGGCGCGGGGATGGCCTGACGACTAATGTAAACAGACACGGCGATGTGAACCACATATGTTCCTACGTACGCGGGCTTGTTGCCGTTCCAGCTCCAGCTGTGACACGTCATCGCGGGCCCGCGAGAGACTAGAGTACAAAATGAGAAGGCCATGGCGGCAGGGATCAAGGAGTAGACAGTCGACGGCGAACATGTTGTTGAGAATGGTTGTGAATTGGTGGACAAAGCGTTGTGCAGAAACATCAAACGGCGCTTGAAAAAATGATTGTGCCGCAGAACCAATCAAGAACTGGCTTGATCTTCAAAAGTCAAACACCAGGAAATACGCACTTGTCTTCCAGATCGTGGCGCACACTCTTGCGCTCATGGAGGCGGTCTAAAATAAGGTTGACAGTGGCCGCAAGCTGATTCTGAAGCTCTTTGCTCACGAGTCGAGGTGAGAAGGATGAGGGGTCATGCATACACGAACAGGTCCAATGAGTACAGCACGGGAAGTGACTAACCGGCTGCAATACCAAGATTGCCGAGGCTCATGCGTGGAAGGCCCATTTGAAAAAGACGCTGCGGGTGAGGTGCAGACCGCCGTTGGACACAACATTGAGACTTGAGGTGCTCGTGAAAGCAAGTCCTTCGTCCCTTTCGCCGAGGTGGCTCCCAGGGTTTGACGCACCGCATCGAGGTTATCGCCAACTGTCTCGGCGCTGTTGCGGTCGCTGGCCTCGGCAGATGACGCGACGTGCTGCACTGGCCGCAGGAAAAAGTCGCCATCCTCCTCCTCCTCGAGCAGGAGCATGTCCAGCTCACTCATGATTGACATCGCCACAATTTTTTTGGACTGAAAGAGTAAGTGTAGAAAACGAAAGAGAAGAAAGAAGAGGAAGAGGAAGAAGAAGAAGAAGAAGCAGAAGAGGAAGAGAAGGAAGAGGAAGAGGAAGAAGAAGAAGAAGAAGCAGAAGAGGAAGAGAAGGAAGAGGAAGAGGAAGAAGAAGAAGAAGAAGCAGAAGAGGAAGAGAAGGAAGAGGAAGAGGAAGAAGAAGAAGTGTGTTGGCCCGAGCAGTGCGCGTGGATCAGGAGGCGCGTGAAGGAGGAGGAGGAGGAGGAGGAGTGAGAGGCCGTGACGAGGAGGAATGACGACGCTGCAAGATTTGCTTACGGCGGATGCCGTCCAACTGGTGCGTGGATTTGTTTGCCTTGGTGGGAAGCCCAGGTCGTTGTTCCGTGACTGGCGCGGCCTCGTTCGACTTGTCAGCTATGCTGCTAAACACGAAGATACAAGGCAGTTCTGACCGGGGGCGGGGCGTGCGCACGTGGATTGATCGGGCTGTAGGATGATGTCTTTGACATCAACGACTTTACGTTGGCCACACCATGGGAAGAGTAAGTCTTGGCTTCCGTGCCGGCCAAAAGTGAGGCCGAGCGACCGCGCATGACGACCTCGGGTGGCTCATGTTTGTTGTATCCACAGATTTATTGCCGAGCTTGAAAGATTCTTCCGTCATGTGGCGGAGGAAAAGCATGGTTTTCAGAAGAAGCTCAACTTTCGCGGTCGCGACTTTAGCCTCCAACTTTTCGTGCTCAGTGACACCCTCCCAGAGTCACCGCACCGCACGGATCGCCAGCTCTTGCGCAGCCTGAAACAATGTGCTGGAGGTTTGTTTATCATCCTTTTTTGTCTCGAAAGCCCATGCGCTTTGTCTTTTGCGCAGTTCTGGATGCTCGTCGACGTCTTACGCATGCATTAATGTCGGCTAGTGGTTTCGCCGGTGGCCCGAGCCATTCTGTCTCAGTACTTTGACGTGCCCATGGAGCTGCATCCCATTGCTGCACGGTAGGAGTGCTCACGCCCCATAACCTCTCAAGCTGAAGCAGCCATTTGCATACACACCTTCTTTTACATCCGCGTTCCGATTCTATTCATCATCTCTTTCGTCTTGTCTTCTTGTAGTGTCGGGGTGACATCCTTCGTGCTCCTAACCCCAATGGCCTCCAAGTACTCGAGCAAGGCACGCAGTTGTGATGATCCTTGCGCGAGCTCTCCAGTCCATTTTTTTCGCTGCTTTTGCTTGGCATTCCTGACTGAGACGAACCAATGTTGTGCAGGTATCGACATCCGAGGCGCACTTGCTGCTTTCTTCAATGCGCATCGCTGCTACCGCCTGCCGTGCCAGAATCCCTTTTTTCTGCCAAGTCAGTTGCTTCGTGATCCGCATGCTGCCTGAGTTATTGTCTTTTTCTGCGCGCCGTATCCCTCAACCCATGGTTGCTGTTCTTCCTGTGCTGAACAGATTGGCGAGACTCGCGATGGCACCTTTTTGGGTGCACACCAAGGAACGGCAGCGGTGATGGACATGTCTTCGACCATGCTGCCCTCGGTTCCACCCGCCTTTGCTCAACTCGACGGTCTCATGCGCCTCTTTCGTTCCAAGTTGCCAGCGGTTCGTTTGTGCAAATGTGCTGGAAACTGCAGGTCCCCTTGGAGATCCTTCGGGCTGAGGTATTCATTTTGATGCTGTTGGCATAGACCGGCACGGATGTGCAGTGCTCGATCTCTGTCTGCCACCATTACGTCATCCGGCGATGGTTTGATCGATGGGCTCCAAGGCAAGCTTCGCAGTCGTCCAAGGCGCCATCCCCCAAATCTGCAGTTTTGACGCAATCAGTGGCGGCATGTAGTTTCCATGAAGCGATGCACCGTCTTTGGCAGTGCTGACCTTGTGCCCACATTCTCTCTTCTTATTATTCGTCGCTCCCGCCCCCGCCCTGCCCCCACTTTTTACTTTTTGATGTATGCCCACAGTGAAAGCAATCCTCTGCTCAAGGCATCAGCTGTCCAGGGAGCATTTGCGCAGCAACTGACACTACCATTCGGGGCTCGCACGGATCTTTTGCAGTATGTTTTGCTCATAAAGCCTTTCACCAAATTGTTTTTTTACGCGTGTCGACTGGCCTTTAATTTTTGCTGATGCCTTTTGTTCCGTATGTTTCTGGGCATCGGTAGATCCATTGACGTGCGTACGGTCTGGCCATGTCTGAAAGAGTCAAGCGCCGTGGAAAACGCAGTCTACTCGTCCCTGTCACCTCTGTCAGCGGCTATTTGGCACCTTGGCTTTCAACTTCAAGAGCCGGCCGCAGGCTATACTGGTGCGATCATCCAATCATTTCATCGCTCCTATCCATGTTGTCCTGCTCTCCTGCCAAACCCAACTGACCTGGCCTCAACTGTTTCTGCGTTACCTGTGGTAGAGTCCATGCTGCTGAAGCTTCTTCGCGTCCTTCCAGATACCACCATCCTCCTCAATCTCATTGAGGAACAGGCGGCTGCCGAGGAAAGTCTGGATGGGCCCCAGTCTGGCAAGGATGCACTCAAGAGACTGACGAAGGAGCCACTCTCGACCGATGGCTTGCTCCAAGTACGTTCTTTTCCGGCTCTTGACATTGGCCTTAAACCCTCAAGTTTGCTTCATGCTATGATGCCACCTATCTCCCAAGTGTTGGCCTCGGTTCATCTGTTTTTTTTCCCCCCTTCCACCATCGATTTGCAGAATGTCCGACGTGTCCGCCAGGTTGGACAGTCAGGCATTGTCAACTTGGGCAACGCCGTGCAGGCTGCCGTGTTGCAAAACCTACGCACTCGACGTCAGCGCACACGTATGTATGCACTTTGTGCCTGCGCATGCAGTCTCGGCCGTCTCCCAACCTGGGCCTCGAGGCAGTGATCCAGGGCTGTTGATTGGAGTTGACCCGAGATGCCGAGTGCGTGGGTGGATTCTCATTTTGTGGACATTTTGCGCTCGGATTGCAGGCCGTGTGAGTGACCAGTCACGCATTTTTGAGATTAATTTGGACGATTCTCTCGCCACCACATTTGTGCGTGGGGATGTCAACTACACGGGCAGCGGCATCCGGGTACGTGGCCTCTGGTACCTTTTCCTTGTCTATCCATTGCCGTGCTCACGAAAGGTTTGGTGCGTAGCTGGGTCGTGGAGCCCCGGTCGATAGCTTGACCTATCAGCTCGGCCTACAGCTGGCTGCCTTTTACTTGTATGCTGGAGGCTTGCAAAGTCTCGCCACGCTTTGGCACGAGATTGTTCTGGAGCTACGGTATGTGCCACTGTTTTCCTCGATGTCGCCAAGCATGACATGAGTTTTCCTCACTGGCACACTTTCTTTTTTTTTGTGACTCAATTGGAAAATTGCTTCCTATAGCTACCGTGTCACAGAGCGCGTTGCTCTCCCAAGCATTGAGGGTCATCCTGATTTTAATGCATGCCTGATTCACCAAAAGCTTCAGCTGATCAACTACTGTATTCAAAGGTGAGAGGAAGTGCCAGTCAGCTTGCGCCTTGCACGGCACGCTTAGGTCTCTTCGCGCTCATGATCATTTTGCGCAGACAACAAAAGGTAGCAGAGGCGCGAGAGAAGCACCAGTCACATGCCACTCAGTCCCGAACCGAGACAGAACCAGAGCCGGTGGCCGCAGGCACAGCCTCTGATGGCGAGGACGAGTTCCATGATGCTTCAGACTCACCTCACGAGGTTATAGCTGCTGCCGAGGCAGCCCGCGAGCCCGTGGGCGTGGCCGAGGTACGGTGGTCCCTCAATACGCTCGAGAGGGAGCAGCATGATCGGCTCGGATCGCTTTATGTTTGACTTTCTTTTTCGGTTTGCGATTCAGGAACACGCAACGCTGAAGTTGCTTGGCAGTGGCGCTCCTCTGCGGGTGCCAGAGACTCAAGAGCCGGGACCGCTGACGGAGGACGTTTTCAAGGCCAAGCAAGAGGAGCTGGTGGCCATGGGTAGCTCCGCAACAGCCCAGGAAGCGCGTGCACACTTGCAGGTGCGAATAGTTACTGGATTGCTCTGCATCTGGCCAGATTCATGTTTAACTTTCACGGCTCGGCTTTTCATTTTGGCTATACCGATTCTGCTTAGTCTCTGTCGCTGAAGTCGGACATGGAGGCTTTCAAGGCCGCTAATCCTGGGTGCCAGCTAGCCGACTTTGTTCGCTGGCACTCACCCAAAGATTGGATCGTAGAGGAGGGACACGATGCTACAGAAGGTCTGTTGTAGCGATGTCAAAGCTTGGTTTACTTCAGCAAAGGTATCAACGGGCATGATGGTCACGACTTTGTGTGTGATGCCAACAATGAACATTGGGATGCAGGTCGGCTGAGCAGTCGTTTTGAGGGCGCGGATAATATCTGGTTGCGGGCCTGGGACGAGGCAGCTCCAGTTCCCGTCTTTCGGCAGCGACAGCTGTTTGATTCCACGCGTGAAGCCGAAGACGCTCTTCACTACCTCGAGCGTATCAGCGTGGGCGAGTTGTTGAGTCAGCTCTTCCCCTGTATCTTGGATCACAGCCTTGCCACAGTTCAAGGTGTGGGCTGCTGTGACTGTTTTCCCCCGTTGGCCCGGTTTCGCTCTCGCTGACCGACGCCTGATGGACGCAATCTGCTTACAGAACTGACCGGGGCACGCAACGACTTGACGTCGGATGTTGCCGCTTTACTACATGCCAGTGCTGGCTGCTGTGAGCAATGGGATGTTGATCGTATTCAGGTCAGCCATCATGCCAGCTTGGCTTCTTTTGCGCCGTTCTTGCCCCTTTTTTGAATTAGCCCACTGATCAAGTCTTTTCATGGATTACTGATGATGATTGAAAAAAAAAAAAATGCTCTCTCTGCAGGAACTGATTCAGCGAATTGGTCAGTTGGAGCGCGCCGTGTCTGTCTATGAGGGCCTCAAGCATCGACTTGGTTCAGCTTGTCAAGGGCTTGTGGATGAACTTGTCGTAGCGCAAACCTGCAGCGTACAGCAGGCCGATCAGCGCGAGGCACTTTGGGAGCTCATGCAAGAGATGGACCGTAAGGAGCCCTGTCTCGAGTCACGGGAATACTTGATTCGCGGCCTGACTTCGCCAAGCGGTGGCGCCAGCTCTGCGCTACCGCAGCGCATGTATGCGAAGATCACTGACAATGGCTTTCTGCTCTCTGGTGCATTTTGCACGGATGCTACGGCACAACTCGTCACGTCAACATAGTGAAGATCAATTTACACTCAGTGATGATTCCATTAAAGCGACGAGGTCGCCCAATCACGACACATGTACAGACTCTGGCATTGGTGTGCATCAGGATACTGGCGATTAGACTTAGCGACGTGAATGTTTATTCGATCGACTCAATCGATCGTACGCTCGGTTCAATGGTGGTCGGGGTCGAAATTGGCGTGCACTCCAACTCCTGAATGCGGCCGCGTAGACGGGCAATGAGAAGCAGAGCAGCATCTAAACTCTCGGGAGTGCTTGTCATTAGGTCTGGCGTTATTATAACGTTATCGTTAACCAAGCTTGCTTCCTGTGGCGGCGGGAGATCGGGTGATGATGCTATAGGGTCCCGAGGCGGCGAAGGCAATTCGGAAAGCTCGGGCATGGACAACAACTCCGAGGCCTCAGGACGAGTCCAGTGGTTGAGGGTAATCATTCGCAGGATGATAGTGTTCTGTTGATGCGAATGCGAGCAAAACACGTGAAAAAGAAGGGTCAATGGTGAGATCCATACAGGAAATGCAGAAAGAAGTTTGGGTGGGGCAAGGCATATCGAGAGGACAACAGAGGTAGAAATGACAGGATTGATGTCGTGATGATAGCTGGTTGACTCACCCAAGGGTCACGGCTCGCTCGGCTGTCCACAGGGAAGCGTCCTGCAACACGAGAGGCGAGGCACAAGCCGCGTAGGTCGGCAAACGATGAGACAATGCGATACAGCCAGGCCCACGTTGAGGCTCGCAGGGTCAAAGGGTCAATGCGCTGGCGCACCGTTCTTGAGCTCCGTGAGATGAAGACGCCGCTCCATCTCGGTGCCAAATAAAGTTAAGAGCTCAAATAAGACAATTCCTACGAGTAGTATGAATGTGCTGAGGGCTCTGGCTCTGCAGCAAACACCTGATGCATACAAACTCAAACCATGTCAGAACCAGGGTTGCTCGCTGGCTGTACCTAGCGAATATATGTCACATTTGTGGTCGTAATCCCCATGGGATTGTGTCAGCTGCTCGGGTGCCGCATATGTGGCGGTGCCGACACCTGTAAATCAGAGCCCAGGTCAGTGAAGCTCAAATATGCTGGTCTCATAGCTCACACAACAGGTTGCAATGAGCGCCGCTGATAATGCATACCAAAGGAAAGACTCGGCGAGCCAGGCGCAGACGCCAAAACGATTGCTCCAGCGGTGGCGTCCGAGGTGTTATTCCACGTGCGCAGCTGTTTGACTAAGCCTAAGCCAGATCGAGCCCAGTGCAAAGTAAAAGACCAATCAAGCCAAATCAAACCAATCAAGCCAAAAAATCAAACCAATCAAGCCAAATGAATCATGAAACAGCATGCCACGAAGCGGTAAAGCTTTTCTACGGACCAAAGTCACCCAGCTTGACTTCGAGCTGCGATGATGCCCGTCTCAAGAAAATGTTGTGCGGCTTGATGTCTCGATGAATGATCCCTTGCGCATGTAGGTACTCAACACCTGCAACGGTCAAAATCAAGATTCGACACGTAAGCCAAGCCAGAGGATACATGCTCATGATTTGTAAGGCTTTGGGGTCACCCGCACGTCTTCACCTTCGAGTGTTTGCCGAAAAATTTGAAGTGCTTGTCTGTGAAGGGGAATTTGATGAGAGAGGGTGAAGGTTGACAGCACTTTGAGATCACCGACTTGGAGCGGAGACTTGCAAAGCCTTACATCATGTCAACGTCGGATCGACGCGAGAGCCATTCATGAAGCGAACTGTGACAGAGCTAAAAAGGAATAGCCACGAGCAAAAAAACAAACAAACCAAAAACGCACACAAACAAACAGAGCTTCAAGGTCAGCTGATCAGCGAAAAAGCCGGATGTCTGAGTTTACTCTGGCATGACGCCAAAACCGACCTGCATCTGAATGAAGAGGACTACGGCAGGCGGATCGACGCTGGCATCATTCACGGAGGATGCCTGAGAAGCATCCATCAAATCAGCATGATGCTGGGCCGTTCCCACCTCGTACCAGGCTAAGAGATTAGATTATCACGGGGGCGTGAGCATACAGAAATAGGCAGCACAAGCCCATGAACGCAATGCTGAGCGTGCGTGGTGGCGGATGAAAGGGGTGGACTGACCGGCATGGTAGCGCACAATGCGGGGGTGTTCAAGACGGGCCAAAACATGCACTTCTTGAAATATCTTTTTGCCTTCGTGCCAATGCTGCAGTGGGACTTTCTTGATGGCATACTCTCGTTGGTCCACACGATTGCGCGCACGAACAACGCTCCTGTCAACGTGCCAACAGCGTCAAAGGTCCAATGTCAGATACCAAAGGAAATTGAAAACAAGAAAAAAGAAAAAAACAAAAAACAAAAAAAAAAAACAAAAAACAAAAAAAAAAAAAATTTCAGCAGAGGTCCAATAACCACTCGAAATTTTACCCAAAGCCACCGGCGCCCAAATGCTCTTCTTCAATAAAATCTTCCAAGTAACGAGAAAGGGCGGCAGAGCCATGCTGGCCGCTCAAGCGACTTGGCGGCCGCCAGCGGGTCAGCGGCAAAGGTGCCAGGCTTACTGAGCCTTTCCGATCAGGTCCAGCAAAGCTGTGCGCGGCATGATGTTCGAGACTGACTGCAGCACGCAAACCAGCAAAGGTCTTCTAGCACATCAGCATCAAGCAGGCAGCGAGCTTGTGTGAGCCATGGACCTGGACAACTTTTTGGACAGAACATGCTTAGCCTTACAGCCAACAGCTGATTATTAGGACCCAGAAGCGCCTAATACATTTCAGTGAGATGAGTATTAAAGGTTTTAAGGTATGACCACTCATTGTGGAGAAGTGATACGTCAGCATGGGGGAGCGAGGATTTTTGGGGAGCGAGGATTATCAGGCCATCGACATACATCCAAGCGTAGTTCGGGTTGTGTTAGGGCTGCATACAAGGCCGGCGCAAGAGAGGGCTCAGCCCCAAGCGAGGCACACAGCTGCCGGATTTGAAAAAGAATTGTGGTTTGGCGCTTTTTCTATGATCAAACATCGGCATCAGTGATACTCGACTCGCCCAGGAAGAATCGGGGATACAGAAGGACCATACCTCGTCATTTGCCGAGTGTGGAACCACGGCACCCGGCCTTGGCTGTAAATCAAGGGCGTCCATGTCGCTACCATACGGAAATTGAGGCATTGAAGAGGCACGGGTCAAGCTGCTGACGTTGCCTGCCGCATGGGCGGCTCGGCGACTGGCAACAAACTCGACATCGTCCCAGCTTGTTTGCAACAAGCCTGATGGGCCATCAAAGCTGCCATTGCTAGGATTCAGGCTTTCTCGCGAGAGGGCTTCAAGACCAACGCTTCCTGCTCGACTCAAACTATTGTTGCTGCTGCTGACACTTTCGTTATCATTGGTGCTGTTGCTGCTGCTGTCGTCGCTGGTGTCCTCATTGACACTGCTGCTGCTGATAGGATACAAACTCTGCCCCGCAACACGTTTGAGCTGCCCTTGTCCATGGCGGGATGGGTCCGCTCCAGGCAAACTCTGTGACAGCACTGAGTTGCCGTTGGTGTCATCTTCAGTGTCAGTGTCGGTGTCGCTGTCACTTGCATCCATCCATCGCGGGCGGGCAGACATGATGATTGTGCTGCCTCAAATTCACAAATGGAAGGCGCTTGAAGAAAAGAAGGAACCAAAACTGATCTCGTTGCGCCAAGCCGGCCACGCGTAAAGCACAGGTTTGAGCATGCAGCAGCCCCGCTCAAGCTGTTAGTCCGACATTCTCTTCTCCTGCTGGGGCTGCGGTGTGACTCGCTTGCAACATCAACACAGTCTCGCGCGTTCGACCATGATCTACGACAGTTCAGAGTCTAGACCAAGGATCAAAACAAGTCAGCTGTTGAAATAAATTGCCTTGTGCTTGCGACACCGTCCGCATGAACCACAGAGCCCCCATCGATTGAAGGAATGGAAGGGCAAGGAGGGCACACAAGCATGCTCCAAAGGCAAGACTGAGGCAACCCACCTGTCGGCTCTTCCGCGTTTTTTTTTTCTTGTTTTCTCGAAGAAACTGTCAAGGAGCAAAATTTTTTGTGATTTTGCTGACAACAACGAAACCAACAAGGTGACATGCAAAGCAACAACATGACACGTCCACATGCATAATTTCTTGTGTAGAAATGCGACTGAAATCATGGTAGTGCTCGTTCGGGGGCACCTTCATGGGTCTGTTTTGAGAGAGGGGTCAATGTGTGCGACTGGGGAGGAGGAGGGAGTGCACATGTGTAAGTGCGGGCCCCAGTCATTCAAAGAAGAAGAGCAAAAAATTGTGATTGAGGATTTTAGATCATAATTTGAACGTTCTGTTGAAACAAAACAGGTATCGAAGGAAGAGGAAACAGCCTGAGAGAGAGAACGGCGGCGAAGAATAAAAGAGTTCCCGCAGCTGATGAGACGGGAAAAAGGGCATGTTGCTTTGAGAAACAATTTGAGACAGCTCGTGCAAGGCCAAAAAGGTGAACGTGGTGTGTCCAACCGCCCCCTAACAACCCTGAGCGGCTGATTTGGTCCCTGGACAGATGATTCCAGAAGATTTCCCATCACAAAAAAACAAACAAACAAACGCAAGGTCGGCTTTGGAATGAAATGGTGCACTGGGGGGCTTTAGATGGGAGAGACTCCTCGCTTGCGTGCTTCCACCAAGCAATACTATGGCAGGTCATGTGGTTCAGTGTCAGCGACACACGGACAAAGACACACTAACGTGAGTGGCTAATAACTCAAAAACAAGCGAGACACAAGCGCGACAAGGCGAAAAAAGGAAAAAAAAAAAGAGAAGAGCAAGGATGGGAGAGCGAGGATTAACCTTGTTCTTAAGGCTGAGAAGGCGCACACTGAGACCCATCAAAAGCTCGGGCATGACCTTTGCCTTGAGTTCAGCCAGTACTTGATCATCGGACATGGCCTTGAGTGCATTGCGATAGGCGGTGGCTTCTTGACGAAGCTTTTTGCCGCGGGCAAGGCGGAGCTCGCGGCGGAAGGTGCTTCGCTCACGCTTGGTCATTGGACGCATTTGCTGGCCGGGGCGTGGTCGGTTTGCGGGTTCGACGCCCTCCAAGATCTCAGCAGCCCGGTCACTGAGAGGCAGGCGCGCTGCGCGTTCTGGCACAATGGACGCGGGCGCATTGGCGGCCTCACGGAGGCGGACCCAGTCCTCGGGCTGGCTTTGCATCAAAGTCACACGGGCATTTTGACGTTCCTCCGTGACCGTCTTGAGAGCTGCCATGGACTTACGCACCTGATGTGCCCAGCCAACACCCACAATGTGCCACAATGCGGCGAAAAATGCATATGATGAGAAGGTTGGCATGCACGCCGAGCCAGCCAAACTGCGTTGAGAGCTCAAGACATACCTTGCGCAAGCGGTCAGCGCCTGGCATGGTGTAGCCCTGACGACGGCATTCATACTTGGCCGTCATGAGCTTGTTCTTCTCAATCAGCAGGACATACCTTAATGTTGGCAAAGCAAGAACAAAACAAAGGTCAGGGGAGGGATGAAATTTATCATCACTGAACCCTCTTCTTCTTCTGGTCTGGGAAATGCCGTTCGTGGCCGTCGCTCGTTGGAATAAAAACAACAACAACAACGACCAACAAGTAAACAGAGCAGCCAACAAGTCAACAGAAGAACCCCAAAAAGGAAAGAAGGAATTAAAAAAAAAAAAGAAGAACACCATCACCGTTGGACCACTTGCATACTCACCAGAGCTTGTGCAAATCCGGGTCGGACTTAAGACGAAGGTCACGGGCAAGCCAGCGACGGCCCACCTCGCGATCCTTGAAAAAACTACCAATCGTTCCGGGGGTCTCACCCTCTGAGAAAAACTGCAACCATGGCACCCAGAATGTGTCAAACACATACATACACATGCGTGAGGACTGCGGTTGTAGCATCCGCGGGGCTGGTTGGTGGTGCACGCTTGCTTTGCTGAAAACCTCACCTTGAGCAGTCCTTGAGGCGATGTCGCACTCGGCGTGGCATCTGTGGCATAATGTGTCTTGGCCACGCTGGTCATGTGGCAACGAGGCACAACGTGCCAGTTCATAAGGGGTAAGTGGTGACGGCCAAAGCAAGGACTACCCGTCGCCACACTCAGCAGAGGATCTTGCCCTGGCTCGCCAACCCCTGCACAAGGAAGAACAAAGCCAACACCGGCGACCAAAACCAACAAAAAAACGCGAGGCAAACTCTCGATGAAAAGTCACACAGGTTGCCATACCTCAGGGCCGCACTAGGCAAGATAGACTGGCAGCATCGATGGTGCGAAGGAAGGGACACTGCCGTATTGAGGGCCTGGCCCCGCACACCGACCAGCTGCCGCAGCATGCGCACCGCCATCATCGTGGTCGACACCTCTACGAAACTGCCATCGATGTCACACTTTAAAACACACAACCACAACTACTGTTTTTCTTCCTTTTTTGTTTTAACATGTCATGTCAAAGGTGAACACACACACGCACACACACACACACACACACACACACACACACACGCACACACACACACACACACACAGATACGCGAAAGAAAGAGTGCAAACCACTTTGATTTTTTGACGCATCAACCTGCTTGGCTGGTGATGGGTCAACGGGACGGCCGTTGATCCTGTGCTGGAAAGGCGGGCTGCTTTTGGTCCTGCTTGGAGCTTTGCAGGAAAATACGGGCTTGCTGTTTGTAGGGGTGGACAGCGGGTGGGCAAGTTGGTGGAACACAAACACAAACAAAATTTCCCCACGTGACGTGCCAGCCCAAAGATCGGGGGCTGGAAACGGCGGTCATGGTGCGGCATAGCCTGCGTGAAGTGGTGACACTGGCCATTCCAGCCATGGCCAGCGAAGCCGCCCAGCCCGTGGCTGCGCTTTGCATCACTGCCCTCCTCGGTCATTCCCATGCTTCAAACGGTCAGATCATCCCTCTTTAGGCCGCCACGTGCAAGCAAGATCAATTCCCAATTGGCTCAGCATTGGCTCTTTGGTCCCCTTGCTCTCAATTGACATGCCAAAACGTAGATCCAGATCCGGCTACAACGGCTCGGCATAACGTGGCTGTCTACGGCGCTACTCAATCAACCGCGTTTTTCCTCGCTGGTCTCTTCAACTTTTTGCTCACCGTTACCTTGGCCCAAGTGGGTGCCGGGTGGCCTTGCAGTGCCTCTTCCCGCCAATTGTGAATTGGCTGTGTTTTTTCCCACCCGTGCTTGTTTTTTGAGTGTTGGGCACATGCTGATGACCTCATCTGTTTGGCGCATTTGCATCGTTGCACCACAGCTTTCCAAAGCCATTGGGGCGCGTTCATGGTCCACTGTCCCAATGCGACTAAGGTACGTTTGTCAGGGGGTTGGTTGCGCGTTTCGTTGAGCACAACGTGAAGTAGCTGCTATTTGCATCTCTCTTACCATATGGCCGGCATTTCACGTGAACAGGGTCGCCCTGGGCATGGCGCTCTTGACGTCTGCCATGTCTTGGGCTATCATGTATGGCCTGCGTAGTCCGCTGCTGCAACTCTTTGGCCTGTCAAAGGACCTTATTCAGTCATCGCGCGCCTTTTATGATTGGCGTGCGCATGGCTTGGTTCTACTGTTCTTGACCCGGCTGACCACGGGCATCTTGACAGCCAGCAAAGCCGTATGGACGGTGGCCCTCATTAATTTGATTGGCGCTGGCCTGGACGTGGGCGGACATGCTCTGTTCCTGCACGTAAGGCCATCTGACGCATCATGGGTTCTGTTATGGCAGGTGGTAGTAATCACGCTCTTCACTCACGCGAACGCTTGCAACCCCTCGTTTCGTCGCCCTTTTTGAAGAAGCAAGGGCGCCCACTGGTGTATTCGGCCTACACCACAGTGTTTGCCAACGGTTAGGAAACGCCAATCTCCCTTCCTGAGCACTCGCCTGCTTGCCTGACCGTGCACGGTGCTCGCCACTCAGCTGCCTCCCTGTCTTCCTGCCGCATGGATTTCTCCAGCCGTCAATGCCATCCTTGGTATGGTAGCAGCTTGGATCTGGTACCGCCAGACAGCCCAGTTGGATCAGAAGGTGGCACACGCCCCCTCCGGGACGAGGCGCTCGAATCCACTCTCTTCTAGACAAGAGCTCGATGCAGAGGATGAAAATGCCGTGTCAGAAAGTGCGCCACTCGTCCAGAGTGACGTGTCCGCTGAAGATGGTCCGGTCAGGCAGGGCTGGCGAGCTGTCCTTGCGAGCTACCTCGGGGCTTCATTCAACATCTTCTTGCGCTCCATTGTCCTGCAGGTTTGTGTCATTTTGTGCAACAACCGAATCACGATCCGAACAATAATTTGCTCTTGGCTGACTTCCTGCACCCTCTTCTTCGTTGCCGTTTTCTTTATTTTGAATCACAATTCTTGCCAGACTGCAAGCTACTGTCTAGGCATGGCGGCAGGCCAACTGGATTTGGCCGCTTTGGCTGCTCATCAGATCATTTCACAACTTTGGAATTGCACGAGCTACATTTGCGATGGGTTTGCAGACGTGGGCACAATTCTTGGTGCCCGCTGCTTCGGCTCCAACGACATGACCAGTCTCCGCAGTCTTGCCACGCAACTTCTCTGCCTTGGCTTTGGCATTGGTACCACCGTGCTGGTGATTCTCTGTGCTGCTCGTGCGCCCATCCAAGAACTCTTCACCAGTGATGAAGAAACACTGGCACGCCTGCGCTCAACCTGGTGGCTTCTTGCTGGCATGCAGCCCATCAACTCTCTGGTGTTTGTGTTTGACGGTATCCTGTACGCCGTGCAGGCCTTTGCTTATAAACGTAACATTGTGGCCGCGGGCGGCTTTCTTTTCTATCTTCCCCTTATTCTGCTTGCCTACTTCCAATGGCATGGTCTCTTCTTCGTCTGGCTGGCTTATGCCGCACTGACTCTTTGCCGCTTTGCCGGTGCCATTTGGAAGTTTGTTGTCTTACTGCGAGCCGAGTCAGCGTTCGACATGTAAAGTCACTTTGCATCTTTAGATATTTTTTCAAAGAAGGCCCCGAGTGGCCTTAGGTCCAAGAAGAGCCTGCTTTCAATTGATAGACGAGTCCAGCAGGAGACTGAAGCTTCTCGCCATCGTTGAGTCCATGTTTGATGCAAATAAAGCACACTGAAGTCGCTAGTTGCATCCCGGGCCACCACTTGGGTACATCATTGCAGGCAATTAGTTGTCTTTGGATTGCCGGGTGCATTATCGCACAAAGAGGGCAGGGCAAAGAACACAGAGCCTTTTGCGAGCTGAGGGTTCTTACAAGCACGCTCGCCCAAATTCTCTGACAATTGACATGCAAAAAAAAATGTGACCGAGTCAAGAACGTTGGCAGCATTCATTTCGTTATCAGCTCCCACATCTCATCATCGACCTCGACTGCGGCCATGACCATGGGGGCTGGGGCATGAGGCACATGTGAAACATCGTCGTTATACGAGGCCAATCGGGTTGCTGTACTACGGCAAGGCGTTGGCATCATGCTCAAGCTTCTGCTCGCCACGACCGAGCCGAGCCCTTTGCGACTCGAAGACCGGCGCCAGCGACAGCTCCAGTTCCTTCGTGGCCAGGTCTGCTTTGGCATGCGTGCTTTCTGGTTCATTCGTTCGCTTTCAACTTGTGTGCTGTCATCGGATACCCAATAATCTCGTCATCCACTGCACATAGGCTTTGGATGCACGTGATTTTGAGACCGCACTTCAGCAGCTGGTGCTGGGTTACGTGCAAGGGCGCAGTGATGTACGCGTACCCTGTGATGTGATGCACGGTATACAGTTGGCCAACGACCTCTGACGTGCGCCCACCTTGGGTTGTGCACTTCTAGGTACTCGCATTGGAGCTTTACTTGGAGCTCGCCACCAAACGTCGGCCGCCACAATTGGCTCCCGAGGCCGGAACAATCCTGGTCAATGCGGCCAGTGAGCGCTACTGCCGAGTGGCTACCGCCTTGTGCAAGGCGTACGTAATTGGCCATGGCCTGCCCTGCGCGCAGAGGCTTCAGCTTATGTTCTCTTTGATTCTGTAGGCATACTCTTCAACAACAAACGCGGGGCTGGGCATTGCTGCTCACTCTTTTAGCCACTTTTCGGCCCGAGGTTCCCCGTTCGCTGGTCGAACAACTTCAAGATGCCTTTCGGCAGCTCGAGCTATCGGAGGCGGGGCCCTGGACCTTGTTATCATCAGCCATATCGTTGCATCCAGTTCTCTTCGAGAGCAGTCATGTTGCGCAGCAGCTGGAGCAGCGGCTTGCTCTCTTGGGACGCACACACGCCGATGCCCGGCACACCGATCCAAGTTTTGTCACTGTAAGTGCTGATGATTTTTTTTCTTGAATCTTCCGCTCGAGCAGAGGTCTCGCAAGGTGACATGCAAAACAGGAGTTTGGTTTTCTTAATCCGGTGATGCTTATTTTAATCTTTGACCTGTTCCCAATCACGCATCCTTCCGACTCTCCGAATCAGGAAGTTGAGCTCGCTGCTGCGGCCATCACCAACCTGCATCGGGCCCAGGGTAGCTTAGTGCCCTTTTTCGCCCGGGTGCGTTGCCATCAGGTTTTAGGCTTGGTATAGGCAGGCGACTTGCATTGGACCCACAGGGCTGAAGTGTGGATTTGCATTCTCTCTGCAATGTTGGCCGAGTAGGTATTCAGCTCTCTGCGAGATTGCGTACCTGGACTCTCCTGGGCAGCCACGATGCGCCGCATGCCGCAAGACACGGTGCAAGTGCTCTGCAGCCAGTTGCAGCAGCTTTCTCAAGAGGAATTCCGGCACACGCTGATCGTACGGCTTGACCACATCCTATCCCTTATTCTGACGGGCTTTCACAGGAGTTTTGGGTCGCTTGGTGTCTAGTCGATGCTGATTTTATTGCAATGGCCTGCGCCGTCGGCCGTGGTGCCAGCGGCAGAGCTACCCGATCTGCTGCGGGCACCACTACCGGAGGAGGTGCTTTTAATGGATTTGTGGTGCTGCCAACTTTTGGTCCAGGGCGCCAAGCAGCCTCATCTCAACTCAATCGTCGCTGCTGTAGGTATCGCTCGTTCATGTTTAGAAGCGCTCGGTGCGTGAAGGCTCTCAATTGTATTTAATGCTTTACTCAGGAATCTCGACATCGCCTGCCTGGGCTGGCCATCTACCTTGCCATTCCTGAATGCAGCCTCGCTGTTTCGTCGGTTCGTTGTATTGAGGAAGAGACACACATCTCAGTGCCATGCAGCCGAGCGCAAGCACACACGAGCGTTGCATTTTGTGTCACTCAAAGTGGGGATTTGTCGTCCTGGACTAGGTTATGGCCACCATGGTGTTTGGACTTGTTGGAGACGAATTTGTGATGAGCCAACTTCTTCTGGCTCTCGAGTCCATGCAAGAAACCGGTGGGTGGCTGTTTATCGAGCAAAGGCGAACGCCTCAAGCCATGTGCACAATTGTTCCTTGATGCCCGGAAGTGGCTGTTGGTCTGTTGACCCCAGCATCCCACTCAGACACGTTCTTGTGCCTGGCCGTGGCTGCTATGTGAAGGCTCCTTGCACGGTCGATTGCAAAGGGCCTTACTCCGGGTGCGGATCATCCACCCAACACTGGATGAAGCCGTTGAACGCCTCTTGCGGCGATTGGGTGCGTATCGCCCAGAGTCGGTGTGACTTCGCTTCGCATGCGTGTTGTTGTAGCTCCCGACGCTCTGATGGGTGTTCGTTTCTCACTGTGCAACTGGCTCCGGCCGAACTGAGCCAACAGGCCACAACTTCACAGCCGTGGAAGAGGAGAGTTGGCCTGGACCATGGAACAATGCTGTCCAGATCGGCCCCACACGCCGCGTGGGAGCTGGGGCCGTGGCCTATGTGCCCCGAGCGAGTCAAGCCCCGGCTTTACGCAACCTGGGCAATACATGCTATATGAACGCAGTGCTACAGCTCTTGGCGCTCATTCTACCCAGCACGCTGACTGGAGAAGGGGTACGATGCTGACGTTTGGTGGTACCTTAGTCGCATGCGATGCTGGTTTCGAGATTTTGGTGTCCTGTGTGGTATACAGCTTGACCTCATGTTGATTCCATGTGGTTGTCCTTTTTGGGGGTCGGCTGCCTGATCCATAGACAGAGGGTATACTTGGGCGCGTGTTGAACCACCTGCGGGGTTCGGCCACTTCAGCTTACTCTGACCGGTCTGAGTAATATGATACGCCTACCTTATGGCTTTTTTTTTCTTTTCTTTTCTTTTTTTTCCCAAAGCATTCACATAGCGTTGTGCTGGTTGTCCATTGGTCTGACTGCACCTTTTATGTTTCTTAGCTCGCTGCTTCAACTAGCACCTTCGTGGTTTGAGCACGGTCGTCAGCAAGATGCCGCCGAGTTTTTAATGTGCGATAGCGTGTTAAGCATCCATCGTAGATTGAGCGGCCTTATGGCCTCTCCGTACACCAGGTTAGGTTGCAGCCTCCGGAGACCAAGCATGTCTCATTGGTCCTTGTTTATCTCCATGGATCGAGCAGGCACGTGATGGATCAGTTGCACGAATCTTCGAGCGAGCAAGGTATTTGAACTCTGCAAAGCCGCCCGTACTGAATTCTTGTTCACCAAATACTTATGGCGTGGGGTTGATGATGGTGCTTGCGGTAGTTGCCGCTGCAGTCTCCCCGATTCAAGGCCAGCAAGAACAAAGATATGTGTGTTCGACCTGTGGCGGACAGTCTACGCAGACTACCAGCTTTTTCATGCTGGATTTGCCCCTTGATGATACACGGGCACAACCCACGACCCTGAAGGCGCTCTTACAGGCAAGGCGTGCATGGAATTCTCTAGCCCATTCCTAGCTGGAATGCTGTAGCGACACATGACTATGGCCTGTGCGTTGCGTGTGTTTTGCTACCTCTATAGCGGTTAGCGCAAGCCGACCTGGTGGAAGACTACTTCTGCGATCAATGTCATGCCAAGCGCACTGCCTCTGCGCAGGTATTTGTTTGCGCCACCGATCGTCCAACTGGCTAAGCAGAAGCCTGAAAGGCCAAGCACTGTTCATTCATGGCACTGTGTACAGACACATATCGTAGCTTGGCCTCAACACCTCCTTCTGGCATTCAAGCGCTTCACTTACTCACCAAAGGTAGAGTCTTGAGGCTGCTGCGAGATGGCGGATGGCCCATCATACCTGTCGTACTCGATGTACACGCCAGTGTTGACTTATGGGCGTTGGGTGGGACTAGACTGGCAGCCGCAAGCTCATGACCCAAGTGCAAGTGCCTGAGCAAGTTGACATTGGTAGCCAGACCTATGGCTATCGCGGTGCAGTGATCCATCTGGGAGAGCACGCCTCAACCGGGCATTACATTGCCCACGTGCAAGGTCCAAAGCCAGGCCAATGGCGCATCTGCGATGATGGTGATGTCCAAGTGGCCACAACCAACCCCACCATGCACCTAACGCGTAGCGCCACGCCATACTTACTCTTATTCAGCACCGAACATAATCAAATTTAACATCAGATGATACCAACGTATTGGGAGTGACTTGGTTTTTTTTCTTTTTCTGTTGATGATCGATTGATAACTTGTTGTCGTGTCAATTTTTCTTTCTTTTTTTTTCCTTGATCTCGCTTTGAGACTGCCATTATGGCACATCTCTTTGACTTTGATACACTGGTGACGAGCGGGCCACGACCGACCACGTCGGTGGCACCCCCACCAAATGGCGGCAAGCGCAAGGCATCCAAGAGTGACGTGTCTTTGAGTGTTCCGAATCCCGCAGAGGCGCCGGCTCCCAAGCGTGAGCACCTGGCCAAAAGCACACGGGGCCGGGGTCCGGGTCGTGGACGCGGGCGCCATGTGGAGGTGGTCAAGGGCAACATCGAGGCTCGGCAAGCAGACCTGGTGGCCCTGCAGCAACGGCAGCTGGCCAGACGCGAAAAGTGGGAAGAGCGACAATCTGCAGAGAGCGTGCGACAACGCGACCCCATCACAGTCAAAAAGGGCCCGGTAACTTGGACATTTCCCCTCCAACCCTGGCGGGGTGGGTATGGCGGTCAAGGGTTTGCGCGGGCTTCCTGCTTCTTCAACTGTCGTGACAAGGGTTATCTGGAGGAGTTTACCAAGGTCTGGGACGAGTACATCCCCAATTATCACGGCCTGGCTTTCCAAAAGGCCCGACGTCGTGAGATGCAGCAGCAAATGGTCTGGAAGCAGCAGCAGGAGGAACACACGCCGAGCCCATCTGCCCCCAAACGCAAAGGCCAAACGGTCTTCAAGACGAAAAATAAAGGCCGGACCAAGAAGGCCGGTAAAGGTGGTCGCTGAATCTGGTGGACTAGACGCCCTGTGCAACAGTCGCAATGAGAACGAGTCGGCCACGTGTGTCGGCGGGCCACCGAGTGGCCGTTCCCAAGCGGAACCGATGTTATTGATATTGAGGGGCTGGAAGTTGGTTGTTGGCCTCAATATTCAAGCTGAGCTGCAATTGATTGAGAATTATTGTTGAATTGTTGCCCGTGGAGCACCCCTCTTCCCTTCCACGCGCTGGCGGCGGACGTTGCTCGGCCAGCTCGCTCGCTCGCTCAGGCGTGACATCATTTTTTCGGTTGTCAATAGCTGTTACCTACAGTTTATTAACCCCAACTTGTGAGCCAAAGGAAAGGAAAGTAAGAAAAAAAGGCATTTGTCAGCATCTCTTCGTGGCAACGGAGCGGAGCGTGAGGAGGTGGTGTGAGTCGCTGATTCGACGGCTTTGGGGCGCGGGTGGTGCTTGAAGCCGCCAGACCACCGGTATTTCTGGGCTGAGGTGATGCCCTCGGGTTGAGGTTGCGGGGCTCACTCGTGGATGGTACGTTTTTTGTCAAAGTCTTTGGCCTGGCAAGAGTTGGTTGGCCGTCGTCATGCCGCCACCCAAAAAGGGTGCAGCCAAGGATAGCAAGAAGGTCAGTGCTCGCCCTCAGCGCAGATGCACTTGTGCCAGTGTGTCACGTGTATAAGTGAGCCTGTGTGTACGTACGCGGATGTCATTCAGTGTTGTCACGTCTGTCCTTGGCGGCTGCTTCTCAGAGCGAGCCAGACCCACGGATCCAGGAGTTGATCAAGACGTTTATGGTCAGTCCACAGCCAGTTTTAGGATATGATCTGTTTGCATGTAGCTCAAACCTCTTGACCCGGGCTAATACATGCGCACCTGCTCCTGTGTGGGCGGCCTGCTTGTGACAGGTTGGGTATCGCTCTCGACTTGAGGCTGCCAATGAGGACCCAATTCCGAGTACGTCGCTGCTGGCCCTGGGGAATCTGCCTTGAAGATTGCACAATGCATTGAGCTGCTTACTATCAATAACAATTCGCATCTTAGGTGTGGAGCTGGTCACCCGGGAAGCGTATCGCCAAGCCCAACCGTTCAAACATTTAGTCTTGGATGGTCAAAACCTGACCAATCCTGACGGCACCTCACGGTTCGCTTGGAACGCTGACGGGCATGCAAAAGGCTGCTGTGGGCCATTGATTTCACTTGTATCTCTCTTTGACCGGCACACGCACCACACATAGCCTGCGCAGGTTGTTTGTTACGCTCGATGAAACGGGCTATCCCTTCCTGACCGAGCTGTTCTTCTGGAATCTCACTCTCTCCGACGATGACATGCGGGTCAGGCCAGTTGGTGTGGAAAATCGGCTCACAGCATGCGGTCCCACCCGCAGTCTGTTTTCTGAAGAGAACTGTTTCCCTTGCTCGCGGGGTGGGTAGGCCATCTCCTACTTCTTCCGTGCCAAGGCCACGGTTACCAAACTTGAGTTCCTCAACTGCAAGGCCTCGCCTGATGGCTGGGACGAACTCGGCGAGAGCCTGGGTGTCAATCCTGCGTATGTAGTTGGCGCCAGCCTCGGTCCGATGTCACATCTTGCATGCCGAGAAGAAAACATTTCTCAGTTTGACACCATGTGGTCACAGGGTTCAATCGCTGAGTTGCTCGTTCTGTCCAATGACTACGGACGGTGTGCGTCGGCTCTTGTTACGTGAGTTTTGGCCGCAGGAAGGGTTTCCGTGTGGGGGCCAAGCCAACATGTACTAATCGTTCTATGGGTTTGTGTCCACCGCGCGTTATTCATGATCGGTTTGATGGCAGGGCTGTGTCATTCTCGAGTGCTCCGCCACCTTGCACTCAAACGGTATGTCATTCAACACTGGCGCCGTCTTGATCGACGAATGATGAGCGGCAGGGCATGCAATGCAGAAACCCTATTTTGATTGCGCAGCTTGACAGAGTGGTCATTCCGATTGTTGCACACTTGTGAATCTGTCTTTGGTGCTTGGCCGCACAGGTGCGGACTGGAAGGTCCTGTGGGCGAGTTTTTGCGAGACTTTATCTGTCGGACCACCTTGGAGGAGGTAGTTTTGGATGGAAATCCTTTGGGTCTTGAGGGTACGTGTCTCTTCTTATTTATCCCTCATGTCTATGCAAGCTCTGCTGGTGTCTGCGCGAGACCACTGCTTCGGCGTCATAATCCCGGAACCTGGGACACTGTAGGCTTTCGTTTGCTGACGCCGGTTCTTGAGTTTTGCGAGACGCTGTCCTCCTTGTCTTTGGACGAGTGTTCAATTGACCTGGTTGACACCCAGGATGAACAACTCCTCAACGCCGGTGCGAGTGCATTTTCTGTCGAATCCACTTGGTCTGGTGATGGTTCCGTTGGTTCACTCCAGGTTCATGTATTTTCATCGGTTTGTTGCGTTGCAAAAAAGTGCTGGAGAGCTTGGGCGTGCATCTCGGCGCGTGTGCTTGCTTGGGCACGCTCATCATGACCAACAACACGATGAGCGATCGCGCTGCTACTGCATTTCGCGATGCCCTGAGGGTGCGCAAGAAAGCAGGTTGGTCACGCTCCCGTGCTACTTTTCCTCTCGCTTGCTTGCTCGCCGCGAATGTCAGAATTGGCGAGTGCGCTGCCGACATCTCTTGACCTGCGCTTCTCGGCCCCAGGTTTGCGGGCCATGAAGGTGAAGCTTGGACCTCGCATCAACCGTGATCTCCTCAAAGAAATCCAAGCTTTTGGAAAATCAGGTGTGTAAAGTTGAGCGGCGCTGAAATGCCATTCTGCTGTAATGCTTGTCTCGCACTCCTTGCCTGCACGCGTCGCATCTTGAACTCTGTGCCCACGCTTACGTTTGCACGTTGGGTTTGGTTTTTTGCACTCGTCAGGTGCCAAGAAGGTGGCCAAGAAAAAGGGTACCAAGAAGAAGAAAAAATAGTGTTTGATCGTGTGCCAGCTTTTTCGTCGCGGGCTCACCGTTTGATGGGTGGGCCGAGCTTTGGACACCTCTTTAAGCGATTCTCGTTCATGTACTTGGAGTATGGAGTAGCATGATGACTTTTGATTAGGTTCTTCAGTTTCCCCTTTTGGCGCTTTGTTGCCCATATAAAGCCAATCGATTTCATAACCAGCAAGTCAATCAGCTGCCAGCATCGTGTCAGTTCGCAAGGCGAGTTATGTTCGCGGTGGCAGCTGACAGCGCCTTTGGACACATCTTGTCGTTATGACAGGCACTCGTGTGTTGCAATGCAATCCAGCAAGCATCATCTGTTGGAGCGTGGCAGGAAGACCGCGAGGAGCAAGGCGCGATTTTTTTTTTTTTGTTCTCGACGATGTAAGGCTCCTTCTTAACGCTGTTTGCAGGCTGATTGAAGGAATGCATCAAGTACAGTTGCAACAGCTGAAATCAACAGCAAGAAGCTCTGTGTGTGTGTGTGTGTGTGTGTGTGTGTGTGTGTGTGTGTGTGTGTGTGTGTGTGTGTGTGTGTGTGGTAAGTGTGTGTAGTGTATTGCGCGCCCCCTTTCCTGTCTCTCGTCGTCTGTGCGCCCTTTTTGGTTGACGGGCATTTTTTTTTTCCTCTTGATTTCTTTGTAGTCCGCTGCTGCGTGGCCCTGTTGGAGCTGTTTGGAGTGGTCAACGGCAGTTGCGAGGGTACGTGTTCATGGCCACGGGCGTTGGCACTGCCTCATGAAAATGCCTTTTCAATACCGATGCAAAACATCTTTCATGCGAACGAAGGCGGAAACTGTTACTCGAAGAATTCCCGCCCCCAATGCAGCGGTGGTGTGGGGTGGGGGTGTCGTGCTGGTGTTCCAGGCGCGCCTGCTGCCTGGGTCTGTCCTTTTGCTGATGGCGCCTCCAACTCTTTGAACATTTGCCTCGTAGGCATTCTGTTTAGTCGCATACCTCCACCATGGTGCGGCCCTTGGATCGTCGCGATGAAGTTCACGACGAGAATTTGCTGACCAGTCTGCCGGAGCACGGTCACGACGACGGCCGCATTCGCATCGAGCTTTCTGAAGACGAGTTGACACTGGCCCTTCTCAAGTATGTGCGGCTCGGCTTGAAACGCTTCCATCGGCTATCATCCTATCCCTGTTCCTGTCATTTATTTCATTGGTACAACTAACGAGCCATTTGCGTGCATTTAGCATTGCGATTGCCCAAGAAGATGTCAACGGCTCGGACGGAACCGATGAAGAGCAAGCCCCACCTTCCACCACGTCTGCCCACATGATTTCCGCTGCCCACATCACTTCTCCTGCCCCTGCCTCGGCCCCAGCCGCCCCCACCAATGCCCGGGAGGCACGGGCCGCCCGTCGGATGGTACGCCACCCATTGACTCTTGTCCAAGACGGCGTCGCTGGGCTTGTCTCTTTCCATCAACTCATACATCTTGCTCCGTTGCGCATGGTCCTTTTACAGGCGCGAACGCAAGCGCCAGTGCGCGAGGATTCCGAGACGCGCCGCAAAGCCACCCGATCGTCAGCGGGCAAGCGCCGCCAACGGCGCTGGCAAAATCGTAAGTCTTCAGCCGTTCTAACCTACGACTCGCCGTTGGGCCTCTCTGGTCTTCGATCACTTTCTGGATCTCATTTGTTTTGCGTCCACTGGCGTAATCACCTTGTTGTTTAGAGTGCTTTCTGCACAGTCTGGCTCACCGCATCGACGAAGTGCATGGCTTTACTGACGACGAAGGCAATGTTTCATATCCCGAGGCAGAACCCTCGGCCTTCACCTCGCTGCTGAGCAACCACCAAGCCCGTGAGGTGTGTCTGCCAATGGCCAATCACGGCGTGCCAGACTGTCAAAAGAATTGCACAAGTTGGCACCTTCTCACAATTTTTCTCGTTGTGGCCGGCCACGTCAATCATACATGAACTTTAGACGTGGACGAAATTCTCTGAGCTCCCCCTGCGCAAACAGAGCCAAATCTTGGCTAAAAGGTGTGTTCTATTGGTCAATTTGCTTCCACCCGCCTCTGGCCTTCTCTTTTTTGAATCAGACCATGATGGTTATTCTCACTGTCGTCTCCACCACAGAAGCCCAAAGTCGATGGTCCAGCGCTCCGAGGAGCAAGCGCGATTTTTCGCCATGCCCCACCAGACGCGCAACAGTATGTGGACCCACAGTTGGCTTCGTTATCGGCCCAAACCGCGTCACCAACGCCGCACGCAAGCAAGTGGCCTTACTTCCCTTTTGGCAAATCGTGCTCTTTGCTTCCATTTTAGACCTTAAACGACAAGCCCTGTCCGTCGATGCCGTCTGTGAACAAGAGGAGGCCGTTTTGTACATCCTGGCTCACACCGGCGTCTTTGAGGTCAGTTTCTTGAGTCATGTTGTTATCATCATTATCCCTTTGGCTGCGTACTGATGCCCACCTAATCAACACATTTGTCGTGTGTTTTAGGCCACAGAGCGTGATGGTCGCCGCCGTACCGTCCTCTATGCTCTGGCCCAGTATCACGACCTCGAATGCACCTGTACGTCACCCTTTGTGCGTGTGCTGTGCGGTTTGCCAAGGTCGATCACCAGTCATACTTGTGTGTGCCATCATGTGTAGCTTCGGACAAGACCAAGGAGGGGCGCGTCGTGCGTGTGGCGGGCCACATCTCCCACGAGGATCGCCTTTGGCGTGTGTTGGCTGCTCACCAACATGTCCCTCGTTGTACGTGGTTTTGAGCATGATCAACGTGCCCCATATCTTCGGTAATCCTGGGCAGTTTGATCACACCTATGGCCATTGCCTCTTTTGTTGATTTGTCTTCTATAGCCAAGGCAGGAGCAAAGCCATTGCCCTTGTTGCAAGCACAACTGCCCAAGGACGACGAGACCGCCACCCAGTGTTTGCTCTTGGATGCAATGGAACGTGACTCGGACAGCTCCAACTCTCGCACCAGTGACTCGGATGCTTTGCTGGCAGATTATCAAGCCATCGAGCACGTTGATTGCGCACCAGCGGATGATGCATGGCAGCTCTTGACCCTTGAACCATGAGCCTCTGTAAGGTATCACAGGTGGTTTGGTTTGGTGGCTCATGTGAAGTGTGGCTGTGGCAATCTCCTCAAGTCAATGCTCTCAGGCGCGCTCTCTCCATTCTCTTGGCTTCAACTTGTGCTATGTGTACTGTTGCAGCTGATCGGCACCCTTGTACCAAACGGAGACCTATGTCAATCAAAGAGATCCAGCATCAGCCATGACATCCATGATATCCACGTTCATCCATCTTCGAATCAATCATAAATTGCGCCAATCGCAAGAACCTATCATCAGTTACTATCATTATCACCAAGGCACAAGGTAAACTGCTGCACACCGCCAGGCAACACGCACTAAGACGCCATGTGAGCTGCGCTCTGGTCTGTGTGCGAGAACAAAAGGCCTGATGCTATTGGTTGTCGCGAAGCACTCGTGAGAGGAACTTTTCGACTTGTGCCATGGTCCAACGCTCTTCGGGTATGTCGCGACAGCAGCCGCCAACGAGGGCAGGAAACGGGTCAGGAATGCTTGGATCAATGGGCAATCGAATGCCCGCACGCAGAAAGTTGATGAGCGAGCCGATGACAGGTCCACTGCCTGAATCCTTCTTGCCAGCAGCCAAGAAATAGCTGGGTCGTTGCTCATGGGCCAACTCCCAAATTGTTACACCAAAGCTCCAAACATCGCTGGCAGTGGTGCACTAAGAGGGCAGGGTGCAAAAACAAGGTATCACCACTAAGAAATCCAGCAATATTCGCCCATCTCGCAAGTAGAGGCGCGCGATCTTACCGGTTGACACTCTAGAACCTCTGGGGCCTATGAGAAAAAGGCCGGCAACAGGTTTGTGAGATGGTGGCATTGTGCAACTAGATGCTTCTCAAACAACTCTGGCTGGCCATCACGAGCAACGGCCATGCCGGGCAACCACGCACCATATAGTTGGGCGTGCCAACCAGAATAGACATGTCAGGAGCTTCGCTGTGACTTGACAGCATGCGACGACTGCGCGTTGTGTCAGGATGAGCGCCACTCGTAAAGCTATTTCGAATGCTGCCAAAGTCAGTAATCTTGGCCACCCAGTCTGACGTTACCAAGACGTTGCCTACAAGTGAACCGCGGAGCACCGAGGAGAGAATAGATCGGCGCACCAGAATGAATTTTCGGTCGGATAGACATTGAAGCATAAAACTTCAGCTTGACCCCATCCCAACACGCAACTCACCAGGCTTGATATCGCGATGCAGCTTGCCCAAGGCATGGATAAAGGCCAGGCCACAGGCCACATCATGGGCAAGTGAAAGCTTTCGTCGGTGGTTGAGCTGCACTTTTTTCACGTGCAGCAGCTCTGACAGAGAGCCTTGCAGCACGAGCTCGAGCACCACAAAGGGTTGGGGGGGATCGTCCTTTGTCTCACCCATGCCCAAGAACCGCACGAGGTTGGGATGCTTGGTACGTAACAGAAAGTCGGCCTCCTGTCGAAAGCTCTCAACCGTGTGTTCGTCCAACGTCTCAAAGTGCACCCGCATGATCTTGACGCACACCAGCAGCGAGCCCAGCTCAGCCTTGTAGACTGCACCGAAGGAGCCTGGGGAGAACTCATCAATTCGCTCAAGCAGATTGAGCTCCTCAAAATCCACACGCCAGGCCTCGCGAAGAGACACGACTTCCTGCTGCGTTTCGTCGAGAAGGCGCTGCGTCACCGTGTGGTGGTCGGTAACTACAGCAAGACGGCGACGGAGTCGGCGGAGAATCAGTAAAAAGAGTGGCGTGGTGACAATCAGAGCAGCCAGGACGACCACGGCCACGGCCCAAGGGTGATCAAAAAAGGTCTTTTTTGGAACGCATTCGTCGTCTTGCTCGTAGTAATGCCGTTGACAAGCGCATTGAAAGCGAAAGTATTGGCTGTACGACTCTGTGAGTTGATCCACGAGGTACTGGCGGCCAAAGTTGCTGTTCAGCGAGCATGTTAGGGCCAGACCTTCCAAGACCAGGCCAGGGAGCGTTCGCCGAACCAGGATGGGAACCCAGCGCCCATTTATGTTCATCTCTGGTGCAACGGCCGCATCGGAAAGAATGAAACGCTGCCCGAGCTGCTCGCGAACGACACGAATATGGCGCATAAATTCGTTGTTGGAGAAGGAGAGTGAGTCGCTTGCCGCAAAGCAAGTGGCCAGCATGGTGGACAGGCTGCTCCCAGTGTAGGCGGCCTGATCCAGCATGTTATTGGCCACAAAGGAGACGGTGCCCATTTGCGTACAAAATTCAGGGTGGAAGGGCAGGCTGGTATGGCTGATGACGAGCACGTCGGTTGGTAAAATGGGCAGGGTGGCCAGTTTGGTATTATTCTCCAAGTCTAGCTCCAGCAGTGGCGGGGCTGAGAGCTGCACGTCAATCAGATCGGGGTTGTTCACAATGACGATGCTGGCGCGAGGTTGAGTCAGCTCAACGGTGATGTGTGTGCAGTGAGTATATGCCACCAAGAGGTCACGAATGGTCGTGCTGTGAAGAGAGAGTACTCGCTGGCTGCCAATGCTGGGAGGGGCCTGTTCCCAGTGCTCGCCACAGGCATCGCTAAAGGTCAAAGCCGTCAGGTTGAGGCGCAAGGCAGCGGCCACTACGCTCGGGTGAAAGCGGATGCCATCTGTGCGCAAGGTTCGGAGTCCTGGCGGCAAGGTCAAGTCCACGGGGTCGCGCAAGTAAAGGGCGTTGCTGATGTCGAGGTATGCCAGGTGATCGAGTGAGGCAAACCAATCAGAGTGCCAGGTTGTGAGGCTGAGGTTATAAAGGAGAAGATTTTCCAAAAGAGGGTTGTAGGCAAATGCATCCGCTTCAATCGTGGCCAAAGGCGTGTTGTCGACAAAAAGGCGTTGTAGCCGAGGAAACGAGCGGAGGAAGCTGGCTGTGAGCGTTGTGATCCGGCTATTGGAGAGAGAAAGGATCTCAAGAGCGGCCAGATTGGTGAGCGAGGCGAAGCCAGCCACGGGCTCGAGGTTGTTTGAGGCAAGAAAGAGCTCACGGAGCTCCGGGAGCTGGCTGAAAAAGTTGTCTGGCAAGTGGGCAATGTTGTTGGAGGTAATCTTGAAGGAAGAAAGGCGAGGCACCTTTTGTAAGAGAGCCGCCGGCAGGGTGGCAATACCATTGTAGGACAGATCAAGAGAGACAAGGTTGACAGTGTGGGCCAAGAAGTCGTCGCAGAGCGTTGTGAGCGTGGGATTGGACAAGAGGGAGATGGTGCGCAGCGCCGGGTGGTTGGGAAAGAGGCAAGGCAGCGTGGTCAAAGCCAGGGCCCGGTTGAGGGAGACATTGACAAGCTGATCTAGAGCACCTAAATGTCCCGACCAGATGGAGATGGCATTGTCGTCGAACACAAGCTTTTCGAGTGCGGTGAGGCTCGCGAGCGCAGCGGTGTCAACGAGGTAGATTTGGTTGTTGCTGACATCGAGTTGACGGAGAACGCCATATGATGTGCCCTGAGGCGGCGTGAGCAAGGCAGTGAGGCGATTCCCGGATATATTGAGGGCCTGTAGGGCGGGCATGCTGATGGCAGGGAGGGTAGTCAAGCGATTGTTGGCAAGGTTCAAGGAGCGTAGCTGCGTAGCGGCAGTCAGGGCCAGGTTGAGGTTTGTGAGATAGTTGCCGGAGAGGTCCAGGTCTTGCAAGGCTGTCATGGCCTTGAGCAGTGGTGGTACGCCGGGCGCCAGAGCATTCCAGCTGCCCGCGACCAAATTCAATGCAGTGAGCCCGGTGGTGAGGGGTGGTAAGTGGTGGATCTCAAGAGCAGAGGGGGGCTTTGTTACGCGCAGTGTATAGCCTGAAAGCCGGAGTGGCGGAAGGGAGCCCCAAAAGTCGGTTGATGGTTGACATGCAAGGGTGAGCTCAAGAGAGTTGGTTGCGTTGAGAAGTTGAAGGGCGACGCCATCGCAGGTGCTCATGCTGAGCTCAAGAGAGCGGAGCAGGGGCATGCGCAGCTGGCTGTTGTTGAAGCGGCTCAGGGTCGTTGCACACGGCTCTGTATCCTGGAGCAAAGTCAGACTCGTGACCTTGGCCAGATCGATGGTGGCTGGCGAGCTTTGAGAGTTGCAATCGAGTACAAAGGCTGGCACGTAGAACCAAAAGGAAAAGGGGGGCGGTGAGGATGACGCAAGCAGATTCGATGCTTCAAGGGTCAAAGCCGGACACTCACTCCAAGCGTTGGTGAAGCAAAGGCAGTGGCTGAGAATGAACAAAGCCAGCAGAGCGGCGAGGAAGGGTTGCCGCGTAGGAACGGCAGATCGTGCTCGCGTGCAAGCAAGCTGCTGGCGGTGCGAAGAAGCCGGCAAAGGGCCTCGAGTGCCGATCATCGTCCGATCGCCGGTCTCGCGCGTGCGTCGGTTCTGCGCTGGTGGGATGCCAGTGTGAGCGGCATTCCACATGATGTGGGATCACGTGGGTGAAGAATAAATCAGCTCTCAGACCCAAGTCACGGCAATCCCGACCCGAACATGGAGGGCAATACTGCACCACGACCCGAGCATCAAGCCCGTTGGGCGGCATCAAAGACCGCGGTTCGCGTTGACTGGAGGATTTCAAGCTCGTCGCAGGAGTGGGCTGGGACTAAATACTGCGTTAAACACGCTATATGCCACCACAACTTACACCTTTAATTGCAATGATAAACGTTAGTCACACAAAAAAGCTGCATAAACCTTCAAACTCTCTGCATCAACTCCAGGACGCCCGAATTCGCAACAAACAGCTGGCTTGGCCCAGCCATTTAATCTGACATGATGACAGTGTGTAAATTATTTCTTACATTCTGACAATAGCCACCCTGCGGACATGACAACCATTCCCTTTGTTCTCTTCTGAAATGAAATTTTCTTTGCACACACACACACACACACACACACACACACACGGCGGCGGCGGAGCAGAGGCGGGATGGAGCAGGCCAAGGTTGCCTTTGGCATCTTGGATGCATGGTGTCGCAATGATGCCATTCCAATGGTAGGTGGTACGCTTGGGGTCACCTGCAGACCCAGTTTCAGGCTTTGAGCTCACATGATCGTCATGTTTGATGGGGGGTATCAGCATGCTCGGCAGCTTGTTCGAGATGAACTCTTTGAGCTCGTCTTTAGTGACCAGATGACATCGGACAAGGGCACCGGTAAAGCGCGCGTGTACACGACTGACGAGCTGTCGTTGGTCTCACCTGGCCTGCGTCTTGGCTGAGTACCTCATATTTCTTTGTCTGGCTATGTGCCTGAAACAATAGTGGCCCGGGTGCCATATGCCGTGCAGGCCGCTGGCAAGGCGAGCCGCAAGGCCAACGAACTACAGCGGCAAACTGAGCGAAATGGCATGCTGGAAGCCGAGGTAGCGCTCTAGAAAAATTGTCGGGCTTTGGTTCTTTCGCGCCTGACAGCACGGATTCAACCAAATAGAACGCTGCATTGCGAGCACAAGCCGAAGTTCGTACCCAGGAGATCCGTGTCCTGCAAGGCGAAGTTTTACGCCAGCGTGAACTCGTGCTGAGTGCTGAGCAGAAGGTCGATTCCCACCCCCCATCGTTCCCTGTGTCGCCCCCTTTTTTTGCGCATAGCCTGTTGAAGAGCAACAGAGTGTCAGGCGTTGGCTTTGATCCTCAAATAAATCTCGTGGCCCGTGCCTTCAAATCTCAGGCTCGTGCCATCTACGAGCAGCTGGAGAAGGAGAATGTGTATGTCTATGCAATCTTGTTCGCCTGCTTCCCGTTTTGCTATCGTGGCTCACAGTGCAACCGCCACAGATCCTTGCGCGAGATCGTCGTCTCTCGAGATTCGGCGCTTCAGCAGGCTGCTGCCGACCGCGCTGAAATGGAGGCCAAGGTTAAATGCTCTGCAATCCGCGCAAGGAAAATCAAGATTTGGCTGGCTCTGCTTGCTCATCACGGATCAACTCTTTGCCCGATGCGTCTCTGGGATCAGATAGCCCACCTCGCCGACCAGGCCGCGATTCACGGTCGCTCCAGCCAAGTCCTCATTGCAGGCCAACAGATACCACATACCCCAACCGCTGATCCTCGCCGGGCGCTAACCAAGCGCAATCTCGGTGTGTTGGGCACTTCGGTGTGGGGCCCATCTCGAATATCGGCTCATGAGGTTGGCATGCTTCAGCGCGTTACATACAGAAGAACACTGCGCTTTTGGACGATTCATGTCTGCAATTGAAGCAGCAGCGCGATGTGTCCATAGCTGCCTACGTCTCAGCGTTGAGGTGCGTGACGGCATGGGGGAAGACACCAATTTGGTCTCAAAATAGCAAGCCGCGTGTGGTCCATTTTCCCGCCAGCTTCTCACATGCATCAATTATCCCACATTCTTGATCGCAACATAGGCAACCGCATCGCCGACCTGGATTTGATGTGAGTAGTTGATCTTTCTGTTCGAGCCTTCTGATCTCATACTTTGACTTCTTGCATTCCAACAAAACCGGAAATAATAGAAAGAGCAAGCTGCCCTGCGGTCGGAACTCGATCATTTGCGCAACAAGCTCCAGCAACTCTCAACAAGCAGCAGACAGTCAGTCTCAAAAACTGGCACCTGATCTTTCGCCACCTCAGCGGGTGGGCTCATCAAGCAAACTTGGCTGTAGATATGAGCGTCTTGCTACGCAGGAGGCTCAAAAGAACGCCGACCAGCGCATTGTGAGCCAGTTCTATCCAACCTCTGTGAAACCCGTAGCGCCGCTGGCCACACATGGTCGCATCCCACCCGAGGTATTTCTTGGATTCAGTTTTTGAATTGTGACTGCTTGTCTGTACGCACGCGCGCTAGCGTACAACCCACCCCTCGCCCCTGACGCGCGATCTTGTTGCATAGATGGCAGACAATGGTTGGATGATGCGGCTGCAAACGCGGACGCTACCCGAGCGAGCGCCGAATGCAAACTGTCTTGGCCCAGGTGCGTTGTCTCATAGTCCGGGGCAAACATTCACCGAGTTTGCATTCGTGATAGCAAGGTTGCGATGCGCTCGGATGATTGATGCCGCCCTCCTCCTTTATTTGGGTCCTTCTTTGCAGCCGATGTCGAGTTTCTGGCTCGTAATTTCATAGAGCTGCAGGTGGCCATTGTTGATGAAGCTCGACTTTCACCAAAGGTGCTGTCCTGCTGGCCCATTTTCGACCGCTGGGTATCGGTCGCTTTGGCTTATGCCCTGTCTTGCATACCTTCCCCCTTCCATTCATGCGTAGCTCCCTCCTGCGCGGCCCACCAGCCAAGCCTACTTTTCATTTATCGACGACCTGCTGGGTCACGCCGACGCAGCAGCCATTGTGCTAAATGACAGCTTGCAAGGTACCGCGTGTTGGACCGCTGGTCTCGATCAAGGGCCGCTTGTGGGATTATCGGTGCCTCTTTGAACTTCAATCTGATGTCGGGTGCTTTCCAGGCATCCTAAATCTGACCGAGACAACTGCTGAAGTCGGCTTCTTGCGCGCTGTTGTCCAAGGCCACCGTGGCTTTTGCTCAATGCTCTTTGCCGAAATGGAAACCAAGGTGCGAGCTTCCATCGGAACGACCCGGCACGCCAACCATGCACACCTCTGACAGAAATATGCATGATTTTCAGGTGATTCGAAACCTCAATCTGACGGATGTCCAAGACCTGCGCTCTTTCTGCACGGTGTTTTATCCAGAGTTGGATGTGGGTTGCCTGCTCCTCCGCTCGTTCCAACATCCCTACTTCTTCTTACTTCATTACTTCATTTGAGCTGAACCTAGGCTGAAGAGTTGGACGAGCTCTTACTCGAATACACGAGCTTTTGCGGCAGTGCCTCCACTGAGCAATCCATCTGTTGCTATTTGTATAAACTTGCGACCAATTACAAGAGCTGCATGCACCGCTCGGTCTGTTGCTCCTTCCTGAGAGCTTTGCGCCACTACCAAGGCTTTTAGCCAATGAACAAACTCATTCGACGTGCGCACGTTGGCATGGATGGGTGGTAGCTGATGGCACGTTTGGACCCAGACGTGGCTGTCACTCGTGAGATGTGTCGCAGCATTTTGCAAGAGCACTGCGCCGAAGCTAGCCTACCGGTGAGCCACGAAACTTTGCGATTGGAGCTGTGTGTCATCTCATGTACTGGCACCTCACGCTCTTCTTGTTCTTCTTGCAAACATCAAAGTTCTTGGATTATCTGCTGGAGCGCACGCATAAAGAGTACGTTACGACGAGGTGCTTCGACCGCCTCGAAAGAACTTTTTTGATTCTGACTGCGGCGCACGATTGCATGCTTGCTGAAAATACTCTCTAGCTTGGCATTTCGGGAAATATCACGTGATATTGCCGTGGATGTACTCTCTGCGGCATTCCTGGTCCATCGGCGAGATGTACTGCAGGAGGAATTGCGCGAATACATGGTGTGTCAATGCCTTGCCAAGTTGAGACTCTGGGGCCTGGCCGGGAACACGAATGGCAGTTTGAAGCTCTGGACGATGACTCACACGCTTACATGTGCAATGCTTGCTGATTGCAGGCGGGCATTCCGCCCCATCAAAGACTTATCAACAAGCGGCAGCGCATCACTATGGTATGTTGACCTGGCTCCCTTGATTTGTGCAGGTGACAAAGCACGCCCTGTGCTCATGTGCATATTCGGATAATGTCAGATTGAAGCAGAGGTGGCCAGCCGTGCTCTTTTGGCACAAGGATCAACCCGATAGCTTTGATGACATTGTAGTACGTGTACAATCATGGATTGTTGAGGCCGTTTGAATTCGCGGCATACGACCCAGGCTCGTGCAATTAAGGGGATTTGGAAAAGGACAGGTCCCCAATTTGATTTGTTTATAAAGTTGATGCTTGCTTAGTAGACGGGAAAGTCGGGTGCTACGAGTCGTGCCCAAGCGTGAAGACCACCTTGAAGGTCACATACAGGGATGGAGGAAGGTACAATCTGGCCGGCACGCTGCACGGCGCGCTGAGAGTCATTTCCGCGACGACAAATAAAAACCACCCGCTGTGCCGATTCTTGAGTGAGGAGTTGGGTGAGTTTGTCTGGGGCTCGCTCCAACTGTTGCAAGGGCAGATTGCAAGAGCCACCGATAGAGCACATGCCAAACTCCACCTCAGAGCGAACGTCCACCAACTGCAACAAATCAGAACAAGGGAACAACATCAGGGGTTCTTGGACAGTGTAGATCTGCATTGGATGTTTGTAAACGAACCAGAGGAGGAGAACCGCCTGCAGTATCGACGCGTAACAGCCGATCCAGTTCGTGAGCGTCAATGCGTTGTTCTGCTGCAATCAATTGCAAGTCCTGGGTTGCGTCGCATGCCGACATGTGGCAAAAGGCTTCGTAGTCCTCCAGCAAGCCACTAACGTTTTGTTTTCCAAAAAAAAAAAGCAACGGGTGTCAAAGTAAGACATGGCAAGCAGCAAAATGATGATGCGACTTGCTACTCACACTTGCTGGTCTCGTGCTTGATCGCCACAGATGGCACAGGCAGTGTTGCGCGCGCGCATCTTCACGCGGCGAAACTGATCGGCGTAGCCATCCACCAACAGCAAATGCTCGTTCAAAACTGCGAGTGGCAGTGCCATGAGTTGAACCAAAAAAGCGGTTCTATCCTCTACGATTGGTAGCTGACCTGGGCAACCCAAAATGACTTTCATTGCCTCGAGTGCTTGTAGGCACCCGATCAAGCCGGGGATGGGCTGGTACATATACAGGATCAGATTGAGTGAGGATCGCAGCGCGCAGAGAACAAGAAAGGTTCACGTGAGGTTTGCGGGCGGAGCATGCTTGGAGAAGGGGCAAAGATGGTCAAACAATAGGGCTTACACCAAGCACGCCTCCGTCCGAGCAGTTTGTGACTGTGTGCGCTGGTGGGGGTTTGGGAAACAAGCAACGATAACACGGGCCTCCTAACAAACGCCCCACAAATTGCACGGTAGGCACTCCTCGTTAGTGTCGTACGTAGTTCGATGGCCGAAGTCAATGAGACCTCCAAAACAAAGCACGCGCACCCTTGTGGTTGTATACAATAAGCTGGCCCTCCCAGCGCAGGGCACTTCCAGAGACCAAAGGCCGACCCGCAATCACGCAGGCATCGTTGATGAGGTAGCGGGTCGGGGCGTTATCTGGTATCGCAAGAAATACAAAGAGAGCATTATGGCACCGGCAGCGCCGATGAGAAATGGATAAAAAAAGGGCGTCGAAGCACGATGAGCGGAGGTCAACACAGCAGCAACAGCGAAGAAATCGCAAACAAGGCAAAGGCCAAACGTGAGCTCGACCTGAGGCGTCCAGAACCACGTCGTATTGACGGACGAGCTCGAGTGCATTGGCGGGGGTCAGGCGAGAGGGATGCGTTTGAATATCGACATGATGGTTCAGCCTGCTTCCCCAAGGATGCAGCGGTAGTAACAAACGAAGACAAGCGTGAGCACTGGCTTTGACGTGCCATGGTGATCGCAAGCAGACAGCAAGCACCCACGCCATAAGGGCCAGACGGATGGATTCGCATTTGGGCATGCCCTGTCGAGCCTCAGTGTGCAGGGTCTGGCGATGCAGATTGGACACGTCCACTTCGTCATCATCAACTAGCCCAAGAGTACCTGAACAGACCCGTCCAAACGAGAAAGGAACCCAAAGTCAAGACGTGGATCACACACGCGCCATGAACCGGGCCAGGCTGAGCAAGCCGGGTGGCGGCGCACTTGGAAGTAACAAGGGGTTGAATAGACATACCAACTCCAGCTCCAGCAAGATACATGGCCGAAGGGCATCCTAGACCACCGCATCCCACAATCAACACTCGAGCTGCCTTGAGGCGCTCCTGGCCACCTCTCCCGAGCTCGCGCATGATCATTTGTCGCGAATAGCGCTCTACTCAACGCCAAAAACGTCCACCCAGGTGAGCCCTTGGCCTGCCACTTTATTTGCCATGCCATCCTTGAGAAGCCTGCTGCCAGCCCCACGTCCACTCTACTCATGATCACGAACCAATTTCCTCCCGCGCCAAGGGCGATGCCGGTGACGAGGTCGTGGGTGTCGTCGCTGTTGCTGTCGCCATCGTGGTGGTGTGTGTGTGTGTGTGTGTGTGTGTGTGTGTGTGTGTGTGTGTGTGTGTGTGTGTGTGTGTGTGTGTGTGTGTGTGTGTGTGTGTGTGTGTGTGTGTGTGTGTGTGTGTGTGTGAGGAGAAACTACTTTTGACAATACGCTGACATGCTGACATTAAAGTTCAAAGCACAAAACCCGCGTTTTGTTCTTCCGGATCGACGAATGACCGACATCAGCGGGCGGGTGGGGTGGCAACGACCTTGGGCGGCGCGTCAGTCGATACAGAAGCCAAGGAAACGGGAAGGACAGCAGCGAAAGAAGGACAAGATGACGGACCGGACCAGTTTACAGAGCGTAGAGCTGGATGGCAGTGCTGACTTGACCTCGGCCCCGCGGTCGCAGGTCAAGGTCACCGTTGTCATGTGGGTCAATCAGGTTCGCGCTCGCTGGGGGTCCCTTTGCTTGAGGCGTTGTCGTGCGAGGTCATCGACCATCTGCGCGGATTGGCTCGTGGCCAATAGGTTACCAATATCGATAGCGTGTCGGGGACATTTAAGATTGACGTGGATGTCGAGTATCAATGGTTGGACATGCGCGTTGTCACCAAGAACCCCGAGCCTGAGCTCGTCTACGACGAGTTCATCTTCCGGCCAGAGATCGACAACCCCGAAGAGCAAATCTGGCAGCCCAATGTCGAGGTCATCAACATTGACGGTGTGGGCCAAATTTCTTTTATTTTGAGGGTGCTTGCTTCACCAATAGTGCAGGGCTAGCGTCGGCTCACCACGAGGCTTGACGGCGTAGATGGCGACGCCGAAGGCGGCGAGCCGACCTACATTGTCAAAAAACTGCCTGCTTGGGACTTTCCCCTGGTGACTATGGAGCGCACTTACCAGGTCAGGCCACAGCAGCGTCTTGGTGCCGATAGCGGGCCCGGAAATCTTGAGGTTCACAGTGCCCTCTTCTAGCTCACCCCAAACGTCTTTGACCATAATGTGAATAGGTCACCTTGAATAGTCCCATGCAGCTGCGTCACTTTCCTTACGACGAGCAAGTCCTATCTTTCTACTGCCGCAGCATCGATCAGTCCAAGGAAGAGCTCATCTTTGAGATTCCCCCTGGTATGCCATGATTAACGCCACTTGTGCGCGTTTCTACCTTTTGGCTTCTCGTTGACTAGACAGATTGCGCCGTACCTGCCATTCTAGAGTCACGAGCGTCATACGTGGACAACCTGGCACATGACGTGCACTTTGAGGAGTGGGACATGATTGCAGTCACGGTCAGCGAGCCACCCTGGTCTTTGAAACACTGCTCGACCACCAGGTGCTATGTGCCAAGCTCACGTGTTCCTCACGTGTTCCCTGTACTTCCGCAACCAGGCGTTTGCGCGTGATCATCTGTACGAGTATGTTGCACGCAGCGAGGGCGTGGATCAGGCCGTCTACTCCGAGTTTCGCCTCTCGTTCCGACTCAAACGTCGGATGGGCTTTTATGGTATCAAGGTACGCGCTTCGCGGAACACCATTGCGTGGGCCGACGCGATACCGGCTGCAGCATCCTGCCTCATGCCGACACTACTGTTGATGCAGGTCATTACGCCTACGCTAGTGGTCATGCTGATGGAGCTCGGAGCATTTTTTGCAGAGCCCGATGACCTAGGGACGCGAATCAGTGTGTCGCTGACACTGCTGCTGACGGCCGTGGCCTTCCAGTTTGTGGTGGGCGAGCTGTTGCCCAAGATTTCCTATAACACCATCATTGATTATCTCTTCATCGTCATGTACATCCTGATTACCCTCTCGTACGCGCAAAACATCATCGTGTTCCAGCTGAGCAAGAGCCTGGGTTCCGAGGACCTGGAGCTGATTGACTTCACCTGTGCCGGTGTCTACCTGCTCTGTCTCCTGGTTATCATCGTGCTCTACCTCATCATCTTTCCTCTCTACTTTCAAGCACCCGAGGCCTTGACCATTCTCAACAGCCAAGATCGCCTGAAAAAATATAACATTGAGTGGTCTGACGCTGAAGATGACGACGATGACCGCACCGTTGTCTCCAGCATGTAACATGACTGACTCGAGTCTCAGGTCGGGGTGTGGACACCTTTGTCCATCCATATCCTTCTGCGCTTGCTTTGAGCCAACCAAACAGCCGCAATCCATTTCAGCTCTTACCATTCATGTGGCCAAGCTCTCTCAATCAACACAAATTGGCCACACAATCCAGCCAAGACTCCCAAAAAAAAAAAAAAAAAAAAAAACTTCAGGCCCCTCCGACAACAAAACAGGAAAAAAAGGGGCTACCTTTACAAAAGGGCCGGTCGGTCGCTTGGTGGCTCGCTCCCGAGCGCATGGTGCTGCCTGACCCACGGCTGGCACATGCAGACGCACCAAGGCACAAAGAACACTCACATGCATGCCACCGTCACCGGTCTACTGCCATCCCATCAGCCTCATGTCTGTGCATACCACAAGCCAACACACGAAATCTCCCTTGAAACGCCATGCATGCATGCATGCGAAGTTGGCCTTTTTTCGTGATTCTCAGGGACAGAACTTGGCGTACCAGACGGTGGACAAGATTGCTTTTGATCGGATTGTGGGTGTGCCCCTCTTCCCCACTGTCGCTGCCTCCTGGCTTGAGCTGGTTCCCGCCACCTCTGTCTCTTTCCTGGAAGGATGCCACCCCTTCCTCAGGGTCCAAGAGCAATCTCAAAAGTTATGTGTGTGTTTTGGGGCAAGGGGGGATCAATTTGTCGAGGAGTTGGTGCCTGGTCTCGTTCGCGCCAGGCCCCGACATGATGCTGCTATGCAACGAGCCTGGCTACGACTCGCCAGGCAGTTGATCAACTCAGGGGCAAGCCAACTCCAGGCACTTTCCTTCCCGTTGCCCAGGCAAGCAGCTGGCGACCGTGCCGCTAAGCTGGTCCACTGCCCAACCATTTGCTAGCCTGGCCTCGCCTGGTCCACACGCCGGCAAGATTCGCACAACTGCCACACCAGCCCTCCACCCAGACACACGCGCATACGCATCGGAGTTATAATGTGAGCTTTGTATGCGACAGCACTCTTATGCGGTGCCCCCTTTCGACTGTGCAATGCCCATCACCCTAGTCTTACTGCTATTTTGCTTCGCTCGCGATCAACCAACTCACGTTTGGGGCTGATTCACTGCCCGGCAGCGTACACCCCTCCCCCGCCCGGATCGACTGCACAAAGTGCCATATAATAAGCAGCGCCGTTTTGGGCACGGTCTTCTTTGTTGGTTCTGCTTTTGAGTTGGGCAGCCAACGTGCATCTCCGCAACTCGGGGCCATCTCTGGCCTTGCTCTGATGCACCGGATAACCTGGGAGTAGCAACGGCTGCGTTTTATTTTGCAAGCCACAGCGAAGCGCTCGGCTTGCACATCTCGCCTTTGATCCTGTTTGGTTTGTCCTCCTCCTGCAACGCCATGATGGTTTATACCTAAAGGCACAGGACGTCACAGGACTTCTGACCACCCGACGCTCTCAGACTACGGTGCAAATAGCGGGGTTCCATTGGTTGGACCGGCAGTCATGACAAAGACAGGCCATCAAACTCGCAGCCGTTTTGCAGGCGTGCCGTTGTGGTGGCGCCTTGGCTTTGCTTTCTATGCACTGCTGCTTGTGGTGGCACTCACCTTGTGTATCACGGCGTTGGCCGAGTCGACCTGGCTGGAGTCACCCGTGGCCCCAATCATACATCTGCCTACGGGTGAGGGCTGGACCAGGCTGGGACTCGTTCGCTACTGCGCCCACAACCTGTCCATTAGCATCGGCGACGGCGATTGTCAAACATATGACAATGACCATGTCATGGGCTCCAACTGGATCGCAGCCGCTGTCCTTTTGGCCCTGACCACCATGACTCTTTTTGCCGCGTTTGCCCTCGCTCTGCTGTATGTGAGCCAGCACGGGGGCCTTCGATGGTGGATCTCACCATTAGTGGCCGTGCTGGCCCTGCTGCTTCTCTTGGCCGCTATCCTCTCTTTCGCCTCGGGCCTTGACCGCTTGTCATCTGACTTGGGTCGCTTTGACGAGCCCTACTGCCCCAATGCCGCACAATTTGACAAAGGAGACTGCGACTGGGGGCCCGGCTTTGGAATGGTCATGGCCGCCCTTGTTGTTTTGGTGCTTGCCGTGGCCATGGGTCTGCTCGCAGCTTGGCGGGCGCACCATGCATCGACCCGCTTGCATCGAAGCCAAATAGTGCGCCACTACGATGATCTGGAACACGTTCGGGCCTCAAAGACCCGCAGCGCTCGTCAGGACAAACTGACAGCAAGCAGCCTCGGTGGTAGCTCTCGAAGCAGTAGTCACAGCAGCAGCAGCGTTAGCGTTGTGATCGAAACGATTGGAAACCGTCGCCAACCCGGTAAGCAGCTTGCAAAGCCATGCCTTGCCTCGACGGGCCCGGAAAAAGCTCACCGCGCGTGTGCTTTTGGGATCTGCAATGGCCACAGATTACGATCACATCGATTTGGGCTCAAGTGCAGACTCTGGCAGTGACCTGCAGTATGTGACATGTACCTCTCTGACATCGATGTGGATCCGCTTTCGTGGCCGCCATACTTTGCATGTCCACCACTGCAGCTGTCTCATATCGTGCTTCTGATTCGCAGGATCCGAGCGACAGATCCCCCTCCCACTGTCGCCCAGACAACACACATGTGGTGGGACCAGTACCCCAGCCCAGGAAGCGTGGACATGGTTCCAGTCGGTTCCGAACGAGTGCCGGTGGACATTGGCAGCATGGCTGCTACGATGGACAATGACCTTTACTCGAAGCTTCCCACGATGACTGCCCCCACAGCCGACGACAAGAAGTCCCGACAGCCAGTGCCTCACCGGCAAGCATCATGGCAGGATCAAACGCAGCAGCAATCAACCGGCCTTCCCTCAACATTCGCCACCGCTCGCGCTCCCCCTACGGACATTGAGCCTGGTTCACACAGTGCGCCTCAAGCGCGTCGGGAGTCACTGCCTGCATCCCTACAGCCCAGTGCTCAAACTGCCAAAGTCACTCGGGCCCGCAGTGAAGGGGCATACGCCACCATTGTTACTCCGGCCACTCTGCCACTTTCAATGCGGCGTGAGAGCTCGCGTGGGAGCCAACTCTCCAGCTCACTCGAGGCTACGCCCATGGCTGTAGCCTTGCCGGTTTCCCGCGACGTCATGCAAGACAAGCGCTCACTTGCCCCAGTGCCAGAGCACATTGACTATGAGCCGCTGCGTTCTGGTCGTGTTTTGCCCCCGAGATCGCGCGCACGCATATCCCTCACGCGAGTTGTTGTGACCAACAACCCAACTGTCTCCGAAAGACATGCTAGCCCTGTCTTGGAAGCAGCAGGACAAGAGCGGAATTTGTCCAGGGGTCACTATGACGCGTCTCGTGGTCAAGGTCGACGTAGGGGCCTTTTACATGAGCGGCGGTTTGAAGCTGACGCACAGAACCACCCCGGCCCTGGGCACAGCCCAACCCACATGGCGTCGCGCCTTGGATGATGTACCAACGATACTTCCCGCACGTGGTGCACCTTTAACAAACTCTCGCCCTGCGCAGAGTCGCCCCGCCGGACAGCCAGCTCGTCCTCATCCCGTGCGCGCTCGACGACGTCACCGCGCTAAACAGATTCATGTTCCAGTCTCAAGCGAGTTGTCACATTTGCCAACCGATGTGCCGGCACTGCACGTGGTGGTACGGGATCCTGTCCAAGCTGAGAGCCGTCTTCAGGCCACCAACAGCATCGCAGGCGCACACGCACCTCGCCCATCCATGGCGCAACAGTTTCTTAGTGAGGCTGCGCGCCGGGCTCGTTTTCAATATCAAGACAGTGGGATACAGCTCGTTGGCAATGATCCTCTGACTGCGCCACAAGCCACGCGGGCCGCTGCCCATGAGAGCTCGGGCCCCACCGCATTAGGTTTTCAACGACAAAACTCGGCCCGCAGCACGGTCGGCCGCGATACACCCTACAGTACGCCAACCATCACCCCGTACAGCTCTGAACTGAGCCTCGATGATATGGCCGAGCTGGCTGTGAGACGGCCATGAGCCCGACACCCAAGCCTTCACTTCTCTGCTGCTGTCTCGCCTCAGTGTGCCAGAGAATGAAACTTACGCAGCAGCAGTGTTCATGAGCTTGCGGCTCTTTGACCATAACTTTGCGACACGTGCCGGGATGGCGACGGGGCGCTTGCGGATGTTCTCTATCGCAACTCGTTTCTTTGTTCGGCTTTTGCAGTACACAGCTAGTAGTAGCTTTGGTTGTCTTTGTGGTTGGCCTTGAGCGCCGCCTTCAGATGGCCCTTTCAACATGAGCAACAGGAAAAATTCAAAAATCTTGATCCCCATGATACATGATGGCACATTTCAAAGCATTTGAATTTTTGAATCGCCGAGGCTGAGACTTAACAAGCCGTCGCAGTAACGAAAAAGCGGCCTTCGCCCGGGGCCAAACTCAGCTGCAATCCGGGGGCATGTGGGGCATCATCAAGCACTGCCACGGCATTCCCAGCACCTGGCCCTTGATACTGTACCTCAAGCATGTTGAGGGCCGTTGATGCAGAAATTGAGTTGGACGTCCAAGTGATGTTAGCCAGGGCGGTGGCGTCATGGCGTTGATTCTGAAGCAGCAGACCACAAGCAAAGCCCGATTGCGTGGCTGTTAAATCAAATTGCCCGAGCAAAAACATGCCCCTGGAGGCGTCGTTGACTGCGTCCAGCGCTTTGATGAGGAATGGGCTCGGCACAGGGTTTGCAAAATCAGTAGCGTTCCAGAATAAAACAGCGGTGGATCGCGCATGCAGGAGAAAGCGCTCGTACGCCAGCACATGACTATTGATTGCGGCAGCATGAGCGTAATGCGGTCCGGGCTCAAATTGTGCACTGGCGCCTATGGGGCGCATGATGGCGTTGCCGAGCGGAAATCCTGGATCCCAATAGCAAAAGTAGAGGCAGCCTTGGCTCCCGTAGGCCAGAGAAGCAAAGACCTGCCAGCGAATCTCGCCCAGGGAGGGATCCTTGTGATTGTTAAACGGCATGGTGTTGAAGAAATTGACAAAGCTAATGTTGGCGGCAAGGGCGGCAGCACGCAGTACGGCAAGATTGTCGAGGTAGCCCTGACGAGTAGCATTGCTGTTGGGGTCGGCAAAAGGCACGTCAAAGAGTGGGTAGTGGTCCATGCTCAGTAGATCAGGGCGCACCGTGGCCGTAAAGGCACTCACATAATCTCCGTAAGTGGGTGTGCCAAGGAGACTGGGCGCGGCATAATTGGGGAGGAGGTTGATAAAACGCAGCTTGCCGGGCCGTGCAGTGGCCACGGCTAGGCTCCAGCTGCGCAGGTCTGCAAAGTCAGCCTGTGTTGGCTCGTCCTTCATCTGATATCCCAGCAGGGCTGGGGAGCTGCTGTTGCTGAGGGCGGAGACCTGCGTTGCATCAAAGCCAAAAGGGATCACGAGAAGGTCATTGGCTTGGGCTGCTGAAATTTGTTGTTCAATGACGCTCTCGGTCTTGGCTCCAAATCCGCCAAGAATGGTCGTAAAGTTGGCCTTTTGAATGCGCGCGTACTCGTCAACAAACTGTGACGGGTCGACAATGGGATCCACCCAGAAGGAGAGCAGCAAGCGCGGGGGTCGCCACTGAGCCGAGGTCAACGTGGCCAGACCCAAGAGCCCCAGACAGACCCAAGCACAAGGCCATCCCTTACTCTGGCGCTTGACGGCAAGCATGATGTGCCTGACCCCAGCTACCACGTCTCCGCAGCGACGATGTCAAGGATCAACGCACACACGCACGCATGCACGCACAAACGCACACACACACACACACACCAACACACACACTCTCTCTCTGTGCTCGCGATCAAGGGGAGGGAGTGATTATTCGACCTCGAGTTTTATCTGACATGATGACAACGCCCTCCCCGCCCTCACACTTTGTCGTTTTTTTGTCGATTGGGACCAGTGGCATGACAGCAGAGGAGGCGACCAGGGGCATGGCCGCAGGGTGGGCCTTTGGGCCGGGGGGACGTTTGGTGGATATGTTGGCGCCTTACGATGAGCATCGACTGGAAGTGGTGGGGTGGAGTGCTGTGTTTTTTGGAGCTTTGTATGTTCTCGTCCATGTGGTGGCGTGGATGGGTTTGCCGCGGTATGCCTCGGCGACGCGGCGCTGGCAAATGGAGCTGCTCGCGCGGATCGTGGGTCCGGTCCATGCGTTGGCCGTGGGACTGCCTGCTTTGGAGACGTTACTCGATGCTCTTTCGGCCGGACCAAGTGCCCCGTGGCCCACGCCGCCAGGTCTGCAGGCCGCCGTGGCCATCTCCATCGGCTACATGCTGGTGGACTCGGCTCAACTCCTCCTGCGTTATGATGGGGCCATGGTCATTCATCACGCACTGACGCTCTGTGTGGAGGTGCCCTTTGTCTTCGACTTTTATCCTACCTACATGACCACCCATGTGATGACTAGTGTCTTCATGTCCACGGAGCTATCAACCCCCTTCCTCCACTGTAGTTTCATCCTGAATCGATACGGACTGGACCGTGATAGCACCGGCACGCGATGGTCGGGACCTGCATTCCTCTCTCACCTCATGACTCTTGTGACCTGGTTTTTCACCCGTGTGTTTGCTTTTCTTTGGCTGGGTGTCGCTCTGTACTGCCGACGCGAGGACTTGAGCGCCGCCTGGTTTACCACAACGCAGCCTCTCTGGGCCTCGCGCTTCAAGATGATTCACGTCAATATCTTCTACGTGCTCCTGACCTTGTTGAACCTCCAATGGCAATACAAGTTGATTCGCCTCTTCCTGCGCGGGCCGCACAAAAAGGGCCGCAAGCGTCAGTGACGCCCCCCTCTGTGATTGTGTGGTTGCTTGGAAGCCAAGAAGACCCGGCTCGAACATTGAATAGCAAGCAAAAATCACACCAATTACATAAATTGATGATTGAGAAACAACTTTGTGCAATTCTGCGCATGAACTGGTCTGCAGCGACGAAAGAATGGTCTTGATCAAGGAAAAGCTTGGGTCCGCCAATCGTAGTGACAAGGCCATGATGGTGCGTTAAGTTTCAACTTCCACATGCACAATCATTGCACCAAGGTTGCCGAGTATGAAACGGATTCTGTGCCGCTTGCAGGTAGAGTAAGTCGCTTGACCATCCATTTCTCCGAGTCCAGGTGCAGGGCGGCCACTGTCACGGTTTCCTGTGCCGCCCCCTGCACCTCGACGACCAAGCCACCGTCTGACGCGCATGTCACGTTCCCAATGCGAGCAGGTGAAAGTGGAATGTAGGCCATCACATCGCCGTACAAACCCCACCTACGGATGAATCAATCAGATCCACACAAGATAAATGTCGTATGAGGTGGACCTCCACTCATCACTCAGCCTCAGTCTTAGCCCATACCAATGTGATGGAGACCTGCTGGCAGCACAGTAAACGGTATGGGGCGGTTGGCTGACCTGCTGTCGCACACGGTTGGCACAAGTTGGAGTAGGTTGTAGCCGTGCTCGGTGCCGTCATCCTCTGGTGTATCAATCATGAGTCCTTGCGGTGCTGTCCAACGCAGAGGTCGACACTCTTGCAACACACACTCTGTAATGTTTGAGACGGCCAGATATGTCTCATTGTTTGGACTCAGCGGCCACACATCTGTTTAAAAAAAGAGTGAAAATAGCCCACATCCACGCAGACGCACGAGTACACAGCGACAGTTGAGACAGAAAATCGTCGCATTCAGATAAACAGCAGACCTGAGCCGGTGTCATGACCGACCATTGGCACGCGACAGCGCATACCTTCAAAGGCGAGCTCCAAGGGCTCACTTAAGGAGACCGCGAGTATCGTATAGGCCATGGTGCTCGCCCGACCGTCCACCGTCAGGCGCACATGGGCCTGAAACACGTCACTGGGCTCCGAGTTGCTGCCCACTCGACCCACACTGCGCGTGGCTGCTGGGCGATGCGCTTGCTTCTGCTGTGGGCGTGCTTGATCGTTGGGTTCAGTTGCTCGGTAAAACATCATATCCAGTGGGGTAGCCGCATGGGATGGATGCAGCAGCACACCATCCGCTCTGTGAGAACGCCCGTGGTAAATAAGAGCCGGTGCGCAGGGCGGGCAAACGCGCAATCCAAATCGAGGCAGGGAATTGGCATACCGTGCAAAGTGCGGGATCAAGCTGGTGTCCGTGTAGCCGATGCCGTCTCCGATCCCGAGAGGCCCGTTGGACATGGTGGCAATGATCAGCTGTAGCTCAATGTTGTCTCGAGACACATTATAGACGTTACCCGGCTGCTCGCCTCTTGTCCAAACAACATCCAAGAAGGGCCTGGGTGGGGCAATGGGTCAACAAGGCACATGCTTGCCAGAATCAAACAAAGTGCGGCATGATGCCCAGCGTACCCAAGTCCAACTGCAGCATAAAACATGCTGGTATATCCGATGCGCCAGCGATTCTCATTGGTTGGGAAGTTATCCTGTTCAGGTAGCCAGCCGTCGGAGATGAGAAGCCATGGAATGACCCACATTCAAGAGAATGACAATGGCAAGTGACTTGCCTCACTGGCACGAGCATTTGTGACGCCATTCAATGGCAAAGCAACCATCATCTCGAGAGGCAATCCCATGCAGTATCTATCGCCCACATCCGCTCGTTCAGGCGCATTGGGACTCTGACGTGCCTTCCCTTTTAGCCCTCACATGTCACCGTCCTACTGGGAACCGCTGTCGTGGCAAGAGGCAACTTACTGGACAGTCATGTTGTTGGCCAAAACCGCATCATTCATGCCTATTGCCAAGAACGCCACCCAAAAGCATGAACGGGGTTGTGTTTCGTGTGTCTGAGCAAGAGTGCAGATCTAGTCTTACCACGCGCCCACTGGTCGTATGCGCCAATATGATGGGTAAATTGGTCCATGGTCAAGTAATTAAAGTCCATGAAATCGACCTCAAATGCATTCATGATCCCGGCCTGCTTTGCAGCCAGAACAGCTTGGTGAGAAAGTTGGGATAACAAAAAGGCCGGCATGAACAAGCAGACCACACACCGTAGCGAAGGGGGCGATGGTGCTATTAAAGAAAGCAAAGGCTTGTTCGGGGGCAATCTGAGCAATGTAGCCTTGTGTGAAAGTGTGGATGTACTCGCTCACGCTAAAGTTAAAGCCGGGGTAGTACTTTTGAGTTGCTACATTTGCCAGGAAAAGACAGTTGGGATGTTAGGGCTTAACATGTCAACGAATGAAATGAAAAGAGGGTACATGTGGTCGAGGTTGCTTGAGTTTCGACCCAACTCCGGGCCTGGGCTAGTGCTGAATCGACTAGTGAGTGTGAGCTAACGAACCGGGGCAATAGAAGGATGCGTAGAGAAGCAGGGGAAGACCGGCATCGCGCACAGGCTGCATGCCATTGGGAAAATGGGTAGGATTTGCCGTCCAGTTCAGAGCTCCCATTGCACAGGGATAACCCTCAACCGGATACCTATGCCCACACACGAGTCGCCCCAAACAATGTGAGTGGGAGCAAAAGAGGCTCTGAGAGGACAAACGCTGCGACAGCCCTGACCAGTAGGGATCAAGTTGCAAGTAGCGGGCTGGAATTTGCTCGTGCCGCAGATATTCGACCAGCTCAACCGCAAGCGACTGGTTCAACGGATTACCGCCGTAGTAGAAGCCGCCTAATAATTGCAATGTTTTAGAGCGGGCAGAGTGGGACCACATGGCTTGCCTCAAACATTTCCGCAGTTTTGGAAAACGGGCGTGAGAGCATGGCGATTCGCACCGTTGTCTGTCCAGTATCCCAACAGCTGATCGACGGGATCTTTACCCGTGGCTTTTGCAGTCTGGTGTTGTTGTTGCAACACCTAATGGGTGTACAAGTGGCAAGCATGAGAATGTGGCCCACGACATAGGGATCGCAAGCATCCCCTGCGAAAAGTGTTGAAGGCGAGCAACACGCAGAATTTTGTGGTGACAATAGCTGTCGCAATTGAATCGAACAAACCTGACCCCAGCGATGCATTCCCTCATTCAGACCACTTGCAGGGCTGGGTACCAATACAAAGGCCTGTGAATGACCGGCTGGTACATGCTCGACTCGACCCTGAATGCCGTAAACTAGGCTCTTGACGATCTTGCCAGAAACATGTCCGGTTGTGGGAGTAGCTCCAGCCGCACTGCGTGCGTCAGCAGACCAGGTGAGCCAAATGAGTCAACCGCACCGGGTCGACACGGCCGTTCAGATGCGAGCAAGCAAGCAAGCTCATCTCACCTATATTTGAGGTAGCAGTTGCAGGCGTATTCATTGCCCACGCTACAATCCACGTACGAGAAGTAGCGGCAAGCAGGCTCTGAAGCGCATGCACTCCAGCAAGCCTAATTTTCATGCCCACAATGAGAGCGCAAAGGACAGAAAAGTGGCGTGTCTTGACGAGAAGTCTGCGCAGTCACCACAAGGCGAAGCGGACTCGGTGTTGGGCCAAGCAAGTCTTCAAACCTCGGCCGAGGTTTGATTGGGAAGGGACCAGAGATCGTTGGCCTCAAAATCAGTATTGTTGGCAAAAGCAGCTTCAGAAGCGATCTGGTCAGCTCGCCACGCAGAAATACCTTCCGCATGACCGTTCCAGGTGCTGAGCACGAGCGCATCGGTTTGGCGAGGGTAGGTGGTGTCAAACAGGACAATGGGGCCTCCCTCACTGCCACCAATCAACCGATCAATGGAGGGCCCATGGGTGCTCTTGTCGTGACTAAAGCGTCCACGCCAGGTCACATGCCCCAGAAACGGAGTCACCAACGACCAAGGCGGATCGGTTGAGTTGTATTCGGCGTGGTCACCCACAATGCGGAAAGCCGGAAATTCACTGAGCGGGCGGCTACTGCTGTTAAACTCGCGCGTAGAGCCTGAAGGATCCATGGGCTGTGACACGTTGCTCTGATCCAAGCATTCAAAAACAACCACCATGTCAATGAGCCGCGCTGTTCATTCAAGCCCACAAGTGGTGCGAGATTGCAACAGAGCCGCAGAGACCTGAGAACAGTCCGTGGTGAAATTTTGCACAAAGACAAAGCTGTTGGCATTTTGCAAGTACTCGATGTGGGTGGTCCAAGTGAAACCGTCTTTGGCGGCCCAACCCATGGTTGCGCGATCAACCGAGCCCCACAACGGGGCATCATATCTAGCGCCCATACGAACGTAGTCAAAACCCAAGCCAAGGCCCAAAGGCAGGACGAGGTCAAAGCTATGGCTGGACGGCACCGCAGCGAATGCCACACACACACACACACACACACACACACACACACACACACACACATGCACACACATACTGGAGGCAGGGGGCAACGAGGAACGTACTGTTCGTGATTGACAGTGACGAGATCAAGCTTGGTCTCACCCGGGTTAGGCTCGGCAGCAGTCGTGTACCACGATGTGCAGTGCACGCGACTGGGTGCATCCAGCAGCCAGGGTGTCGAACCAAACGAGACATTGTACGACAGCGCTTCCCCAACTTTTGCCACAAGCTGCAGCAACACCCCCTCACGCCCCCATGCCACCACCAAGTCATCTCTCCCCTCAGCCTTGACCCCCAACATGGCCAGCACCATGCAGATCACAAGCCAACCCCGGCTGCCCATCATGATGCTGATCTGGTCACTCAAGAGATGGAAAACATCAACATCACACATGAATGCAGCATGAATTGTCTGACAATTCGACGAGAGTCTCTTCGCTCTCTCTCTTTCTCTCTCTCTCTTTTCTCTCTCTCTTTTCTCTCTCTCTTTTCTCTCTCTCTTTTCTCTAAAACTCTCTCTCTGAAGCTCTCTATAAAGCTTTCTCTCTAACTTTTCGAAGCTCTCTCTCTCTCTCTCTGAAGCTCTCTCTCTCTTTCAAGCTCCCTCTCTTTCCAACACTGCTTGTGAGAGCGCGTGGGTGGAGGTCGGTGGCATCCATGGCGAGGGTCGAGTGGCGGTGATGAATGGAGGTGGGACGGGGCATGGCATGATGGAGGCGTACGATTTTGGGCGGGAAACAGACTCGGAGAGCGAGTCTGGTGTGGATGAAACGTGCATGGTCGGCTATCCCGTCTCGCCCTCTTGGAGCTCGACCGTCGAACCAACGGTAAGCGCCTTCGCTTCCTCGGCTGTCGCCTATCGCACTCGGTTGTTTTTTGCGCCTGCCTCGCTTTCTGCTTTGCTTGTGCGATGCACCCACTCATTCTGCTCGTCTTTATCTGCTTCTGCTGCTGCTTGCATGTGCCGTGCGGCGCCTGGACTCGTCCCCATAGAGTGCCTCAACTGCTAGCAGCAGGATACCGCCCAACGGCAGTTTGAGTGGCCCTACGTCGGCACAAGGTGTCGTGCACACTCTAGGCCCCGAAGATGTCGAGGATGTCGTGCCTGCTTCCGAGCTGAACCAACGACTCAAGGAGCTGGCCCAGTCAGTCTGATTCTCTCGCCTCCTGTTGCCTTTTGCGACGGAATTGTCTCCCTGACAACATTTCGGCTTGCCCTGCCTTGTGCAAAACGTGTAGTGCCGCCCAGGCTGCTGATACCGAAGCGGAGGAACTGGACAAGCGCGTGTGTGAAATTCAGGCCCGGACGATTGCCCTCGAAGCCGTTCGAGAGCGCAAGGTATGCTGTCGAGACTTGACCCACAGCATGAAGGCGCGCCACACCCACTCCGCCGTGAGAGAAAAGCCGAGCTCGTCTGTATTGAGGGCTTCCTCGTCGTTTGCCTGCTGTATAGGAAAAGGCAGTGCACACGGTCACCTCAGAACTTGAGGCTGCCGAGCGACAAGTTATTGTCTTGCGTCGGCAGCAACAGTTGGCTCGTCAGGCCACTCTACAAGCAGGTCATGCTGTCACCGCCTCTCACCTCAAGGCCAAAACCGCCGCCGAACTCTTGGCAGGCGTCCAGCGGCGTCAACAGCACGTTCAAGCCGAGGTCTGCACGCTCTGCTCTTTCGTCTGAAATAGTTGGCCTGTATGTGTCTGTGTCTGTGTCTGTGTCGGTGTCGGTGTCGGTGTCGGTGTCGGTGTCGGTGTCGGTGTCGGTGTCGGTGTCGGTGTCGGTGTCGGTGTCGGTGTCGGTGTCGGTGTCGGTGTCGGTGTCGGTGTTGGTGTCGGTGTCAGTGTCGGTGGTGGCGGTGCATGTATGTAGGAAGGTTTAGAGTGAGTGGGTCTATCCATTTTGCTTCCTCACATTGCTGTTGTGACTGCAGTTGCGTGTGATCGAGCAAGCCCTTGTACGACGGGCACGGCTCAAGGCCCAGGAGCGAGCACAGGCGACCTGGGGTCTACAGCGACAAGCCGCGCGCTGTGCCCAGGCCATGCTCCAACATACTGCATGGGCGCACCTCCTGGAAAGCATTTCTTCACGCGTGACGCCCCTGCCCGAACGGCGTTTGATTCGTGTGCCTCGTGAGCACAGCCAGGCCAGCCCCCAGACTCTGACGCGTGTGCATCTTCAACGTTTGGCGCGCCCTTACCGCAGCCCGCTGACGGTCATTGCTGCGTACCGCCGTCGGCGTATTCTTCAAGAGCGCCGCTCGCCAAGCGAGCTCCTCAGCTCGCAAAATGCCTCCACACTCGATCCCCATCAGCCCCTGTGTTGGGCCTCCCTAAAAGGCGTCTGCAACGATGATGCATGTCCCCTGCAGCATCTCACACCCGAGAACCAGGCGCCCTCCACTCGAGCCAAGGTATGCTGACACCATGTCGATATGACTTGGCGATGTGCAGCGTGGATAAATATATTTTTCCTCTCAAAAAAACTCGGCTTGCAGCCCACGCTGACGCTGTGGTACCCATCGTTGGTTGTCTAGGCACTGCTGTCACGTGCAGGTATTGCAGTACCTGAAGACCTCATCGAAGGTGAAGATGAACAGACCTGTGCCGTTCATGTAGCACAGCAGCTTCAACGGCACTCCCAGTCCCCCAGTGATGATCTTTTTGTCGCTCTGACCAAAGCTGGAGAAGAAGATGCGCCAACGACCGCCCGCCGCTTGGCTGTTCGATGGTACATGGCACAGGCGAGCGAAGATGTCGACGACAAGGAGGAAGTGGACAGCGTGATAGGCCTTGAGCACACTTCGCCGTCTTTGCACGATGCGGCTGGCCCTGTCAGATACTTTTTGAACAGCACCTATGTTCTAGAGCATGCACTAGACCTGGAATGCGAGGTACTCAATGCTTCTCGCGATGCACCATTTTTTTGTTTTTGTTTTTTCTTTTTTTTTCCTCACACCTTGGTTTCGTGGGCGGGGTGTTGTAGTGGTGTGAACTGCAAAGTGCCGAGGCTGCGCGAGAATACGTTACTTGGGTCGATGCGCATGAGGCCGATCTGCGTCGTCAGCTGCGCTGGTTGACAACGTGCACATCAGCTCACTGTCATCTTCTTCTGGTTGACCACAACAGCCCAGTGCCGGTTGGGGCCCAGGTCTATCTCGGGCTGCTGGAGCGCTATGACAAAGCTGCACACCGCTCTGCCAGGCCGCCATCGAACATCTGGCTCGATGCTTACGAGTACCTTTTACATCACAATTTTCCGTACGATAGAAAAGATCTGATTGACGATAGCCATGCCTTTGACCTGGCCCCGTGCGTGATTTTGCTCACACTGAATGGGTTTGTCTGTGTCTTAGGGCTAGGGCCGACACGCAAGATGTCACAACAACCGTCTTTAATCACGCTTGTGAGGCTTTGATCGCCGACAATGAGTTGGACTGCCTGGAGGCATTATGGCTCAAGCACCTTCAAGATACACCTTCCCGAGAACGCTATCTTGGCGCTCTTGCATTCTTTTGGCACCGCTTTGATGGACTCACACTTGGATTGTGGCGCTTGCTGGCCCGCATCGTTCTGACACTGGTTCAGATGGACGCGCATGCGGGACATTTAGCCCAGGCACTGGTTCGGCTAGCCGTGGCTTTGGGGCTTGATCTGGACGCCCTCCAACCCAATTTAGCCGATCCTGACACCGTGGCAGCCGAGGACTTTATCAATCTGATGGCCTTTCAAGTGGAGGCTAGTGTGGACGAGCGCGTGTGTGACTGGAATTGCTTGTTTGCTTGTTTGCTCTGGCTGGGGCAGGAGGGTCATCTACCTCCTCTGCTCACAGACATGGGCGATGCTCTGGCACTGGTGGACTTTGCGTGGGATTCCTGGTTTTTGACTCTGCACCGTTTACCTGCAAAGGCCGATGTCCTCTTTCCTGCTTTGAACCTGAAGGGCCTTATGGGTGGGGCCATGGTGCTCTGCCCGCGCCCTGAAACGTTGGCCACCTTGGCTGAAGGTGTCCTCCAATTATGCTCAACCATGTCTGCTTCGCCCCTGGCCCGAGCCTTGGCTTGCAGCCTGCGCGTGGCCAGTGCTCAGATGCATCCGGCAGATTCGCGCACCCAGGCTCTTCTGCACCGTCTGCACAGCTGGATTGATGGAGACGTTCAAGGCAATAATGAAGCTGCGTCCCAGCTTGATTGCAACGCGCCACAATCTGAAGCCGGTGCACCGCAATCGGCGCCAGACTGGTATTCGGAGCCGGAGAGTGTCACCCAGCGCGCGTTGACAGAGCTGGCCGGGGGCAGGGTGGACGTGGCAGTTCGTACACTCATCAAGGGTGTAGAGCATCACATGGAGCATCGCATGACGCCCTTGTACCTCCAGACTTTGGATGATGCTCTGGCCGCGCTTCGACGAACCTTACGTGATCTGCGATCAGATCCGAGATCGACGGTTGAGGTCTCTGATCAGGATGAGCGGTCTGGGATAGAGCGTGACAACCCCTTTTTATGGAAGTTGTTGGTGACGCTAGCTGTTTTGCGCCAGGATGAGCAAGTCGTGGCGACCCTCATTGAGCTTGCTTTGGAAGCAGAGCAAGCCCTGCCATCCAATGCAGCGCTTGTAGTTTGGCAACATGCCTTTGCATTGCTGCCCGTTGTTTTGGTGGGACACGACGGTTGGTACAACGCATCTTTCTTGATTCCATGACAAAACAAGAACAATCGCATGAGACTCACGCATGTGGGCATGCGGGGACTGGTCCCTCGACCGTTTAGTTTGGTTGAATGCTCGCCGATGGCTTGCGCTTTGCAGCGCCAGCTCTCTTTTGCAAAGGCACGCTGCCGTTTTTCAAGGATTGGCGGTGCAGGTTTGTCTCAAAGCTTACGTGGAACGGCACAATCACTTTTTGCTTTGGACAACTTGGCTTGGAGAAGCTTCACCTGATGCACCACCGTTTCTGCCGCTAGCTTGTGCGTGCGCTGGTTGTTGGCGATGATAGTCAAGCAGTTGCGACTTTGGCCATGGCCACCCTCGATGGACTTGGACAACACCCCTCGCTGTCAAACTCTTCAGCGGCCTTGTGGGCGGCGTAGGTTTGAGGAAACTTGAAGCGTGACGCTCTTCTCTGTGTTTGTTTCTTTGTCCTCCCTTGGCTGCTGTTGCTGGTTTGACTTGCCTCTGTATTTTAGGCGCGTGGAATTGGCGTATGGAGCTGCAAAGCCTCGTGCCGCCAAGGTTTGCCCAACGGCTTGCGTGTGGTGTTATTCTGCCTGCTCTCAGATATGCCCACAGTCCGGCGAGCGAGTCTTATGTTGGGGAAAACCTTGCAGGAACTTTTGGAGCGCAGCTTGCGGGCTTGCCCGCGGTCCATTCTTCTCTGGCATCTGTAGGTTTTTGAATACAGACGTTCAGTGCCCTTTGTGACTTTGTGGCTTTCGAGGGTTTTACATTCTCGGCCTGTCATTGGGGTTGTGTACCACATTGCAGACTCTTGTTACATGTCAAGCATTTTGAGTTGGCAGAAACGGTATGGTTGCACTGTTTTCCCCCCATCACCCGGCCTGTCTTTAACCTCGTGTGTCCATGTGTGTGTCTGGGTTGTCCAAAAAAAAAAAAAAATGTTTAGGTCCAACAACTGCACGAGCAGGCTCGGGCAACTTGCCAGCTTGACGCGCTGGCCTGGCAAACAATGAGTTCAACCTGATGAGGGGCGCTGCACTATCATTGGGACTGTGTAACATCAAGTCCAGGTGCAAGCACCCGAAGGGTGGTTCTTTTTGTGACACTGGAAACGATGGAATCATGACAGGAGTAAATTACGAGCGCATCTTGAAGAGAAGCAACTCTGGAATCACGGTATGGTAAACAGAGCGGAGGGTGAAGAACAGACAAAGAAGGGGAGCGGAAGGGACGGTACAAGGGGGGCGAGTTGAGCTCGTTTACGCAGACTCGGCGCTCTGAACCTGTGACAGACAAGCAGTGGCGCTCAATGAGCGAGCCAAGATGACTAGACGGATTGCATTGGCTCGCAAAAGCCATGAATAATTGAAAGCAAAATACAAACGAATCAACGTACGCGAAGCTTGGCCATGTCCTGCTTCACCGAGTTGTAGCCGTAGGTGTACCATCCAACGGCGCCGATCGAGGCGAGAATCTACGACCAGAGTACAATCGGGTCAACATGAGACATGCTGAAAATCAACAGGTGGGGCCAGAAATACAACCCCGCAGGCGTCGTTTTCCTTCTTGAGCGATGCATTGTTCTGAGCTCAGGGTTTAGAGCCCACGCGTTCGCCCTTGGTCGCGGCTGGCTCAGCTGAGCACTAACACCCCAACCCAAGCAGCCCTCAAAAAATGGGACGACAGAAACTTACGCCGCCAGCGACCAGGTCCTTGACGAGCTTGCTCGTGACAATGCCACGCATCTGGGGAGCCATCTATCCGTCACACAAAGGCAAGCAGAGGATGTCGGTTTGCACGTGAGCTCAAACAGGTGCACCGCCGTCTTCCCTGCGATGCAACCCTTGCGCCTTTTGGGCGGGCCGGCCCCGAGTCCTTGACCACCGCTTGAAATAACAACTTCTAGGAAGTAAATTCATCTCCCAGAATACAAGCAGTTCCGTACGGTACACACGGTGCAGGTCCAACGATCGAGGGGCGCTGCCATTTGTGCTCACCGTTTTGGTTCAGAGAAGAGAGAAGAAAGAGGGGTAGTAACCGCAAGGGTATCTGATGTAAGTGGAAAAAATAGACGATGGCATTCACACTATCAGTTTAACCCCATTTATCCCAACAAAATGATTTTAAAGCCCCGGCTCTCTGGGCACAGCCTTTGTGCTGACAATAATTATCAAAGTGTAATTTATGGTAGACTTTTCTGTATAGCTGTCACATGTGGTAGCTGCAGCTTAAATTGCCGACCGGTTGCACACACACACACACACACACACACACACACACACACACACTCGCTCTCTCTCGCTCTCTCTCTCTGCGCGCTCTGCTCTCTCTGTGTGTGCATTTCGTTCCGCTGAAGTGACGTGACGAGCATTTGAGGCGGCGCTGCACCCTCTTCTGTTGGCGTTGCGGCTGCCACCTGTGATTGCTGGGCTGAGCTTATCGATACCCTGACCCCACGTCTTTCCAACACTCACTGTCCAGCTTGTTTGACAAGCTTGAGCTACGGGTGGCAACAACCTCCGGTGTCCCGGTCTTGGCTGAGCTGACGTGCCCGATTGCAGCCAGCAAGCCCGCACCAACCTCACTCTTCGTAGAGTGCGAACGCTCGGCCACCTGTTGCGTACAGGGAGGTGAAGATGCGTGTAGCTTCATGTTGATAACTGCCCCTTAAACGCGGACACAGTAAGCCATGCGCTCTGACTCCAGTGTGCTGGTCGCTGATTTCATATTCATCTTTGACTGACTGGTGCAACCCTGGCAGCAACCTTTTGCCATGCTTGGCCCTGTTTTAGGCGGGCAGTGCTGGCAGCCCCGCCCCTTGCTGGCCCTCGTACGTACCAACATGAATCTTATAGCCTGAGCCCCCCTCTACCTGCCCGCGCGCACACGGGTAGCTGACCTGGCTGTGGCTTGACACAGGCGCGGAGCGCGACGCGCACGGTGCATGGATTGGCGAGGGCCCGTGCAACAGCCATACATAGTGTAACTCCTACCCTTACGGCAACGCTGCGAACCCTGCAGCCCCACCAACTCTGGTCGACCCTCAGTCCCGTGCCAGCAACCCAACAGGTGGCTGACCCCCTCCGCCACCAGCAACGATCTTTTTTTGGCCCTTTCCGAGGCTCCGACTTGGACGCTGTCGTTGAGGAAGCCGATGCACACCCCAATGATGCCTCAAAACAGGCCCAAGCTCTTCAGGTATGTGCTCCATCATCGGACCAACTGCCGCTGTGGGACACCCTGCTGGGCCGAACCTGCCTCACCTCGTGTTGCCTGTCATGACAGCTCCTGGCCGAAGAGGAGCCGGAAGAGGCCATCCGTCGATTCACCAGCCAGCGCTATGCCAGTGACGACGCGTGCATCAAGCACTACATTGCTGCCCTGGTCAACGCTGGTCGCCTTGAATCCACTGACCTCACCCCCATCCTGGCCAAGTATTCCACGGCCAGTGCTGCAGCCGCCGCTGTTGCAGACATGCCCCTCGCGTCCATGGCCCCGAGACAGGCCAGCTTTGGTGGCAAGGATACCGGCCGTGGTAGCGACTACTCTTACTTCAACGCCGGAAGCGATAAGCAGAGCCGTGGTTCGCATGAAGAACCCATCTATGTCGCCATGCAAGAGCCCTCGACCAAGTCTCAGCTGTGGCGTCTGCTGCGCACCATCATTTTTTTGCTCATTCTCCTCTCTGCCATGAACCAGGCTGTGGATGAGCGCGGTCTGGGTGGTCGTGCCATGGGGGCAGACAACGAGGTTCGCCCCGAAGCCATGGATCGCCAGTACACCTTTGAGGATGTGCAGGGTGCTGACGAGGCCAAGGAGGAGCTCATGGATGTGGTCGAGTTTCTGCGTCACCCTGACCGCTTCACCCGCCTGGGCGGCAAACTGCCCAAGGGTGTTTTGCTCATGGGACCGCCGGGCACGGGCAAGACGTTGCTGGCCCGGGCTGTGGCCGGTGAGGCCGGCGTGCCTTTCTTTTACTGCTCCGGCTCGGAGTTTGATGAGATGTTTGTTGGTGTGGGCGCCCGTCGCGTCCGCGAACTCTTTGCCGTCGCCAAGCGCAAGGCGCCGTGCATTGTATTTATGGACGAGATTGACGCCGTGGGCTCGCGCCGCTCTGGCCGTGACCAGCAGTACTCCAAAATGACACTGAACCAGCTCTTGGTGGAGCTGGATGGCTTCAACTCATCTGACAAGGTGATTGTGGTGGCCGCGACCAACTTTCCCGAGAGCCTGGACCCTGCCCTGATCCGCCCGGGCCGTTTTGATACACACATCAAAGTACCGCTTCCAGATGTGCGGGGTCGCCAAAAGATCCTGGAAACACACGCCAGCAAGGTCCAGCTGGATAACAAGGAAGACCTGTGGACCATTGCCCGCGGCACTGTTGGCTTTAGCGGCGCCGAACTGGCCAATCTCATCAACCAAGCCGCGCTTCAGGCCTCGCGCCAACAGCGCGACTCGATCGACCTGGCCATGCTTGAATGGGCCAAGGACAAGATTCTCATGGGTGCTGAGCGCAAACAAGCCGTCATTACCGAGAAGGACAAGGCCGTGACCGCGTACCATGAAGGTGGCCACGCGTTGTGCGCCCTCTATGCACCGGGCGCAGTTCCCGTGTACAAGGCCACCATCGTTCCTCGCGGTAATGCCCTCGGCATGGTTACACAGCTGCCCGAGGATGACACCAACTCCATGACTCGCCAGCAAATGATGGCCCGACTGATCGTGTGCATGGGAGGCCGTGCGGCCGAAGAGAAGATTTTTGGCTACGACAATGTCACTTCGGGGGCGTCCAGTGATGTCGAGCAAGCCACCAAAATGGCCCGTACCATGGTGACCAAATACGCCATGAGTGACAAGGTTTGATCCCTGCGACATCGTGTTCTCACACGCGTGTTTGTGGTGTATTCGCGCATTCCACGACCAGCATTGCGGGCTGATCTTTCTTTTTTTTTTTTTTTTTTTTTTTTTTATGATGGTGTGTTCCGTAGGTTGGTCCAATGATGTTTGACGATGAAGACGTGATTAGCAACGAGACTCGGGCCCTGATCGAACAAGAAACGAAACGAATCCTTGAGGTTTGTGCGCGACTGGTGACTTGGCCCGGCCTTGGAACCTAAGCCAGAGCATGGTCATTGGTGGCTGCCATCCTCATGGCGACGTCTTTGACATTGTGTTGCACATTGTTGTGTTACCACTTTTGTTAGGAAGCCATGGCGGGCGCCGTTGCCATCCTGACCAAGCATGAAAAAGAGCATCATCGTTTGGCCAAGGCTCTGCTCGAGCGAGAGACCCTGACAGCAGATGAAATGCGTTTGATCATCAAGGGCAAGAAGCTACCCGATCTCCCGTCCCCTGCTGCGCATTAGAGACCCCGATAATTGACTCCCATGTCTGTTTCCCTTGTTCCACTTGTGAGCGCATTCGTCCACCCATGCCTGTGCGGCAATGCGGAGCGACCACAGCCCAGTGTGAGAAGACAAAAAAAAAAAGCGAGACAACCAGAGAGAGTTTTCATCTCGATTAATTTTTTTGTTTTTTGTTTTTTCTTTCTTTTTTTTGGGATCCGTCCATCACTGATTAGCTGTTGGTCGTCGGGCAGAATATGGCGACCAGCGGCAGTGGCGGCGGGGTGGGAGCCGGATCCAACGGGGGTTATGTAGGTGATCCGAATTTGATGACCGCTGAACTTGACCACATGATGGCATCGTACACACAGCAGATGCCGACCTATCCCGCGACCATGAATGGTCATGGCGTGACGTCGCATGGGTTGTCGGCAGCCGACATGTCGGGCTTGGACATGGGCATGGGCCTCAATGTGGGCATGAACCTTGGTGGGGCAATGTCGAGCGCCAGCAGCTATCCTTCTTCCATTCTGGGCGTGAATGGCTTGGCCACCAGTCTAGCCGACACGCCATCCGCTTTTCCCATGTCTTTTGCCACCGGCATGTCCTCTGCCTCCTCTCACCCTTCCTTGGCCGGCATGGCCATGGGCAGCGAGGCTGCACCCGTGTATGCCCCTAAGGAGGCCTCGTTTGCCTCTCACCAGCCTCACATGTCCGGTACGTCAACACTTTTCCCCCGCCGCAGTGCTCCACCCTCCAAAACTTGGGCAGATCAAGTGACAACCCTCGCCAGCTCCCAGCGAGAAACCCTCACCTCCGATCCGGCCATGCTCTCCTCCAGCGTACTCGGCACCCAACGCATTGCACCACCTTTTGCACCAGCAAGAACACACGACACAAGACCCGCGGGCCGAGCAAGGACACCACCAGCTGACCACCCATCAGCAACTTCTTCCCCGTGACCATTCAATGCTGCACGCACTTCACGGTACACCTTTGCAGCATGCCCAAAGTCTTGAACACCAACTACAGAGACACCATGCACCACACGTCTCCATGCACGCTGCGCTTCTTGGGCAAGCGGTGTCACAAGCCCCACATCACCCAACAACGAGCATGTCCATGGCCAGTGATGACCCACCAGGCTGGCCGTCAATGCTGATGGGGGCCTCGAGCACCTCGCTCTCTTCCGCCGCTGCGGCGGGGCCCCTCACCAGTTTGGCCTCGGCCAACATGAACCCATTCACCGACGATCTTGGCACACACCCATATGCTTTGGGGGGTAGCGTGGCAAGTCTCGCCAACGCAGATGAAACTCATTTATCAAATCCAAACTCCGTCCTCTCCCCGACCTCAGGAGAACAAGAGTTGCAGCCACAAACATCGGCCGCTGCGACAGCCAAAGCAGACTGGGGTATCCCGCCCAACTCAATTCACGACCCGCAACGCCGAGTATCACAGGAAACACTGGAAGCCGCAGTCAATGTTCTCAAGGGTGCTGGGGCTGCCTCGGAAGATGGCGTATGCCCGGTCTGCTCACGCCTCTTTACACGCCGCCACAACATTCGCCGCCACATCTCACGAGCCCACCCGGCAGCCTACGCCCAGCTGGAAGCCTATGAACGCGAGCTTGAGGAAAAGGAGGCTTTACAGCCACAGTTGCAGAACGAAAACTCAAACGCCGCCGATCAAGACAAATCTGTCGTGATGCAAACTCCGGGCATTGCCACCACTGCCACCAGCACCCCCCCTACATCCACCACCCGCCCAACACGCACGAGTCACGAGCTTACGCGAAGAAAAAGTCAGACTGTGGACGGCAATGTTGCCGCTGCTGGCACTTCCAAGTCCTCGCGCAACGCAGCGTCCAATCTGGCCGCCAAGCGTAGCGCCAGCGATTCGCGCACTGACGGGCGGAGTCGCAGAAAAACGGCCTCCAACTCCCTGGAGAGCCCCGCTCCTTCGCCCGCCCCAGTTGCTGAATCAGGAACACCGGCATCTGACTCTACACGAGATAGCACGACCACCGCCCGCCCACTCAAGCGCAGTCGCCGCATGGATGAAACACAGCTTGGCACCATCGCTGATATGTTCAAGTTCGTTTTACGCCCGACGCACACTTTGACAGTCGCTCTCCGATCATGGGGTGCTTGTTGTCCACTCAGTATCACTTTCTTGCGTGTGTGTGTGGTTGGTAGGGCTTGCTTGCAATTTTTGGTCCCACCAGGCTGGTCCATGACGCCTGAGCAGATTGCAGATCTTGACTTGAGCGGCTTGGCTCATTTTCCTTTGGACACGTTTCTAGAGCACTACTCAACCCAGCTTGAAGCAGTACGTTTGTTGCAATGGCGCACCCTGGTCGGCTAATATGACATCCCTCAAGTTATCGCGTCATTTCATGTGCATGCATCTTGCTTGACCCTATTCATCACTTTTCCTGCCCTGTCAACCTGTACAGTTTATCAAGCTGCGCCGAGCTGAGGCTGAAGCCCGCCAATCCTCAGCCGAAAACGAGTTGACAAGCGTGCGCACACAGACAGCACGCCTACGGCGCCTCAAGGCACAACTACGAGCGCTGGACTACACCTTGTCCAGTCATGCATCGGCCGGAACTGAACCGGATGAGGCCGAGGTCAAGGCCATGCAAAGCAAGCTGGAATCGATGCCAATGTGAGACCGCATGCGGTGGGGTATTGACTTCTGGTCGTGGCGAGCAATTGAAGAAAATTCTCACGCTGATTTCGAAGGGATAAGCACAGCCGGCATGCTTTTGCCCAGGGACGACTTGTATTATTTGAACGTGAAAGGACTGCATCTGCTTTTCCATAAAGAGAGCAGATAGGCCTGGTCAATGTCTAGTTTTTTTTTTTATGGTTTTTGAGTTCGCCACTCGGCGAGGACATGATCAAGCCTGCTCGACATGGACCAATACACATTCACTTGGGCTGTGCCGTCGTCTACGCCATCCATGTGAGGCTGCAGGCGGGAAAACGACCAGCAAAGTGATGTCGGCTGATGAGAAAAGGGCTAGAGAGAGACAGAGACAGAGAGGGAATCAGACGCACTTGTAACCACGCTGAAGCAGCTGTTGGTGCACTTCTTCGGCATGCTCCCTGCTGCGCGTTTCGAGAACGACGCGAATGGCCACACTCATAATGTCCGTCTCGATCCAGGCGCGCTCATGCTGAATGTCCTTGACGCTGGCCCCGAGCTCAGCCATAAGGGCGGTGAGACGGGCAATGGAGCCTGGACGATCGCTAACGGCGACAGTGAAGCGAACCAAGCGCCCATCTGCGGCCAGTCCGCGCTCCAGCACGCGCCCGATCACGGGAACATCAATGTTGCCGCCACACAAAAGGCATACCACCTTCTTACCCTAGAATTGATGAAGAATCGAAAGTGACGGTGAGACACATGGGGTACAAGCCAACTGCTTGAATGGTGGCTGCCAAGGCCGCCAATGCATGCCTCTAGTTGCACGAACCTTGAGCTCGGGTAATTTGTTGGCAAGCAAGGCCGCAAAACCGGCTGCACCAGCACCTTCCACCACGCCTATCGATCCCCAGACAGCCAGTCAACATGAGACCAGATGAGAACACTTGTATGCCAAACAGTAAGGAGTACATGTGTCGGCACCAGAAGATTGGGCAGTCAGCGCCTGGTCAACGCACACTTTTCGACTTCAAGCAGGCGCAAAACGGCAATGGCCACCTCTTTTTCACTGTAGCACGAGTTAAGCGAGGTGGTAAAATGTGAGTGGTGAACACGCGCCACCAGAAAGGAGACATGATGCTTGAAGGATGCGGGCAAAACTACTTTTAAACGGCGACGTTGGCCAGTCACAAGGGTTGGCCGTACCTAACGAGAACACAGCGGTCCGTGCGATCGCGTGCGACAGCAAAGGCCGTCGGGCCCACCCGAGGCACGGCAAGGCCGTCAGCGAGGGTTGATTGCACCTGCCAGACAATGCAAGCGAGGAAACCATCATGGTCAGCGCGTGCACACGCACGCCGGTTTTTAAGGAATTCTCAAGAAGGGCAAAGAAATTTGCCAAGTGAGCACCTCCACCAGAAAGCAGATCTGCTCACCTCCACAGTCACGGGTTCACCGGCCTTGAGCGCAGCGGAGAAGGACGGGCACGTCTCCCCCTCGACACCGATGACCTCAATCTCGGGGCGCAGCGTCTTGATGGCCAGGGCTACGCCAGCAAGTAAACCGGCACCACCCACAGGCACCACGACGGCATCCACGTCGGGCACTTGCTCCAGGATCTCCAACGCACAGGTGCCTTGTCCGGCAATGATGGCCTGGTCATTGTAGCCATTAATGTAGGTCAGCTTCTTTTCGGCGGCCATTCGCAGGGCAATGACCATGGATTCGCCGATATGAGCACCCTCGGTCATCACATTGGCGCCAAAAGTTCGGCACTTTTCCACCTTGCTCAGCGGGGCAAAAAGCTACCATGGACAAGGGAGCAAGCGGGGTTGGTTTGAGTTGAGAACGCGACGGTGCGCGCGCGAGAAGCTTGCCAGCGCAGTTTCTCTCAGATTTGAGTAGAACCCGCGGTAGAAGAGGGAAGATCAAAGAGGGGGACGCACTGGCATGACGAGGTAGACGGGAATGTTGAGGAGCTGCCCGTGGTAGGCCAAGCCCAGGGCGTGATTGCCGGCCGAGGCGGCAATGACGCCGTGCTTGCGCTGCTCGGGTGTCAACTGTTTGAGTGCATTTCGCGCACCACGCTCCTTGAAAGAACCTGATGGAAGAAAAGAAAGGGCGTCATCCAAGGGTGAGTGAGTCAGATTGGCACTCTGAGGTAAGTGTGGCAATCGCAAGGCACCGCGTACCAGTGCGAAGGGTGTACTCCTTCTTGAAGTAAAGGTCAGTTCCGGTCAGAGCAGAGAGGGCGTAGCTGAGGTCACAAGGTGTGGGATGCAGGCCGTCTGAGATGCGGTACTACATAAAGCATAAGGGGCCGTGCATCCAAAAAAAAAAAAAAAAGAGCGGCGGGACTGAATGAGTCAAAGTAGAGATGCAGAGTGAAAGCAAAGAGGTCACTTCAAAGCAGGGAACATGGGACATTGCTGGTACGACTGGAGTGGGTGGACAGAACCTTGGCCCGGGAGACATCCTCAAACTTGACATCCTTGACCTCGGTTTGGGAGGGAGGCGGACTGATCAAGGCTTCGATGGGGGCCTTGGCATTGGTCGAAGAAGGCACGGTCTCATCGGCCGACGCCTGTGAAGAAGTGTCTCGGCTTGACATGAAGCTGGTCAAGGGCAAACGAGGGCTCTGGTACACGACCAGCACGGCGAGGTGAGGGTCAGGTCAAAGCCAACCAGTTTCTTCTCCCGTCAACCCACACGAGGTCTCAAGGTCCTGCAGGACCACTCTGCTGGCACTGACAGGAACAAAGCATCCCATCCAAGCAAGATTCCTGCCGGACATCCATGCCCCCACTGGCCGGCATTACCAATCCCCCAAAGAGACGTACCCCCTTCCTCCCCTACGCACGCACATCCAAACCTGTCCGACCGCGCGAAGACCCTGGAAGACGCAAGAGCCGACCACGCACGCCGCTCACCTTTCACACCAACACAAGAGCGCGCAATTGACTTGACTGACTGACTCGCCTTGCACGCCTTACGTTACGCCTTAGGATTGCGAAGTCGTTAGCAGGATGTTGTAATCCTTTGGGAGGGACAACAGGTGTTGTTTTTTGTGTTGAAGACTGCTGTTGTTCACTGCCCGCCAGAAAAACACCCATCGGTTGGGGAGGCTGATGGCTCAATATGGCATCATCCACGCCAGAAGCTCGACTGTGCCGTAAATACCAAGTTGATGAGACTTGACATCCGCATCTCATGCAGACAAGGGCCAACTTTCATGGTCAACCCTGACATGCAGCCAAGGGAGGGCCAACTTTGGTCATCAGAGCTGAAGGCCGGTCACCTATTATTAGCGTACACCAAATCCTCAGTATATTTTTAGATGTTCAGCTACGCGCATCTGATGTAAGTATCGGTCAGTGCTGCAACTTGTTGTTGTTGTTGTGTTGTGATGTTGTTGTGTTGTGTTGTTGTGTTGTTGTATGTCAGCCATTGTTGGAAAATGTCATCATTTCTGTTTGGCGGGAAAGAAAGCGTTTTGTCGACAATTGGCCCTCCCCAAATGATGTTGCGAATCGATCATCTCAATCATTTCCCCGCTACCCTTGACTTGGACCATGGCCGCGTATCACAGGTTGTTTGCTTTCTTGAGATCAGACAGATACGAATGGCTTGGTATGTGACCTGACGAGTTGCAGGCCACAATGTCAATGCTTTTGCTCACGCGTGTCTCTTGCAACGCAGTACAACAGCTGGATAGCAATCAAGACTACTTTCAGAGTTACTCCAACGCGGCGCGTCGCGCCAGCGAGATCTTAGCAGCGATTGCCACCATGGTCAACGACCGCCCCCCCCACAACCAGGTGGGAGGAAGTTGAGCATGACGTCAACGGGGTTTGGACAACGGCACACCAGCTGAACAACCTCAAGCATGCGCTTGACCAGCTTCCGAGCATGTGCAGGGACATTGAAACCCTGAAAAATATCATCGCAGATTTGACGGAGGCCAATCAGAGCCACGCTGCCACCATCGCAGATTTGACGAAGGCCAATGAGAGTCACGCTGCCACCATCAAAGCCCTGACGAAGGACAATGAAGCCCTGACGAAGGACAATGAGAGCCACGCTGCCATTATTGAAAGCCACGCTGCCACCATCGCAGATTTGACGAAGGCCAATGAGAGTCACGCTGCCACCATCAAAGCCCTGACGAAGGACAATGAAGCCCTGACGAAGGACAATGAGAGCCACGCTGCCATTATTGAAAGCCACGCTGCCACCATCGCAGATTTGACGGAGGCCAATGAGAGCCACGCTGCCGCCATCGAGAACTTGGAAACCCTTGTGAGCATCCCGATTCAGAAGCGGCAAATCGTGTCGAAAGCGGCAACGCTTGTCCGCGCGACTCTAATCCGTCGTGTGAGCTGGTCAGCCAGTGAAGATGTTAGCCGCCTGCAAGACCTTGGTGAATACATGAGCTGGGCTGTCCCCTTCATCATTCGCGATGGCGGATTTTACGGTCAAGTCCCAAAAGCAGGCGCTCCTCCTTCTCGTACCACCGAGATCCACGAGGTTGTCACGAAGCTTTCGCAAGACGCCCAGATCAACATTGCAGAGTAGTATCTTGCGTTTGTGGAGCACTTGCAGGGTCAGACTTCAAAAACACCAGGTGACTTCTTCAGCGCCATGGACGCCCTGCGCCTGGCTGGCAATCAAGCTGCACATCCAAGCGAGTATGACGACAAGAACTTGGCGGATCTTGTAAAGATGCTCGGCGACTGCTTTGCAGCTGCTCCCGACACCGAAAACTCCGAGGTGATTCTGTGTGGACTCGAGGCTTTTGATATCGCAGCGCAGTCACAATAATGGCTTGCCCACTCCTCGGTTGCGGGCTTGTTGCTTTGTTGACAATTGAAGCATGTCATCGACCGTTTCTGCCATCGTATTATTAATTTACATATTTGGTGGTGGTACCCAGCCAGTGGCCAAGTCACCGATTTACAGCGTTAGCTCGTCCACTTGAACCGCCACAAAATCTCAACCCACGGCGGCTGGCTTTGGTGCCGAACGTGGCGTGTGTTGGCTCGGGACTTTAGAGACGGCACCATTCAATAAAGTCGCCAAGCCTGGTGCAGCGATGTGTGGCCATCCTGCTGTGAGGTGCCGGCCCCGAGGACCACCACTGTCACCATTCAATGTGAGGCTGTGCCATCACCTACGTCGTTCTGGGCTTTCGCTTTCACGTTGTCGTGCTCCATCTGAATCCGATTGAAACTTTCATAGTTGTGAGCACACTGCGAAAAGAAGATGTTAGGCGTTGGCGGTGAGTCCGTGAAGAAGCATCTCTGCATTGGTTCGGTGAAGGGTGGGTGTTAGCGTCAAATCCGTGCTTCCACGCATTTGAGCACTCCCACTGCTTACGCGCTTCCTCGCAACCCAAAACTGGCCTCCAGACGTCTTGGAGCCTGACAGCGGGTCGCCGTTTGACAAAGCCAAATTCTTTTTTGCAGGAGGCCACCACTATGGGGCTGCTGGCTGTTGAACACTAAAATGGAAAGAAAAGCGTGGAAAGTGGGGGTACTCAATCATGTGAAAACGCACACAAAAAGGTCATCAGTAAGATACCATAGGTGGTGTATCAAGTGCCAGACAACACACTGCCAGAGACGGAGACAACGTGCTGCGCCCAGCCTTTTCCGTTTGATTTGTTCAGCTCTCCTCATCGGGGGGCACATCCTCAACACGACCTCATACTGTGCCTCTTCGGCTTGCCCCCCGCCCGCGTACACACACACACACACACACACACACACACCACCGGACCCGCTTACATGTGTCTCGTGCCATAGAGACTTGACGGAGAAACGGTGCGTCATCCAGAGAGATGATGCCTTAAAGAAACCACATAAGAAAGAAAACAAACACGAAAGAGAGAAGAGAAGAATTTGGTGTTGAGAGTCAGAGATCGTGAAGGTTTCTAAAGGACCGAGGGAACGCAAGAGCAAAGCCTTGGTCCCGACAGATGAACCGATACAGACAAGGTTTGTCTTCGAGGCAACCGACAGAGCACAGATAGACAGAGCACAGACAGAGCACAGCCAGAGCACATAGGAAGCGAGAGCAAGCAAAAGCGCACAGAGGCAATGGTGCGCATTGTGGAATCTGGATGATAAATTTGGAGCAACGCGAGGCGTCACCTCGCGGCGGACGACGCGAAGCGAATAATAATAATCATGTTCCGAAAGCCAAGGAAGCAGCCATCAAAACACACACCTACACAGTCATCACAACAGGAAAAACAGGAGGACGCGGTGCCGTTCTCCGGAAGGCATTGCACGGTGCGTCGGCAACCGCTAGCATTGATCAACCCAAACACGTCAAGACTTCACGCCCACAGACAAACTATCCAAGCCTAGTTGACAAAGATGCGGTAGAGGGCGTAGAGCGCAAAGCTGTTGGTGGGTTCTCGGGGCACCGGGCGGTTGAGCCAGCAGCTTGCCAAGATTTCAAAGATGGGGGCAAAAACAAAGTAAGCAAGTGGGCAGAGAACCAAAACGTAAAGGAATTCGGCCAAGGGAATGTACTCGGAGCCGCCGTCGTAAAGATCAAAGGCCTCAATGAGGTCTCGGCGATAGCTTGACCACGAGTGCGTGTCATTCTCAATGCTAAGCAGAGTCGAAGCGACCCAGAAGGAGAGGACCATGACCAAAAGGTAACGGTACTTGGGATAACCGCGTGCCAGAAGGTTGTTGTACGACGCCTCACGGTTATACAGATCTGCGGTTGATTTTTAAATTTGTTCAACGCAGAGCAAGGCATGATAGCAAAAAGAAAGCGTGAAAATGAGACTGGGCTCGGGTGCATGCGATTGCTTGTCACCATGTTTGCGCAGATTGGGATAATGCTTACCTTGTTGCAGGTGAACGGACCAACCAAGATAGACTTCAGCACAAAAAGCCTCTTCCTGCCCCATTTCAAAAACCTTCTGTTTTCGCAAAGCCTTGAGAAGGCGGCCCACCTGGGAGTCGCGACGCCATTGCAGGTAGCCTGCCTGATTCAAAAAGCTGCAAACGAGTTACATTTGTCAGGATAACACGAATCGGGTACCGGCCTCACACTTGGTGTTGGTAGTTTTGGAAGAACTGACCGAAGAATGATCATCCAGCGATGATGGCGGCCAAACTTGATGGGCAGTGTAGTGACACCAAAGCAACGTCGCTCAGCCGTCGCGAGGCTCAGGACGTATTGCAGAAACATCTGCGAGCAGCGTAAAACAACCAATCAATCAAAGAAGTACAAGGAGAGGTAGTGGAGCGAAATGAAGCGGGGCAAGCAAGGCACTTGAGAGTTGGAACAAGACCGGAGCTTGCTTGGTTCAGTTCAGAGTACTAACTTCGTATTCGCGAAGCTTGTCACGGTGAACATGGTGAATGAGGCGGATAGTTATTGGTTCAATGGCGTCAAGGTCAAGTTCTTGAATCTCTTCCTCAGTGGGTTCTTCCGAGTCTGTGCTATCCGCATCCTCCAGGCTGGCTTCACGGGAAAGACCCGGAGGTGGTTTGGCAACGCTCATGCCGTCCACCTCTGAAGGGGCGTGGTCAGTCACGGTGGGTGTGCGTCCCTGTTTCATGCCGGTGAGCACACGGCGGGCGCAGGCCCGAGTCCTAGATATGGTATGGTAGCAAGGACAACAAGGGCAATCAAGCGCAAGTGAGATGGGTGAGCATGAATGACAAACAGCTCAACGGAAACAAGTGGGCGTACCTGGGCCTGTTCATAATTTGTGGAGAAATCTCGGGCGGGCTGGTCAATGTCGTGGGTGATTGGGGCTCCGTGGAGCACTGCATCCACGTCGACGAGGATGCCCTGGTGGCAACGAGCAGAGGTTGGAACCTTGGCAGGACCAGTGGCGGAGGTGGTAGACGCACCGGGACCGATCTCTGGGTTTGATAAAGGGGTGGTGTGACGCGCAGGTAGAAAGGCACCGAACGGAGAGTCAGGTTGTTGGTGAAGAGGCTGCGGCGAGTTGGCGGCCTGAGTATGAGTCTGGGTGCGTGAACGAGCGTGGGTATGGCTGTTGTTGGCGGGTGTGGCGGGGGCGGAGCCGGACTGGGTCGAAATGGTGTGGTGTCGCTTGGGGGCCGATCGCAGTTCACTGGGGCGCACGGGGTATTGGGAGGGCTGGCCACCAACAGACTTGTTGCGGGTGTGGCCGCGGGGGCGTCGGGGGCTTTTGGGGCTGTGGAGAGGGGGAGGTGTGCTGCTGTTCTCGTGCAAGCTGCGGGAGGACGCGGCGAGGGCGTGCTGAAGCTCCTTGTCGTGTGGAAAGGTGTGGTGAGCTGGAAGGAGGCTGAGGCGCAAGCTACGGCTGCTGGTTGAGAGGGGACCGTTGACAAGGTCATCATCCTCTTCGAGGGATTCGTTGCGGTAGTGGCTGAAGCTCAAGGCGTTGCGATCCAGAGAACGACGGCTGCTGGGAGCAGCGGTGCTGTGGTGCCGTTGGTGATGGGAGTAACATTAATGAGAGAGGTTTCATCGGAGCGGTACAAGCGATGCCCGCGATGATGAGCCGGCGGTGCTTTGGACCCCTTGTTCCGACTGCCTGCCTTTTCAGGGCGGGGCGAGAGGAGGCCGGGGTTTTGTTTTGTGGTCTCTTGCAGCACCGCTTGCTGCTGCTGTTGCTGCTGCTGCTACTGCTGCTGCTGCTGCTGCGAGGCCGGCAAAGATGCGTCCGTATCGGTTGATCCTTCGTCCAGATCAATCTGGATGGCGGTCATCCGCTGCAGATTTCCAGCGGCGGGTGCCGTGTCTGAACTGTTAGGTGGAGCCGCCATGCTTGCAGGCGAGCCTGTTCTCTGCTCCCTGCTCGTCAACTCTGTCAGCCCAACCTATTCAGACTGCTCACTCGGCTCTGCTGGCTCTGTCCAAGTGACAAGGTCCAAGGATCAAGAGCGTGCGGACGAGCCCGAGAAGCGCAGAAACTTGTTTGAAGTGAAAAACAGCAGAAACGGCGCTGCGCCGGTATAACGGCTGAAGCGGCTAGAAACTTCTCGGTCGTCCCGCGCAGAGCCACCTTGTGAGCGTGACCAATGAGGTGTTTCACATGTCAAGTCCACCGGCGGCGGGGAGTGAGGCGTAGCTGCAAATGCAGTAGACGAAGACGAAGATGCAGTTGCAACGAAACAGAAAAGTTAAGCAAACGCAGAAGAAGAATAAGTAAATGTAGAATGTATTGATGTGTTTTTGATGGTCTATGTGCGTGTGTGGTGTTTACAAAAACAACAACAAAATAATATGGCAGGGGGCTCGTCGTCAGTCAGTGGGGCGATGGTGGGCTTGGTGGTGTTGATGCTGGGGGCTTGGTCGGCGCTGTCGGAGGGGCGTCGGTTTTATGATACCATGCTTCCGATCGTGTCAGAGGTGACTTGGCTGCCTGAACCTTCGGGTCACCCCACGCATGCGACGGACAGCTTTGTGGGCTCGCCCTCGATAGTCAAGCTGAATGCGACGCATTTCTTGGCCTCGCACGACCGCTTCTTTCATGAAGAGCCCGGCACGGCTTACATCTATATCTCTCCTGATCTCGTCAAATGGGTCCCGCTGGCCAATGTCACTCCCATGTACTGGGCGCAGCTTTTTGTGCACCAAGGCCATGCGTACATCCAAGGCGTGAGCGATGACACCAGTCGCGGCGATATCGTGATCAGCCGCATGGCGCCTGACGGCACGTGGACAAAGCCCAGCGTCCTTCAGGCCGGGTCCTCTACCACTGGCTATCATTGTGCACCTACTCCAGTGGTACAGCAAGATGGGGCCCTCTACCGCGCCCTTGAGCAGGGATCAGACAACACTCCCGGCAACTTGGCCGTCGTTGTTTTGGTCGGCAACGCTTCATGCTCCGATCTGACAGTGCCGAGCTGTTGGCAGGTACGTGATGTGCCGTCCTGGTACCTTTGCCTTTCACCTTGTGGCCAAGTGGTGATGGCGTGACCCTGGCATCTCAGGCAACGGTGGCTTGTGTGATGCACGACAGTTGACAACACCGCTGGTCTGGAATCCTGCCTGGATTGGACAATCCACCGTGTCTGGCACGCCTTGGGAAGAAGCTGGTGCGATTGTGACCAAGAATGGTGAGCACAACGCCGTTGGGACAGCGCGCTAGCACAGACCCATTGCTCCGACCAGCGCGCCGAGTCGGCAGCAGCGACGGCCATCCCCTCCCGCTATTCACCAATACTTTTTGCACCCCCACAGGCTCGATTGCAGTGATGGTTCGGCTCGATGGACCTGTCGAAGCCTGCCAAACGTTGGAAGAATGCAATCGGGCGGCGCTGCTCAGCCTGGACACCGGGAGCCTTGAGCTGCACTTTGCAGACATTGTTGCCTTCCCCTCATCCTGCAACAAATTTGCCGTCAAGCTGCTCTCCGATCAAGGGCACGACGGCCAGTATTTCGCCCTCACCAACCCCGTGACGCTCGTGCCTGTCACAAGCTACGGGATCGGCACCTGCGGCCAGCGCAACGTGGTCAAGCTCACCAGCTCGCCGGATTTGATCCATTGGCATGACTGCGGCATCGTCCTGTGGGATGATACCGGCCTGGCTGTGAATGACTCGCTGGCTTACACCGGCCTGCAGTACATTGACTACATTTACGAGGACACGAACCTCTACGCTGCCGTCCGGGCCGGATATCGGGGCAGTGTGACATACCACGATGCCAACCGCTTGCTCGTGGCCAACATCACGGATATTTGGGCGAGATGCAATCTCACCGCCTCTGGGCGCCGACCATGAGACAAGGCGCATCCAATTGATCGTCGAGGCACAATAGTGATAATAATACATCCGATGTAATGTTATGATGATTATAACTTCATTTCTCAAACACACATACCATCTACACGCAGCTGCCGAAAGCTCGGACAGTATCTGGCTGTTTTTGCCAGCAGGAACTCAGGAACAAGGATTCACAGCGAAAAACGACGCTCAAGAAACATCGGGCTTGCTTGCTTGATTGATATTCGTGGCGAGCAAGGACACAATAGGGACAACCAAAGGCGGAGCGCCCAGCCAAAATGACTCATCAGACTCCTTCTCCATACCAAGCAGAGCACACTCATGCACCAGAAATGACTACTAAGTCTTTGACTCTCGGACTTGCTCCTCTGTCGGATCCAATGTGCGAAAAAAGAAAAAAAAAATCAGCAAAAAAAAAAAACAAAAAAATCCCCAATTTGAGCATTTCTGCATGCATGCATGTTGGCAGACCAGGGCAGCCGACAGACATGGTCGCGGGCGCGCGGTGGTGCCGGGTGCGGCGGGCTGCGCGAGGCCGATGGTACTGGTGCTCCTGGCTGGGTTTGGCTGCCTGCGCCTGCCTGCTGGCCGGGAGTGCCTGGCACTGGACGGCCAATCAGGGCTCGCTTGGCCGCTTCTGGCCAGAAACCGCTCAAAAGGATGCAGCAGTCATGGCCCTGCCTGCAGATCAGGTAAAGTCCGAGCTCAAGCGTCTAGGGCCCCTAATCTTGCCAAAGCTGACGGGCATCTACATGCTTTCAACTGGTAGCAACCGGCGCGGCGTGGTCATGACATCCCTCATCAGCTGCCGGTACCGCGTCTGCCTGAGAATGAGCCACCCAAGGCATTTCTGCCAGCGGAGCCTGGGTGGGACCAGCCCGTGTCGCCAGTCAACATATCTCAGCTCCATGCCTTGCTTGACCAGCTTAACAGCGAGTCGAATGAGGGATTCATCGATGTTGAGGTGCGTGTTGGCTCAAACTCGGCGGCTGCTACTCCCACTTACCACAAAGCATACGCACGCGCTTGCGCCACTATGCCAGCTGCACTTCAAGACCAGGCTCATCGGCTGCCGCTGGCCACGCGTGGGCAGGTCTGGTCCAAGGCTGCTGTGGGTGATTATTTTATTGAACACATCATGGGTACCAAGCCTGAGCCGCGCCTGAGCGGGGTCTGGTATTTTGCGCGCACCTTTTGTGGTCCCTTGCGCTTTACCTACCGTGCTGGCCACGGTGTTGCGCCCCACAAGGTGCCCAATGATCCACGCCATGGTGTGTATGCCCGTCTACTTGCTTTATTCAAGCAGTGCCTGCGTTGAAAACTCAAAGCATGAAAACATTTCGTGCATAGTGGTGCTCATCTTGAATGGCCATGATGACGAACACGCGGCCACGGCGCGCCCATGGCTCGACCTGTTGCCTTCTCTTCCACAGCTTCGGGTGGGTCTGCACTTCAGGTCTCAGGGGTCTCAGCTCAGCATGAGGCGGTATGGTGCCATGGCTTTTGCTGCTCGCCCCTCACTTTGGTGATAGAGCGTGGGCTTGATTGTTTTGGGTTACGAGGACTGTAGCAACACATGGTTGGCGCCATACCTGCGGGATCCGTGCTATAAAATTTCTTTCACGTTCATGGTCTACGGTGGCCAGGTATGCCTCTGCCATCTGCCGGGCCAAATCCCAGTTGGTCTGTTCTTCATCTCGTCGTTCCGGTTCGACTTTTTGTTTTGACCCCTATTCTTGGCGTTGGGCTACGTGCAGCAGTGGCCAGGCGCAAAGGACATGATGCAATGGCCACTGGGGGTGGCGACCTATCGGGGGTTTCCGGCTGAACTTCCCTACCACCAAGCGCGGGGGCCTCGGGCTGACAGTGCACACCTTGGCCGCCGCCCGTGGCTGTGTAGCTTGCAAGCCACCGTTGGTTCTGCTGGCTTGCCTCTGCGCGCCTCCAAACATCCACCACGTTCCAATTCATGTTGGCTTCCTCCTCGGTTCATGACTCTGGGTCATGGTGCCCAACTCTTTCGACTTTTTTTTTTTTTAGATTTACCCCAACAGTTCTCGATCAGACCTGCTGCGCATCATCGATCAGCAGGGCCTTCGTGAGCATTGCTTTGTCGAGGCTCGCATGACCTGGCAGCCCAATGAAAGCAGCGAGTCGCGCCAGCAATACACACAAGCTCTCCTGACGTCGGATTACACGCTGGCCCCGGCTGGCCTAAATACAGAGTATGAACGACGACCACGCCTGCTGACCGTGGCGCGTGGTGGGATATTCGATCGCATACCCACAAGTCATGGCTCACTGACGGTCCGTGGTATGCGGCAGGTGCTATCGATGGTATGAGGCAGCCGCTGCTGGTTCTATTCCTATTGTGGAAGATGTCACGCAACCTCCCACCTGCGGGCGTGATCCACTCGCCCTTATGAAGGTTTGCATGCCCGTATGTATGCAAATCGTCGCGCCCCCAGCCCCTTGTGCAAATGCTCTCATTCCAGGTATCCTGGCTGGTGTCCTTAGGAGCACGGCGCTCCATTCATTTACATTAAAACTTGGTCAGAGCTGCCCGAACTTTTGGCGCGACTCCAGCAGCGACCACCGGCTGAACTGGTGGCACATCGGTGCGTACACTTGTCTACAATACAGACTTGCCTACATTGTGCCCTCACGATGAGTGGTATTGAACAACAGGCGGCGGTTGGTAGAGTGGTACGAGGGATTTCGTCTGGCTATGCGCTATCGCTTCTGTAGCGCAGCGGTGCGTGCTTTTGGCGCGAGTGGCAATGACTAGTCCACGCGACAGCCTAGACCATGGCTTGATACACCGACAACAAATGCACCGCCCGAAGCAGGGGAAAAGCTCATAAGTTTAAAAGAAAATCATGATTGATGACCAGCCACGGTGTTAGACGCGACGAGGCGGCAGGCCCTTTCAAACAACAGCAAACATTAGACACAAAGTACCCGGCTAGTACGCAAGACAAAGGGAAGGATGCGTCATCAGCGAAAAACGCGCTCTATCACAACAGCGGATTTGTCGGGCACGGCCCGTCCAAAAGAAAGGAAAAAAAAAAAAAAAGAAATAATGGCCTCAACAAGGTGAAGGCATACGGCTGGCATAAACGAGCAGGTGCGTCCTAGTTTTGCCACTCGGGCTGAACCATTTTCTTGGCTGGCGGAGCTTTGCGGCGAGGAGGGCCAGGTTTAGCGCGACTCCTGGAGCTGGCCGATGAGGAGCTTGGGACTGTTGATTTGACCTTCTCCAGACGCTTGAGAAACGCTACGTTTTCCTGATGGGTTTCGTTCTGTTTCCTGCGCCGATTAATGGCCGCGGCAGCCATGTGTCGAGGTTGCTCTGATACTGGATTGATGGTCGGCCCCTTTCGCTGAATCTGAGAAAAAGGAAGATGGCAGACCACGGGGGTGAGATCGTTTCGCCATTGGGTCAAGCCCAAATGATGGAGTCCCGATAGCACAAGTGTGTCGGATGCTCTGGGACCGGACTCTCAATACGAAGGATGAGCAAGGAGGGGGAAAGAGGGGCTCTTGACCTGGTCCAAGCGGTGCAGGAGATGCACATTGTCCCGCTCAATGCGGCGGACATCATCGCGCGTGTAGGTCCGACCAGGGGGTTGGCGGGTGCCAGGTGCAACCTGCACCACGCGCTGTGGCGAAGGTGCCATGTCCTCGTCAATGAAATCTTCGTCATCCTCATATGACTCGGGCAGAGCCTCCATCACCTCGGCTGCCGGTTCACGGGCCTGCCGCAGAGTGGCACCAATCAAGGATTAGACAGAAACACCCGGCACATGCAGACAACCGCAAAGCAAAGTGCAGCAGCGTACCGCCATGTTGTGAGCAACAAAACGCGCCCGTTGCTCCTGCCAAACTCAAATCCGAACCGCCGCCCCTGTATCGCTGCCGTTTGAAATCCAGAGCTCGAGTGATGAAAGAGAGAGAGAGAGAGAGAGAGAGAGAGAGAGAGAGAGAGGGAGAGAGAGAGAGAGAGAGAGAGAGAGAGAGAATGAAATAGTGAGAGAATGAATTAGTGAGAGAGAGAGAGAGAGATAGAGAGAGAAACTCGCGTCGTCAAGCGAACAACAAGGACAACAAAAAATGGGCTAACGCCAACGACATGTATCTGCAAATCTACTGCATGAAAACACGTTATAGACACCTCAAGAACCACAGTAATGATATATTTTGCTGCAATAACTACCATCGATCGCGAGAATGTCAGAAAATTAATGCGCGACCAGCGATGTCAGACAATTAAGACGGGCTGAGACCAGAGTGATGGCTTGCTGGCAAATGGCAGCGATGCAGACCGTCGTGGTCGCGCTGCTGCTTGCTGGAATGTGTGGCGGGGGACAGGTGGGGAAGGATCTTGAGGTGGTGGAGGAGTGGCCTTCTAGGCCGTGGAATAAGCCTTTTGTGCTGCGCGCCCCATCCAAGGCTGCCTCTGCCCGCCGGTTGCATCTGGATGCCTTGGTGAACCAGGCGGCTCACGCGCAGGTCCAGGTCCGATTTGCAATTTGCAATTTGCGCTTGACGAGGGCTAAGAGCCAACGTCTCATGTTGAAATCATTCCACCCACATGTATCCTTGCACCTCGTCTTCCCAATCTTTCCCTCACCTCCCGGATCCTTCAGCACTGACATCGTTCTGCTTTCCCTGCCCAGGTTGGCTCAGCACACACAATCGTGCAGGCCGGAGGGCAGGGACCAGAGGCGAGGTCCTTACATCAATACATCGAACAGATGCAGAGTGCCGCCTGTCAAGGTGCAGGACAGGGTAGTCGGTCTCGTGCATGCACCGATTACCTTTTTGATCGCGGGGACTTTTTTCGCAAGTTTCCCGATCTGCTGGATCAAGCTGCCATGCCCAATGTCTGGACTTTGGAGGATTGGGAGGCGCAAGCACGAGCTGCCCATGCTGGACCCCACCTTCTGGGATCAACCTCTCAGCTAGCTCGCGTCAACACCTATCTGCTCCTGGGCCCGCGCAACACTGGCGTTCACTTTCATTTCCACACCGATAGCTTGCTGAAGATTCACGCTGGGCGCAAGGTGGGGCAGACTGGGCGTTCGAACAAATAGCAGATTTGGCTCATCTGATCGCGTCATACGCTCGATCCCAGCTGCTCCTACTCTTAGATCCCACCGTGTCCCAGCTGCCCAACACCTCTCAGTACGCCACGGTTGATGCGTGGTGGCGCGACGTCGCACAGCCAAAGGACGTGCCTGGACTACTGAGCCAGCTCCTTCTACCAGGCGATCTCGCCTTCATCCCCGCTTGGTGGCGTCATGCCACCCTCAATCGCGGTTCCTACACGTTGGCCACGGCGTCGCAGCCTCATTTGGCTCTCCAACAGCCGCTGGCGCTCATGAACGCCATCGGCCAGCTCCTGGCTGCTAAGGACCTACCCCTGGCCTTGGAGGTTGGTTGGTCTAAGCACGCACGCCAAACCTTGAAAAGATGCGTGACGCAGCGTGAGTGTGTCCGCCTTTTCACAAGTCAGCTGCGGATGATTGTTTTGCTTGATAGCTCTTAGAACAGCTTGCAGCTGTGCGCAAGGACATACCGCTGGTGAACGAATATGACGCCGTGGCCTTGGTTGTGCAAGCCAAGGCTGCACTTCTGCACGCCGACCCAGGTAAGTCGAATTTCTATGCTAGTGACATATGGTATCATGTTGTTTGATGTCACACTGCTTCTTTTCTCATTCAGCGCCTGGTATTCCTGCCTGGGCTCGCGACATGCAGCAGTGGCGCTACAGCTTTGGCACCGGTTTGAATCTCTGGTGCAGGTGCGCGGTCGGTGGAGCTGCGATGCATTGGCCGTGGCCTGCGAACTGTATCACGGGCTTGGCCAGGCCAACCACCGACGCCAGACTTGTGGGATCGTGAGTGTTTTGAAGCTGCCCAAATCCGTATGATGATCTTTGAAATTTGGATATAGTGGTGCGCGCATCTTTTCTGTCAGATGTGTTCCTTGCTCAGAAGCTTCCTGTGTAATGTGCGCAAACGCAGACGCTCGAGCACTGCCCCTTTCACGGCGGTGCTCTTGCACAGACAGCTCTGGCTGCAACTGACCAGCACGACTGGCAGTTAAGCTTGACCGCTGCGCGACGTTTAATTGCTTTAAAAGATCCACGCTACCATGAATTGGGTGCCCGGCTTCAACTCGCGGCGTTGGTTCAACTCCCCGTGTCTGAGACTGAAATAGAGCAAGCGTGAGTTGCTGTTTTGATGATATCACCCTGTAAACTATCTGCTTGTTCATCTCGCATATTTTTTTTGTTTTGCCACCGCCGTGTTGCGTCAAGCAGGTATGAGCTGTTCCACCAATATCAAAAAGCGCCTTCGCCGCCGGATGTGCTTGGTGATGCGGGTACACACAGAGAGCTTTGACTTGATGTGCATCACATGGCCTGCCAGCCACAGAATACTTAGGAAGATTGATTTTACTTTACATGTTTAGACATACATGTAGTATATTTGAATTATTTTTACAAGGTCCATGCCATCACAGAGCAGCGGCCGTTTGATCATTTTTCATATTGTCAATTTTGCTGAGGACTTTAAAGGTTTCTAATCAGGGCAGTGTCTGACCATGTACAAAATCAAACAAATCAATATGACCCAGACTGGGCAAGCAGGTCAAGGACCTGCTTGACGGTTGCGTCCGGCAACTTGGAGGTGTCCAACTGACCAAGACCACGGGGGTCGTAGCTGCACACAGCATAGGATAGGCGGTCGCCATGAGATACGAGTTGCATCCGCACGCAAACGTGGCACATAACCATGATAGACTTACGAAGCGGGATGGGGGTCACGTGGCTGATAGCCAGCTGGGGCCGGGGCGCGTCCATAGTCAGCTTGCGCTGGAGGTGGGCCGCGACTGTTTCCCCTGTCGCCAATGAGATTGTAGACTTCGGAAATAGCGCTATTGGAATTGCCACCATACCCTCGACCAGGTTCGGGAGCTCGAGCATAGTTGTCGTAGGCTGCAGGCTCATAGGCCTCTCGGCTGGGCGGAGGCGCTGCACGCCCATAGCCGCGGTCGTAGTCATTGGGTGCCCGCCCATTGTGTTCATCATAGTATGTACGCCCAACATCGGGTGGTCCGCGGTGCAGCGGAGCTTGCGCCTCGTATCGCGAAGACGGTGGAGGTGGGGAAGGCTGCCGAACGGGCCGGCCGTACGGGTCGGCAGGAACCCGGGGCTGCGGAACTCCAGCCGGCGCAACAGATCCATGGCTGGGCATTGTTGGTAGTGCAGGTGCCGTGGCCGGACCACGCTTTTGCCAGGCATCAATGATGCGGACCGCCTCGGCCATCACCACGTCCCGTTCAACTAAGGCATGTGCATTCATCCCGCAGTGATTACACAAAAGAGATGGCAACACCAAGCGCACGGTAAACCCCCGTTTTCATTTTGTCGGCATAACCACGCAAAGGCCCGACATACCTTGTGGCACACCCTGCATGTAGTGCACGTCCAGGGTTGGCCGGACGCCGGCCGCATCGGGAAGAACGCACACAAACTTGACCCCATCATCACGAATCTGCTCCATCAGCGTTTGAAAGTTTTGTGCTGGCTGGTACGCGAGTGCATCAACATGCAGTCCGATGTCTGCAATTTCCCGACCAATGGCATCAGCAAAATCACTGCATAAAATGCAAGTGAGAGCTTAGATGTGAGTCGAGAAACGCCGTGCAACACCAGGGGACAGTGGATTGTCACGAAACATACAACGTGGTTGATTGTGAACCGTAGATGAGGACAACACAGTCGGGGATCACCGGTCGTGGTGGAGGTACTTCTCGGTGTGCACGCTTGGCTGGTGGTGGACGAGCATCCTGCTGACATGGGATGGTGAAGTGAGTTGTTAAGCTCGGAGATGCGCTTACAAAACCCCTTCAACATATTATTCTATTTTTCACAACTGTCTCTGGCAGGCTAACCGCAAAAGTGCTGGCAGTAGGTGGCGGCGCATATCGCTGAGAGCGAGGCGGACTGCTGCTCACGGGTCTTCTGGGCGGCGGAGGTCCGGCACCACGCGGAGGCCTTGGCGGTGGCTCAGCGCTAGCATCACAAAGGAAAACAAAGTGATGTTACCGTGAATGTGGATATGGTCGCAAGGTTTTTTGTTCGACCTTCAAGTTTGTTGGGCAAAAACATTGGACTGACCGAGCATGACGCGGTGGGGCAGGTTCACCCCGGTTGGTGGCTAAGCTAATATCTACAAATGCCCAGTTCACACCATCCCAAAGACAAGACGGACCACAACGTGAATGAGTCGGCATTCTTGACGAAATAAACGCATTTCCATGCCTTCGTCCCTGGCACAACGGCGGCGTGAAACGGCGGTACAATGTGTGGCTCCAGGCCCATGGTCATTCATGCACTTTCAAGCCCACGTTCATCATCATTGCTGTCCCTTTTATTTCTGCCCAAGCTACCAATTGATGCCCCCCCCGCCGCCCCAACACACGCACACACACACACACACAAAAAAATGACCAAGGATCGCTTCTGTCGAGTGCTCCACGCACCTAATGTCAAACCGCCCACGACTTTCCCTTGTTCGCCATCACGCGCCGCAGCAGCGCTCTGTGCACTGTCAAACTGGACAAAGCCAAAACTCCGATGCAACGAAATCTCCAAAACGCGGCCATAGCGGCCAAACATGTCCATCAACTCGCGCTTTGACACTTTCTCGCAGGGTAGGTTGCCCAGGAATAAGCGACTGTGCGGCGGCGGCGAGCCGCTGCGGGCCATAGCTCCATCACTGTGATGGCCTTTCTGGAACCGATCCGGGGGAGCACCACGCCCGCTGCGCGCAGGGGAGCGACCCCGTCGGGGAGATGTAGCCCTCCCTGGGGATGAACGCGCCGCATGCTTGGCCGGGGCAGCAGCAGCCAGTTTCGAGGGCTGGGGTGTAGACTCCGGGTTGGCGGGTACCCTGTAGGTGATATCACGACCAAAGGCGTCTTTCTTCTTCACCACAACGGTGGCGGACGTGTCATCTGGCGCCTCGGCCGACTTGGGCTGTTGATCCACGGGTACATCTGTAGAATCACCTTCTTGCGACGCGACAGTACGCTGCTGCACCGCATTCGCCCCTGGTGCAGAATCCTTGGTTTCAGCGGACGGCGCTTCGGATGGCGCATCTTTGGTAGGCAATTCACGCTCCTGGGAGGCACTCGCGTCCATCGGTGACTGCTGTGCCATGTCAGTCGTATTCGTGGTGCTGGCCAAAGTCTCTGCCTTGTCATCTGTTTCCAACTGGGGAGGGGACGCTTCTTCCCGCGGCGGCGCTTGAAGAGGCGGGAGCTCAACCACGGTACTTGGGGCTGTGTAGCTCATAGTGGTGTTAGCCGCAGGAGACGCGACAACCTGCGACTGGCCTGTGGGCGGATCTGCGGCGAGATTTGCAGAGGAACCGTCCTGCCCAGATTCAGTGGCGCCAGCTGAGCTTTGAGGAGCCTTAGGAATGGGTAATGACAACATGCCAGAGCTCGGCTGGGACACTGGGTCGCTTTGGTTAGTGGACTCTTCCAGCACCTCTGGCACCTCCGACCCGGGTGCCTGACCGGGTGCCTGATCCGCCATGGCTCCCTTCTTGACACCTGTCGGATACTTCCCAAGAGTCAATACGAGTGATCTGCAGGGTCTATGCGGCTATGTGGGCTGAAAATTGGCCACCTGTCCCAACTTGTTTCCACGCGCGCGCGCTGCCGTTTCACTCTTTGGTGTGCCAACCAACCTCACACAACGATGGCTTGAGGTCAGAGTGAGAGAGATCAGAAAGTAATGCTTGTTTCTTGAGAGAGAGGGGAACGACTGGAAATACAATCAACGAACGATGAAAAACGCTCATCCCATTCATTCAAAAAGTGTGTAAGCCTGAAAAAAAAAAGCATGTACAACATGTTTGCAACAAATGTTGTGCACGATCATAATGTCAGAATCTGACATCAAGGTTGGTTGTTCGGAACAACTGGTGGGATTTACCGTTGTGCTGCGGACGCATCTCAGCGAGCGACGAGCGCAAGCGACCGTGGGCCAGAATGGCTCGTGCCTCTGCCTCTGTGGCGGTTGCCGCCCTGCGTGCAATCGTGCTGTTGTTGGTCTTGATTCAAGGCGTTCTTTTCTTCAATGCCATCTTTGTGCCTGATCGCCAGGTGAGCGACACTGCCCTTGTGCGCGCAAGTTAGGTGCCTTGCCTCTTGCGCGCCTGACCTTGTACGGGTCATGTGGTGAACATAGATGCACCCCAGTTTGTGCAAACCCGATGATGATGTCCATGTGCAGCTGGACGCAGCCGCCCTTGAGCGCTTCAAGGGTTCGTGTCTTCTAATCTGAAAGATGCCATGCATCAATCGCCCTTTCGTCTTGTCCCTGCGCGCTAGCCTCGCCACTCACGCTGGGTCGATAGGCTTAATTCGGATCCCAACCATCTCTTATGAGCCCCACCGCTACAATAAAACAGCCATGGCCAACATCAACTCTTACATTCATGACAGTAGGTGATGACTTCAAGCATGCCTTTTGGTGACGCCAGACTTGATCACAAACGAGACCACTCATGCTCGCGACGTTCGCCAGCCTACCCCTTGATCCATCAAGCCAAGCACATTCACTTTCGACAAGTCGCCAACTTCAGCCGCCTCTACATCTGGAAGGGTCGGTGCGACTCTTTCACGGCCCCGGCCAATGTCGTGCCTTCTTTCGCTGCACCAGCTGTTCTTACAGGCTTGACCATCACAATTTACGGCCGGTAATCTTGACGCTCCTAGGCACCGATCCTTCCCTCAAGGCTGCCCTGTTGGCCTCGCATTTGGATGTGGTGCCAATTGCTAATCCAGAGGCCTGGTCACATGAGCCCTTTGCTGCTGAGGAGGTATCATCATACGTTCACGCATGTGCCACAAACACGTGCCCAGGTGCATTAACACGCCCGCCTCCTAACCCTCGTGCCCTATATCACGTGCCACGCCACAGACTGAAGGCTATATTTACGGCCGTGGAACTTTGGATGACAAGGTACAGTACTATTCTCTCTGGGTCACGCAACTGTTTGTCCGTCCCGCTGGTGTTGATTGAAACCATCCTCTCAATCTGACTCTGCCTCCCAAACTTTTTCTCGTTTGCGAACCTTAGTTTGGCGTTTTTTCGCTTTTGGAAAATATGGAACACCTGTTGCAACATCATGGTCTGGATCACCAGCCCCGGCGCACTGTCATCGTGGCCTTTGGGCACGATGAGGAGGTTTCCGGACCGGTGCGGCCCGACTTGAGCAATTTACAATGAGCCGTTTGCGTTGCGTTACAAAAAGCTATTGCGCTTTTGTTTGATTGTCCTCTGCTCCATGTCACGTTGGCAGGAGGGTGCAGCCGCGCTGGGCCGACTTGTGGCCGAAGAAGGCCACGGCATCGAGTTTGTCATGGATGAAGGCCTACCCATTTCCGACGGCCTGGTACGGTTCACTTTTCACGGTTCGGAGAAGCACAGTGAACAAGCTGCCTCGGTGTGGGACCCACAATCTTTTTTGTTTTTCTTGTAGATTCCAGGTATCGCTCGACCAGTGGCGCTGATTGGCGTCGCAGAGAAAGGATTTCTGACGCTCGAGGCAACGGTCGATCTCCCGGACGAAGAAGCTGGGCATTCAGCCCGACCACCGCAAGGTCGGTAAAAGTCCTTGCCCGTGCCAGTGGCCGATACATACACACCATCCTACAGCTTGTCAACAACTAACAGGTCTGAACCGCTCGCTATTGACTTGATCATCTATGGCAGAACAAGCTATTGGAATTCTCGCGCAAGGCTTGGCCAAACTCCACCAGCATCGTCACCCAGCCAGCCTATCCCCGGCCGTCACGGACATGTTCGATCACCTGATCACTGAGATGAGCTTTGAACGCCGTTTGGTGATGGCCAACCGATGGCTGCTGCAACCTGTCCTTCAGGTAGCCGAAACAATGGACCATGTGCTTCTCTCGAGCTTTTCCATGCTCGTAATAGTGCCATCTTTTGTGGTGGGCTCCAAAGTGTTTTGCCTGCATCTCAACCCGGCTCGTTCTGTTTTTGCTCCTGGGTTCACAGTGGGTTCTCAGTCGCTCGCCCAATACCGACACGCTGCTGCGCACAACAACGGCTCTGGTACATGTTTACTACATTGTTTTGACATCGAGTCTTGGTGTGCCGGGGTTGCTCACAAGTTCTGACCCCCCCCCCTTGTTTTTTCGTGGCAGACGATGCTAAATGCAGGCATTAAGGCGAATGTCCTGCCCAACCGAGCCACCGCTACCATCAACCATCGGTAAATTGTGGCCTGACTCATCCAAACCTCGTCAAAACGGGCAGTCAAAAAGATTGACATCATGCTCATGTAGTTGACTCATCGACTGTCGCAGCATCATTGTGGGTGACACCATCGAAGCCGTCATTGCACGTGATAAGGCCATTGTGAATGATGAGCGTATCAAATTTACCGTTGCGGATGGCAACGAACCATCGTTTGTCTCCTCCTGCGACGTCCCAGGCTTCAAGATGATTGAACGCTCCATCCGACAGGTACATGCCTGTTTGGGCCGGCTGATCTGTTGCTACAGGCGGCTTATGGACATTTTCTGTGCCCTCACGCCTGCTGCTGCCTTGATTGCGCGTACTTGGTCATCGCCGCCTGCACTGTGTACCCAGACGTGGCCCGATTATGCCGTTTCCCCTGGCTTGATGGTTGCTGGAACCGACACAAAGCACTACCTGCATCTAACCCCCAATGTTTATCGCGTTCTTCCAATCAAAATGACGGTGCGATTCCGCTTCAAGCCAGGTTCTTGCCACCACCTTGTACCCGCTCACGCGTTGTGTGGTGCAGACCCCGGACCTGGGCCGGCTACACGGCCCAAACGAACGCGTGGCGCTCTCGGCATTGCAAGAGGTGCTCGACTTTTACGCCCACCTCTTTGACAACCTGCAGCACTTTGACCCAGATAGCTTCTTCCATCATCGTCATGGCCATCTGGGCCAGGACCTTTAATCAGTTTTGTCTCTTGCTCGACAACCAGGCTTGGGGATGAATACAATGACAACTGATTTATCTTTTTCAGTGCGGCAGAAAGCTCTCAGTCAGGTTAGCTATAAAGACCCCCTCTTTGGCGAAGTAAGTGAAAAAAAAAAGAACACAATCGATATTAAAATTTCATGAGACACAAGCAACCCCTTGCATGCAAAGGCTCAAGCTGTGTTGTATCAAGGCGGCACGGCCGCGGCTATCAGGGGGAAGCAGAGGCAGAGGTCTCAGGCTTGATGCTCGGCATCGAGAGTATGGCGAAAACGGGCAATGACGCGGGACGCCGCCACCACGGGCTCCAAGTTGTTAGCGGCCAAGTGCATATGTCCATCATCAGCTGAGTCCCGTGCAAAGCCGGCTACGGCCAGGAAGGCTTCGAGTGATGCGCGGCGGTTTGGCAAAACCGCCTGCACTCGTTGTCCACCCAAGTTGATGCGCTGGTACTTGAACTCAGTGGGGTGGGCCAGCAAATTGTTCACGATTCGGTCGAGCAGCCGAAGAGCATCGGCTGTCGCACTTTGATCAAGGCCCGAAAGGCATTCACTCAAACGAGCTGCAACCACATCCTGCTCTGTCGGAACAGGGGTGACAGTAGGATCTGCATGAGGCTCGGATGCTGGTCGCACATCGCCATCGCGGCGACTCGACGGCGATTCAAGCTGGGCGCCATCCTCGGATTCTCTCGCCGAGATTGGCTTTGCGGCAGGCACCGTGGCGGGCTCGAATGACGGCAGAACCGCCTGATAGGCTACATATGGAAAGAGACAGGATGTCACAGTGAGAATGACCCGAGACAAGAGCGTGCCACCCTAAAACGTGTCACCAAGAGCGTGCCACCAAAGCGCACAACATCGTGCAAACACCAAGGTACCTCGATGCTCGAGATCTCACATCCAGAGTGGCTATAAATACCAGGCCGGAACGTACCAGGACCCACGCGGATGCTGCGACGTGGACGGTAGTCAAACGGCGCGTTGTCATCGGTGGCAGCTGCCTCGGCTAGTGCAGCATTGGTGAAGGCCCGTGCGGCAGCTGAGCCAGCCGTCGGGGGCTGGCCGTGCTCGTCAGTGGCGCCACTCTCGCGCAGTGCTTGGTTCAGAATGCCCTCTATTTCGTCTACCGACATGCGCGTCTCGCGGAGAGGGTGGGCACTCGGGTCAGACCGAGCCGTCGGCAGCACCAGGGAGCCGGCTGGCTGTGTGTTTGGTGCTGACGGAGCCAAGCGGGCCACTATGGCAACAACAACGTTGGGTCAGCATGGTTGTCGTCATGCGAGTCGCAAAAAAAAAAAAAAAAAGGCCAGTGCTCGAGGGAAGAAGCCCGAAACAAGGGCCCCTTAAAACTGGTTTTCAGTCATACAACGTACAGCGCGCTGAGCGGGCATCATCGGCCGTTCGACCACCCAAGCGGCCGCCAGTTGTAAGAGGTGAGCTCTGATCCTCAGTGGTTAAACGCATCCAGTCATGGGCCGCGCCCGGTCGCCCGGCCACGGTGTGCCCGGATTGCAGAGCCGCCAGATGTGCCTGATACTCCTGTGATTGGGCAAAAGGCAAGATAAAGAACAAAAACAAGTCGAGCAAAAAAATAAGTTGGGCGCAGTCAAGGCACAGGTCGAGAAGCCTTAAGCGCGGAGAACACAGCGTGCCGGGATTTGCCTTATTGAGCTGTCGATTGAGGGCATGAAAGTGCTCATCATGTTTGCTGTGTACCATGTGTGCGAGTTCATGAAGCACGGTTTCGATGATAACGTGGTAATGACGAAAGCCTTCAAAATCGTCTACAGCGGTTCGCAGGCGTCAAATTTGAGAATGATTCACAGGGGAGGGCAACAGATCACGGGCGAGCACGGTACCGGTGCGGAGCCGCAGGGCGATGACTTGGCCCTTGTTCTGATTGTAGCCCAGCAAACAGCCGTTGGTCACACCGACCAAGCCCGTGTCCAGGCCCGGTTTGAATTCTTTGAGTAGGCCAATGGTCCATCTGGGGGCGATTGCACATATGGCCACCGTCGGTCAGCCGCCTGTCGGCGTGCAAGCCTTGACCAGGGCGCTGGATGCTTACCGGTGAGTCTCAAGAATATGTACAATGCCTGAGTCTTGGGCAATTCTATGCAGTAGCTCCAGGGCCTGCTTGGCTGTGCCGCGTGGATGATGGCGAAATTCTTCCAAGACGGCAAAACTAAATCGCGCAAGGCAACGCGGAAAAGAAAAGAAGCACGCCACGGATGATTTCAGGCCAACTGTAAATGACGCAACAGCAGCAGCAACAACAATAACAAAGCCCAGGATTCGTTCACCAGCAGAAAAGGGAGCAATGCATGGCGAAGTTTACCTCTGAAACCGATACGGTGAGGCTTGACGCTGGGCAGCGTCGCGCTGAGCAGACATTGCCATAAGCCGGGCCGTTTGCTCACGCTGCTCCGAGCGCCGCTGTTCACGGCACTCCATCTCCTGGAGCTGTATGCAAGGCGTCGGGTGAGTAGGTAGACAGCCCTCACGAATTCCCGCTGCAACGCATGTTGCTCCAAAGCACACACCTCTTGAACAGTGGAACGTGAGGTGGCAATCAGCAGGAGCTTGACGGGGCGCGATTCTGGTTCATATCCCATCTCACGAAGTGGAGTAGCCGGACTAGGGGGTGCAGCCTGCCCCAACAGGGTACGGCCAGCCAACTTTTGCTCATCCACGCTAACCCCCGAGACCCGGGCCAGCTCTATTTGGAAATCACCTACACCCCGTGTGGCCGAGCCAGTCGCCGAGAATGCACAAAACATCAGCCAGGGCAAGCTGCAGAACGACAAGAGAACCAGGTGCCAACATACCCCAAGTGGCCTCGACGGGAAGAACTAATTCATAAATCTGTTTTTCATGCTTGACATCAATGCGAATGGAGGCACCAGCAGGCACGGTCGACGCCTCGACGGCCCGAGCGTCGGCCTCATCCTCCGCCATCATGGCAGCGAGAGAGAGAGAGAGAGAGAGAGAGAGAGAGAGAGAGAGAGAGAGAGAGAGAGAGAGAGAGAGAGAGAGAGAGAGAGAGAGAGAAATAAACTGTCAACTGTTGTCAGCAGTCATTGTCAGCATTGTGGGAGATAGTGTTTCATACGTCACACTCTATTTTGTCACCCTATAAGTGTCTAGAACATATGGAATTATCGTGTTATAAATGCTTAGGACTATTCTTGGAATTCTGTCCATGCACACCTTGATACCCACATGCACATTATCGCACTTGGTCACACTTTATCTATTTGCAGTGTGACCATGTTACACATTGCCCATTTCGTCTTGGAAATTTTTCAAGCCTAGCTCTAGCCCCAAACCCTCGAGCGGACCAAATCGGGCTCTCAGTCTCCCAGTCTCTGGGAACTACACTGTGTAGCTATTGGTGCCAAAGCGGGTGAGTCTCCTTGTCTTGACAACATGTCTTTTCTTGATTTTCCACGCCCCCAGGTGCGCCTTCTTTGGACGCTACATAAACTACACCCACTACTGCATCTTCTTACATCGTGTTCACGTTGAGAACGACAGCAAGTCCACTTATGCCAGCAGCTCCAGGACGGTCTCATTTGCATGGTGTTTCAACGTCGTGCGCATTTTCCCACACCGCCCCTTCGCCTTCTTCCGCCATCATCGCCGCCATGGAAGCCCCGATCGCACAGCAGCCCAACAAGATGGCATCGCCCTTGGCGAATGATCAGCTGCTTCTGCAAAAGCTGGCCAACATCAACAAGTACACGCTGCGCCAGGGTAGCCCGCTTCTGGAAGCCGTTTCGTGCGGTGCGCTCGGTAACGTGCGTTACGCCAACTGGTTCCGCCCCCCTCGCCCGCCGCTGTGGCTGTGGCTGTGGCTTCGCTTCGACGCGACCCTGCCTCAATCATGATACCTCCTCCTGCTTCAACGCAAGTAGATTTACGTCCTGGCGGATGCCGAGCGAAAGGTGCAAGTCCAGGGCCGCAACGAGGAGGTTCCGATCCCCGTGTTTGTGGTCAAGGAGGAGTCCAACTGCTGCCTGCGGCTGTGCTGTGGCGGTCACCAGGCTCTGGTGGCCCGCATGTACCACGCCAACATGCAGCCCAAGGCTGGCAAGGAAGTTTGCGGCATCTACTCGGGCCATGTCTACGAGGCCGATCCCGAGTCGGGTGTGGCCATGACCATGGACCGTGATGGTTGCTGCCACCCTCGCAAGTTTGGCCTGGGCTGCTTTGTTTGCTTTGCTTGCTGCCAAGACGAGATGTTCATGCACGCTGGTGGTCCCGACATCAAGCCCGGTGACACGCGCGCTGAGGACACCACCTGGATGTCGCGCTCCGCCGTGCCCATTGGCGGTGGTGGCTTCCACCCCACCTTTGAGTTTACCACCCAAGACAACAAGGAGGAACCCTTTGCCTATGCCTCGGGCCCTTGCTGCTTTGGCGGCTGGATGGAGTTTTTCCGCGAGACGGTGTTCAAGTACACCACCAACAAGGACGATGAAGAGGCCAACCTGGCCGAGTTGCGTAAGAAGACGCCCAAGTCCATCGGCGAGCTCTGTGCTGCCTTGATGACCCCGGTTGATTACTACGAGATTGACATCAAGGATGACTTCCGCAAGCTTTCCCCAGAACAACAGATGACCATTCTCGGCAACGGCATTCACGTGCGTCTTGAAGTTGACTGTGCCAATGCATCAGATAGCAGACCCCGTCTCCTGCTGATTGGCCACTCTTGACATCAATTTGGTAGCTCATCTCCACCTGTCTTACACTTCTTGCCATCAGGTTGATTACATGCTTTTCGAGAACGACAAGGGTGCATGCGGCCTGTCTACCGACTCTCAGGGCAATCCCAAATGTGACTGCGTATGTACAACTCTGTCGTCCACGCCAATCCATGCTCGCCAGCGAAATGCCGTGCCATCTCATCTGCCCGTGTGCCTGTTCCTGTTCCGGTGGTTCCTGCCCACGTCCTTGGCCTTGCAGACCCTCTGCCTCATGTACTGTGCCGGCTGCGTCATGCCCTGCACCATCTCTTGCGTCTTCAAGAGCGATGACAGCTAAATTTCCTGCTCCACTTTTCTCGTGCGCGATCTTAAGTTTTGGTTCCACACTGCTTTTCGCTCCTGGCTTGTCCGTTGTCTTTTATTCGTTTCCCTTTTTTTTTTTTTTTTCCTTTTTTTCCCTTCTCTTCCTGTGTTGAGCTTTTCTGCATGCTGGCAATCGAACTTTTTTTGATGCACATGTTGGTTTGCCCAGTTGATTCTGGCACGGGCCGCAGCTGCGGAGGGCATCATACACACACGCTCCTGGGTGAGCAGGCATGACCTCATGAAGATTCTACGAAGAAATCCCTCACACCCCCCACCATCACCAGCCGTGGTTTGCCACGATATTGTTTGAGGGCTGCCCGATAGGAGGTTCAGTGATGACGGTTCGCAGAACGTGCGTTGGCAATTCCACTTGTATGCAAAAAAAAAAAAAAAAAAGGCACATGCGCGCAGCACCAGCCAGATGTGAACCGCACATCCCTTGACCATCCTCCCGCCCAATGGCACAATCCTAACCCCACCCCGCCAAATGGAACGCCATGGCATGGCGTGTCGAGTAAATGATAATAATATGGATGCCTCTGACTGTGTCTGTGTCTCTGTGTTGTGTGTCAATCTTTCCTCCGCCTCTCTGTCCCTCTCTGTCCCTCTCTATTCCCTGTCCCTCTCTGTCCCTCTCTGTCCCTCTCTGTCCCTCTCTGTCTCTCTCTGCTCCTCTCTGGCTCTCTCTGCTCCTCTGGCTCTCTTTGTCCCCAACTGTTTCTCTCTGCCCCTCTCTGTCTCTCTCGAACCAATTCATTCTTCGCTCTCTTCTCTCTCTCTTCTCTCTCTTCTCTCTCTTTTCTTCTCTCTCTCTCTTTTCTCTCTCTTTTCTCTCTCTTTTCTTCTCTCTCTCTCTTTTCCTGTGGTCGTGTGACCCATATTCGGCTGTGGTGTGTTGATCAAGGTTTGGAGCCCTCTGTCAGTGTGTATGTCGCAACTGCGGACTCTGAGCCATTTGACAGTGAAGAAGCAACAGCTGCTCGTGCTGGTGGTGGGGGGTCTGCATCGGCACCTGCACCTACACCTACACCTACACCCGCACCTGTGTGTATCTGCATGTGTGTGGGTCCCACACTTGACACTTGCTCATTCGGTTGCGTGTTCGGACGACGTAGCTCTGCCTTACAACCCACCGAAATCAATTCATCAGCGTTTTTCCACACATTGGGTGGCGCATTCAAGGCTGTGTCTTAAAAGTTGAAGTGGTCAGTGACATTTTCTTCTCTGGCTGTCCCTGCCATCAGCGCCCGTACCTTGAGCACCCACAATACAAGGCACCCTGCTGTGCCGCCTCTTTTACAACCTGGTCGTTCTGCATCGCCGCCGGACATTGTTGGTTCACACTGTGCGGACAGGCTCCGACATGGCCGATGCCCATCTCGCCTCTGTCAAGGAGGGCGAGGGCGTCCTCCGACGTCAACAGCTCAAGCAACAACGCCAGCATGTGATATCCATGGCCCGCCGCGAAACAAAGGTACGTTGATACCGCCAATTTCCCCCCGAGACCAAGCAAGGCTTTGTGCGCCTTTTGTTTTGATTTTCTTCTTGGCTCTGGGAGCTTCTTTGCGCCGCCTCGCTCAAAACGTTGATGTGCGCGTTTTCGTCCTGACAGGATTGGTCGTTCGAGACACCAGAAAAGGAACGCCTGCGTGAGAGCGATGCCCGTGAAGTCAACTGGGCTCGATGGGGACCATATCTGAGGTCGGCTCACACCGACCGACCGTGCCACTTCTGAGTCGGACCGCAGTCCTGACCTTGGCTCATGGTTGCTTGGTCCGATGCATTTACAGTGAGCGCCAATGGGGCACCGTGCGCGAAGATTACAGCGAGGACGGATCTGCCTGGGACTACTTTACCCATGACCAAGCCCGCTCCCGCACCTATCGTTGGGGCGAGGACGGCCTCCTCGGCATCACGGTGCGCTGGCTTGACACCTCACAGCGGCGTCGCACCCCCATCGGACGCAGCATATACTTGCTTCTCATGCTTTGACCTGTCATTCCCGACAGGACCGTGAATGCCGTTTGTGCTTTTCGCTTGCCCTTTGGAATGAGGAGGTGAGCATACTCGCTCGAAAAAAACAAAAAACCCGTGCTTCCAACCGCCGCCTTCCTTTGCGAGATTGTCGGTTTTCATCAGGCTCAAGGCTGCTTGCTCGTGCTTAGGACCCCTTTTTGAAGGAACGCCTCTTTGGTCTGAGTGGTCCTGAGGGCAACCACGGGGAGGACGTGAAGGAGCTGTACTACTACATCGACGCAACGCCCACCGCCAGCTACCTCAAAGTCAGTTGCCCCCGCTCCCTCCGATGGCCTCTCCGAGCACGAAATGACTGTCGTCTTCTTATCATTTTCCGCGCCAGGCCTTGTACAAGTACCCGCATGCCGCCTACCCCTACGAAGAGCTGGTCAAAGAGAATGCCGACCGCTCCAAGAAGGATCCAGAGTATGAGATCCTTGACACAGGTATGAACCGTGGCAGTGGCTTTATCATGCCAAGAATTCGCCGCCAGTTCCAATTGACAATTGCCATACCGCGTCTGAACCCTGAGATTAGGCGTATTCGACAACAACGCCTATTTTGACGTCCAAGCTGAATATGCCAAGAAAGGGCCCAATGACATCGCCATACGGTCTGTGCCAAACGTCGATGAACCCCCGACGCGAGCTCGCCATCTTTGTGAACGTCTCCCTTCACGAGCTTGCTGGCACTCCCTCCCCAGCCTGACCGTCACAAACCGGGGCTCTGAGCCTCACACATGCCACGTTCTGCCCAACCTCTGGCTGCGCAACACCTGGACCTGGGGCACCGAGGACGAAGGTTGGCCAGTCACCGTCATCGTCATCGCCACTGCCTTCTGCTTCTTTTTCTTCTTTTTCTCTCTCCCCTCCCCCCGCCATCTTTTACTCTTTTGTTCTCACAGTAACTTGTTGCCTCGTGACCTATGCATACATCTGCATTGCACTCATTCCCTGTGCCATGAATGTGCGCCACATGCTGCTAGTTGGGTCTAGCAAGGGCTACGTCAAGGAAATGCGAGGCCTGAACAGCCAGGGCATGGTCGAGTTTGAGGCCAAACAGGAAACCTTGGGGACCTTCCGCCTCATGGCTGAGCGCCGTGACATGTATGTCTTCAACCCATCTCCCCCTTCCGAGCAACTTGCGCTTGCCAAAGCTGTTGATGCCCAGCCCGGCCTAAATGTGCGCGAGTGATTGTCAACTCAAGGCCATGTTTTGCCTACTTTGGTGTCACACGTCTTGTCCGCAGTCAAACGACTCTTTTCACGGATAACGAAAACAACACAAAGCGCCTTTTTGCTGATGAGGAGCGGCGCCCAGCCAAAAAGGACGAGCTTGCAGATGAAGAATCCGACTCGGACGACCAAGTGAACGTCGCTGGCTCCCACGCCACGCAGGCTGAAGGCCAAGGCAACATTGACGGAACAGATCGTGGCCAATGCCGCAAAAAATGTTCCCAGTCGACTCCAGACAACGATGATGTCCCTCGCACCCCTGAGGGTGATCCCGCCTATGCCAAGGTAGATTTGTATTTCGTCGCTGCTGTGTCTTTTGTCTAGCGTGCATCTGCGCTTCCATGCAGGAAGCTCGGCGTTTTTGCTTTGATGGAAGCCACGGCAGCATCACAACTTGTCTGGTTCTGATCAAACAGGATGCTTTTCATGCCTTTCTCGTTGACGGAGATGAAAAAGCCGTCAATCCAGCCAAGACCGGCACCAAGGCCGCTATGCACTACAAACTTTCCTTGGAGCCTGGTTCGTGCACGCGTCTGCATGGCTGTTTGATTTTCTGCGCCTGGGGGACGTACCTTTCTCTTTTGTCCTATTTATTCTGCTGGAATTGGCATTCGTTCAAAAGCATCAAGCTGACGCATTTGGCCATGGTCTCGTCTCCCATTGCGCTATCATTAGGAGAAAAGCGTGTCTTGCGCTTGCGCCTGGTCGACTTTGACGATGAGTACTCCAAGCAAGATATCACAGCAGATGACAAAGAGTTTGGGCCCGACTTTGACGCCCTCTTTGAAACGCGTATCAAGGAGGTTTGTAAGCGACGCGACGCATTCCCTTCCCAAGGGATTTCTTTGCCTGATAGCTACACGAGCAACCCGCGCCTTAAAACAGGTCTCAATGAGAGTTTCGTTTGTCGCAGGCCGATGAATTTTACCAGCATCGGCTGAACGGGCTCACTGAGGAGCAGCGCCGCATTCAGCGCGAAGCGTATGCCGGCCTCATCTGGAGCAAGCAGTTTTACTTCTACATCGTCGATCAGGTAGGCAAGATAGAACGTGACAGCACCCCAACAAATTTTTCACGCGCTTCCTGCTCATGCGTTGTTCACATTTTCATAGTGGCAAGACGGCGATCCCAACATGCCGCGGCCACCGTCCCAGCATCCCAAAGTTCGAAATGAAGATTGGACTCATGTGAGTGTGACCTGCTTGCGAGTGGTTGAAGCTTCTTGCTTGCCCTCATGCCTTGCAAATGATGAGCTGATACTTTTCTGTCGGGTCGTAATTCTGCCCGGTTTGCAGCTGCACTCGCGAGACATCATCTCCATGTGCGACAAGTGGGAGTACCCATGTAAGGCGTTTGAGAACCAAAGCTCAAGGCACCAATGAGTGTGTGAGCGCTTCAAGTCACGCTGCGCATGGTTTTGACAGGGTTTGCTGCATGGGACCTGGCCTTCCACATGATTCCTATGGCCGTGATTGACCCTGGTTTTGCCAAAAACCAGCTCATCCTATTCTTGCGCGAGTGGTACATGCACCCCAATGGCCAGCTACCAGCATACGAGTGGAATTTTGGCGATGTCAACCCCCCAGTGCACGCTTGGTACGACGTTGTAGACCCATTGTTCGAGCTTTTGCCCACGGGAAGCTGTGTGCTTTGTTGTGCACATGCTAACACCACCCGGTTTTTTTTTTTTTTTTTTTTTTTTTTTTTTGCACAGGGCATGTTGGCGCGTGTACAAACTGACAGCGCCCCAGGGCCAGCGAGATTTGACCTTCTTGAAACGCTGCTTTCACAAGCTCATGCTAAACTTCACTTGGTGGTACGCTCGTCGATGAAAACCATCGCCCTCCGCAACCAGTATACCTGGCTGCAGCTCACCTGCACTTTTGCACACGGTATTTAGGGTCAATCGCAAGGATCCCTTTGACGAGCACATTTTCTCTGGCGGCTTCTTGGGCCTGGACAACATTGGCCTGTTTGATCGATCGCAACCGCTCGAACATGGTGGTAAGTGTGAGGTTTACTCCGAGTGCATCGACGCGAGACTTTTAAAAAAGCAAATCAGCGGTTGTTTCTTCTGGTTTTGGTTTTTCTGTATGGCACCTGATCCTCACCGTGCAAATTGGGTTGTTTCGATATCATCTGATGACAGAATTGCTGCAAGCTGATGGCACCTCATGGATGGCCTTCTTCTCTATTACCATGCTCGACATGGCCTTGGAGTTGGCCGTGCAAGACGAGGCCTATGAAGACATTGCCAGCAAGTTCTTCGAGCACTTTGTGCAAATTAGCCATTGTATGTGTAGCCCCCGCCCCGTTTGCAACAGTGAACGAGCATTTAAGCTTGAGAGCTCATAGCTCCTATACCGAATACAGCGATCAACACCCTTGGTGGGTCTGGTTTGTGGGACGAGGAAGATGGCTTTTATTATGATCAAGTTCGAGGCCACGACGGTGAAACCCAAGTCTTGCGTGGTCAGTCCCACCCCTCATTTGATGTTGGCACTGACTAGTCTCCCTTTCGTTTTTGTTCTCTTTCGCCGTGTTCTCCTTCGGCTCGACCCCTGCTAAGGACTAACTGGCCTTTGTCATTCTCTAGTGCGCTCCATGGTTGGGCTCATCCCCATGTACGCTTGCCTGGTGCTGGACAACGAGGTCTTGGACAAGCTACCCAACTTTCGCAAGCGCCTCAATTGGTTTCTCAAACACACTCCAGATCTGGCACAACAGGTATAGTCAAGGCCAATGAAATGTTCGAATGTTCGAGACGAGGTGAGTTGAGCACTTTTTTAACTCCAAGACTCGCGTTCTTAGGTACAAATTTCATGTGACATTGACAAGGACGAGGCGGTGAAGGAGCATACTCGTCGCCACTTGTTGGCCATTCCCTCTCGGGAGCGTCTCCGATGCCTGCTCGAGTACATGTTCGACGAGAAGGAATTTTTGGCGCCTTACGGCATTCGCTCTCTCAGCAAAGCCTATTCAGAAGAGCCATACGTGACCACGGTCAACGGTGAGCCTGCAAGCCCATGTACTCGTCAGTAAGGTTTCTTCCAGCTCGCCACTCACCTAATGCTGTCGACGGTCAACCTCGTAGAGGATGAGGTGAGCGTCGAGTATGACCCGGCAGAAAGCACCACAGCCCTTTTTGGTGGCAATTCCAATTGGCGCGGACCCGTGTGGTTCCCCGTCAATTTTCTTTTGATTGAGTCCTTGCAGCGATACTACTACTTCTTCGGCGATGATTTTAAGGTCAGCTTTCGGCTTGACGCGGGAGGGGCCCTGCCATGAGGTGAACATTGTGTACGAGGTGCTTGTTCGATTGACAACACTTTTTGACATAAAACGCAGATAGAAGTGCCGACGGGCTCTGGCCATCTTATGAATCTTCAAGAGGCCTCGGAGTATCTCTGCAAACGCCTTGTGTCTCTCTTTGAGAAGGTGCGGGCTCCGGAGTCGCTGACTGTAAAACAGCAAAACTGCAATAGCTGTGTGGGCGCTTATATAGCACGTTGGCGACATTCCTTTTGATTTCCAGGACAAAAAAGGCGAGCGTCCGTGCCACCGGCATGACTCTGTCAAGAACATTCACGATGACCACCCACTCTTCTACGAGTACGGGCCCACCTGGCTGTGTGTCATTGCAAGTAGAAAATATACTCACACGGCGTGCTCTTTCTTGTATTACGGGCATGTTTAGGTACTTTCATCCAGAAGAAGGACGTGGCGTTGGCGCCAGTCATCAGACGGGCTGGACAGCTCTTGTGGCACGCTGCGTGGACCTGATGTCACTGCACCATCACCGCCGTCTCTCGTCCTCGAGCGCGCCGTGAGAGTCGTTGTAACATGCCCACGCGCTCCAAAACAAATTGAGAATTGATATCTTCTCGCTCATTGATACCATGTCAAAGGCGCTGGCCAACAGCGCAAGTCGATGGTGCCCGAGCCACCAGAAGTGCACCAACCAACCCCAACCCTACGAACCAGCCACGAATCATCTCTTCATCTCGTCTCAAAACGAGATGAAAAATTTTGATTTTCATGTGAATTTTCTTCTTTTTTTTTTTCATTCATCATCAGTCAGTGTGAAGAAGGAAGAAGAGAGAGAAAAAATAGAAAAGAACTGCGGAAGTGGCGACGTCCTCGGCTCACTCTCCAAGTGCCCAGAAGGATGGACGCTCACTTTACGGAGAACTCGCGCTTTGAGTTCAGTGCTCAGGTTAGGACCCAACTCAGTCGAACAGCCTTTTGTCAAATCAGGGTCTAATCGGTTTTGAGCATCATCTCCCCACCCCAGCCCCGCCCCCTCGTCACTCACGGCCTGGTACTGTTTTGACGCGGGACCATGCTGTAGCATTGCGGATCAACCACAGGCCATGCGCGCTCCGAAACACATCTCCTTGACTTTATCGAGGGCCAGCGTGCGCTCGGCATCATCGCCACACACTCAACGATGGACGATCTGGTATGCACCCCGCTTACGCTCGAGGCAAATGTTGAACAACGCAACTTACTTTGTGACCGCTCGTTCACGTTCAGGTTATCGTCGTCCTCAATCGCTACGGCATCAAAGTCACTGACCTTGAGCAAGAAGAGGTTTTTTTTCGAGCACCACTCGAAACCATCGTCAGCGTCATCTACTACGTTGAACAAGATGGCTCTGTACGTGCTAGTCCCCACCCCTGTGCTTGTTGAGTGCCGATCAACCGAGAAACGGTTTGGTGGCCCTCTGCTCGAATGTCTCTTCTTTTCTTCCTTTTGTGAGGGGCAATGATTGACCGCGCCTTGGTATTGAACCTCATGCTTTTAGCACATGGTTGTTCTGGACACCTGCAAAGCACATGCCACCAATCATGGCTTCCACGTCTTCAAGTTCTACGATCAGGCATGTTTGGTCCAAAACGCTTTCTCGCGCGTAGGGCCTGTCTCAAGGTTCTTGAAGCAAGCCCGCACACTTCTGCTGAAACACGCATGCTTGATACGCTCATTGGCCGCCTGACCCTTTGCCGCCCGTGACGTTGACAGACGGCTGCGGAAACGTTTTCGCAGCGCTGTCAGGAAGCGTTTGCCTTGCTCAAGGCCAAGGTCGATGCTTTGGATGAGTAGGCTTAAGAGCTAGATTCCGATGCTCGCCATCCTTGATAAAGACCGGCCATTTATCTCTTCTCGCGCCGAGCGCGAGCTTGACTCAAATTAGGAGCGGGCTTGCAACCCAGCATTATTATACACGCCCTTCCCGCTTTGGTTGTTGGTGCCTTTTATTTTTCTTTTGTTTGTGATGTGGTTCAGCGTGTTTCATGCTCCCGTGCGGTGGCCAGTGGCTATCCCGTCAAGATCCAATCCTAAAACCTTCCGTTCGCCCGAGACTGCGAAGAGAGTGTTCGATTGTCTTCGCCCAGCAAGGAAAACGCAAGCCAGAAAGTTTTTTCGATAAATGCCTCTCAAAAAATTTTGCGCCAAACCAACAAGCATTGTCTCTGCAAGTCTCCTCAAATGTAAATCACCAGGGAGCACCCCAAAAATCGGCCTTATTCTTACTCGATGCAGTTACCTCCTCAGAAGCCCAGCTAAGTTCGTCTCCGCCCTCAGCCCTACAAGGAGAACACGGGAAGACAAACCAGCACAGAGACATAAGCAAAGTAAGACAACTTGCAAAACCAGCTCGGTTGGGATGGATGAAACCGCACACCACACTCTTCAAGAAGCGCAAGGCAAGAAAGTGTTGACATACCACGGACTGGCCTCAATAGGGTCCAAAATACCCGCCGAGAGACCCATGGTACCAGCTGGTGGATCCGAAACCGTACGGGCCGGCAAGTGCGACTCGTAAAAAGAATCATCACGACTCCCAAACATGGGGCCACTCTGTTCTTCCTGGCTCATCCACCAAAAGGTTGATTTCTTGTCCTGGTTGGTGGGTGGCATGGAAGCCCACGGATCGTGGCCACTCATTCCAGGCTGCGATGCGGTAGTCTCCACCACTGGGGCCGTTGGCAAAGCGTCCCCATCGTTCCAGACTGGCTCACTACCCGTCAAACTCGACCAGAGAGAACCTGTAGCGACTGGCTCTTCTGGGGCTGGTGGCAAGCCTCCTAGCCCCACGCCGGTGCCCCATGTGGTCATGGGATCGTGGCTGCTCTCTGCTGGCGGCAGAGGAACGGAGGGGCTAAAGTGGGGGAGAGGAGGCAGCTTGAACAAACCCGGTGTACTGGGAGTCAGCGGATCCGGAATCAGCGGTGGGCGCTCGGGTGTGCGCGGAATGGCATCTCGACCCCCCGCGCCCCGTGAAGCTCCCAGCTGCCGCAAGGTGGCCGATGAAGGCGAGAAGGGCGGGGCATCTGGTGACATGGTCATCGTAGGCGGGCGCGGTTTGCGATGTGGCGAGGTGGCTTCTGGCGCCAAGCCCACGCCTGGGGGCGATGGGGCCACGGTTGAACTTGCCGCGAGCTGACGAGGCGACAAACCAGCCGCCACTGCCGCAGCAGCTGTTGCTGGCCGAGCCGCGTTCCTGCCCCCTGCTTTGACGGGGGATGCTGGAGCTCGTCCCACCCCAAGCCGTTGCGCCGCCACCCGGCCTTCGTGCGTGGTAGAATTGGTGGCCATACGAGGGGAACTGGCCATCTTGTTTCGCCCTGCTGTCTGACGACCTGCCCGAAGAGTAGACGGAACATCGCCCTCCTCTGGACCACCGCCTGCTTGCGCAGCAAGCAACGCTTGAGCAATGATCGCATCCTTGTCAGCCACAGCAGGCATTGCTCCGGGTTCCTTCAAACTGGCGGCTGGACCCCGCCGGCGAACCTCTGCTGGTTTGTCCGGAGAGCGAGAGCCTGGCACGTGTACATGTGGCTGCCCGTCCGCGTAAACCGTGGGGGAGCGATCTTGGCCTCGGCGTGATGCTCGTGTGTCGCCTTCGGGATTAGCATCGGGAGCCTGTCCACTCTCGCGTGGAGAGCCTATACCACTTGCTGAGGTCGTTCCAGAGGTCTGTGCACTAGCTGATTCTTCCTGTGAAACATCTGCATGCCCACCACGTGCCGCAGTTGTCGAGTGGCTCACGAGATGTGCCTGAGAGTTGACTTGAGAGTGATTGCTGGTTTCAGCAGCGTGGCGGCCACTTTCCCGCCCAGCCGGACTGGCACCTGTAGCAGCGTGCGATTCGATGAGTGGCACTGTAGAAATGGCACGGCCAGAAGTGCCGGCTGTTGCCTTTTTGGATTTTTTCTTCCGGCGTGCGCGAGGTGATTGGTCGTGGTCGTGGTCGTGGTCGTGGTCGTGGTCGTGGTCGTGGTCGTGGTCGTGGTCGTGGTCATGGTCATGGTCGTGGTCATGGTCGTGGTCGTGGTCGTGATCGTGCATGTGATCTTTTGCAAAAGAATCCTCCCCGCCGTCTTGGTAATGGCCGGGTGTGTGATCATCGAATCCAGGGTTCCCTCTAGGTGAGACAGAGTTAACCACGTTGGCTCTACTCTCGAAATCTTCCCGGGATTTGGCATGGTTGTCATTGCCAGCATCATCACTGGAATCAAGGCGACCTTGCGCATGTCCTTGCGCGTGCTCTTGGTGCCGCCGTTGTGATTGTCTGTGTTGCGACGGCGGTTGCAGCTGTTGCGAAACATTGTCACTGACACTGTTCGATGTGCGTGTCTTGGTTCTGCGTGTCACTCTCACGCGTGATTTGAAGGGCAGCGCACCATCTCCGCCACATTCGACCAGCATGACCAAGACGCCCAGCGCAATCGAGACAAGCAAAATAGCAGGTTTGAGATATGGCGCCCACGTAGGTGCTGGAACGGCCTGGAAGCAGGGATTGAGCAAGTGCGGGGGAAGCGTAGCGACAAGCTGGAAAAAAAGTGGCCTGTCATTGTCCTTCAACTGCACGGTCAGCCGAGACCGGACTAAAGCGCTCGTAAAATCGGGTGTGTAACCAATCTCCAGTTGGTGCTCTGCCTGTGGTTCCAACACAAAGGGCGTGCAGTTGTAAATCTCAAAACCTTCGGCTTGACAGGGCCCTCCGTCAATGCCCATTCGAGTGACATGCACGGGCATATCTCCACGATTGACAACAGTAAAGTTGAAGCGAAAGGCATCGCCGACTCGGTGCCGCGAGGCTAGGGAGCCATTGGCGCCCGCACTTGCGGCATCTGGCAAAGAAATGGCCTCTGACCCGTTGCCATCGAGGAAGAGATCTGGATCCTCACAGCCCTGCAGATCATCTGACGTAATGCTGAGTACGAGGCTGCCGTTTCGAATGTTTGGCTGCGTTCGGGGAAAGCCAAAGGTCCCCTTGCCTCCGATAGCGTCGAGACGGACGGCCTCCATGATGCTGAGATTGTTGAGCAGCATCACGGCTGCAGTGGCATGCCCCACGACAATGGGCTTGAAGCTGAAAACAAGCGAGGCATTGCGACGTGGCGCAAGAATCAGACGATCCGGTCCTAAGACCTTGATGGCCGTGTCCCGCGCGGCGGTATCTGGGTGTAGCCGGCGCTGCGCCTCGGCGAACACGTCACTCGTGAAGTCAATCATAGGAAAGGGGTCGTAATCGGTGCGCATGTGCTGAGCATCCGAAGGCGAAAGCGCCAGGTGTGCCTCAAGTTGTGGTCCCAAACTCGTTTGTAAATAATGGCGGACCGTGGCCAACTGCAAAAGCAGGGGTTGTTGGCTGGGATTCGTCACCACAGCCTCAAGAAAGGAGGTTTGGTGAATCTGAGTCAAGGCAAACTGCAACGTGCGATTACCAAGCAGGTTGGGGCGGTAAAGTGCCGCAAACACATCAATGTGGTGCGGTAGTTGGCTCTCGGCATGGAGCGACACGCGAGCTGCAACTTTGTGTTGATTGGCTGCTCGCAGCTCTTGCCAAGCAGAGTGCGTCGCGGTCAGCTCATCCAAGTCAATGCGGTCAAGCTCGATGGACTTTGACGGCCAGCTGAAGGACCGACGCACGCGTGGCATGTAGTTGCGACTGTTGACTAAGGAGGACGTGTTAAACTGCACAGAGCCAAGGCGCAGGCGCTGACCCTGCAACCCACTGAGATCCTTGGGAAAGTTGGGATTACGCACAAACTGAATGCGCGAGTCAGTTGAGGACACCGATTCAATGCTGATGGACCGATTGTCCGGAATAAGCTCAATGTCAGCCGATGGCATGGCGGTCAGCTAGAATGCAAAGAAAAATGGTGCGAATGATGCAAATGGCCAGGACAAAAGTATGAGTGAAATGCCTCAGAATAAGGAGAAGAAGATTAAGAAGAAGAACAAGAAGAAGAAAAAGAAGATGGTCGATGCTCGCACCTGTCGCAAAGATGAAGGAAAGACTTCCTCGTCAACCTCATGGGACATATAGTATTGGTCGGGAAACGTGGGTGGGAACAAAATGGTCGTTGGTGACAAGTTCAACAGTTTGCGGCGACCTTCATAAGAAACAGGAATGTAAAGTGTGCTGTATGTTGAGTAAAGGCGCAATTCGCCGTGGAGCTTTCGCTCTTGGGGCTGGAGAAGCGTCACGTTGAAGGTCAGCACCATTCCCGGATCCATGGTGATGTTAATGGCCTGCACCTGTAAAGCAAAGCAAACCAGCAAAGTTCAGCATTTTGACTCGTGAGTCGAAAAGATTTGTTTCGGAAAGACAGGCCGAGGAAAATGTGATCAAACAGGGTCGAACCTGGCTCTCATCAACCTGATCATCGGCCGGCGTGGTGAGTGGCGCGGGCACATCTTGGTGACGTGCAAACAGCTTGCCGTACTCGACCACATCCAAAAGGTGTGCCGAGGGCGAGGTCTCAACCGCCGTCAGCTTGAGTCCCGGCACGTTGGTCGCGTAAGCTGAGAGCTGAACGCGCACTGAGTTGCTGTTGACCACTCGCAGCTGCAGCGTTTGAGGCTCCTCGACATCAAAGATCCCAAAGTCGATATCGTCATAGCGCTGCGTGACAATGGAGCCGGCGGGAAGAAAACAATGGAGCCACAAGCACAAGCAAGCGGAAGGACCACGTGGTGATGAGCATCAGAACACGTCTTGCAGTACGCAGTGGAGTGTGCCCAAAAGAAATGAAAAAAAAAAATAAAAGTAAACAAGCCAATGGACGAAGTGTGCAACGAGGAGAAGAGGAAGCACTGTGTGCTTGGGCGCGGGCAATGAGGCACGTGGTGGATGGGTTGCAAATGCCTCATCAAAGACCAAACGGTCCCCCCCATAAAAACGTCAGTAAGCAACGAGTTTGTTCTCGCCCGGGCGTATACCCACAAACGTCACGGCCTTGAAGGCACTCGACGTGCGGGAAAATAACCGGGCTGATGGCAATGTAACCATGACACAAAAGTCTCACACAAGCAGAAAAACAGCGTCGCTCGAGAACACAGCCACCGTGCACAAGCAGAAGACAATGACATTGGAAAAACGGCCTTCAAAAAAAGAACAACAAAAATAGCAGCGGACGCTAGCCAGTCGGGCTAGTGAGGTTTGAGCGGGCAAGTAAGGAATCCTACCTTGTCGGTCACAGTGTAGCCAAGTTGGCCATTGTAGGTGAAAAGAGGAACATGAACGCGAAGAGCAGATTCATTGGTGGCAATGGTCAGAAACTGAGTCAGAGCAAGATCCGTGCTGTTGGCCTGAAAGGTAATGTTGTATGACTGACTCTGGCCGGGAGCCAAGACGTGCCGCTGTGCAGAGCCCTCCAACTACCGAGGCCAAAAAGCGAATGAGCTCATGCAATATGCAATATGCATGCCTCGGAATCCCACCGCCATGCCAAATGCATGGTCCCTTGACCCTCACATGGCATGGGCAACTTACCTTGAAGAGGTCACTGATGTCTCGCGGGACAGTAAAGTTGACGAGCTCAATGGCACGGGGATGGGTATTTAAAACCGTGAAGCGGCGGCTTTGGCGTACAAAAGGTGGACCTTCAACGTGAAAGCAAGTGTCAACAAAAGGCAGGTCCAAGGCCCCCTCCTCAAATTGGGCACGAAAGGGGACGTGAATTGTGTGAACGCCCGCCTGCAAAGGCATACGATAATCGATCTGCACAATGCCCTCATAAACGCCGCATGCATTTTGCAGACGGCCACTACCCAGGGTGAGGGTGGCTACGCGCGTCCAGGTGAAAGGTTGAAGGGAGAACTTGTCCTTGCGGTGGTGCACGGCGACAGTCGGACAAATGCGCGTGGCGTTGTGAGAGTGGGCACAGCCCACCACGCGGAGGTCAAGTATTTGGGCGTTGGCCTTTTCGTCGCTGGAACGGTACAGCAGGGTAACCGGGCGATGAAGGGGTGGGTCGGAACGCGTGAGGGTTCCAAAGTCAATCATGTCCCCGGGGCCGAAGAAGAGGCCGTCTTGTTGAACAACATCAATGGTGACAGGGATGATGGCGTTGCTGGCACTGTGATTGGTGCGCACATTGATGTAGCCCTGTAGCAAGGTGGGTTCGTTGCTCGTCACTGTTGCAATAAAAACAGGCTGATGAACGCGAGGCGGTATGATCCAATTGCGCAACGGGGTCTCGCCATTTTCGCTGTTGGCGCTGAAGAGTGCGGCCACCTCTACGTGAATGTCCTTGAGACTGGTGAACACCTCTTGAACCTGTCAGTCGAATGAGGTCCACAAAGCAGTCAGGCGGTGCGTCTTTGACACGAGCATGGGACCAAGGAGCAAAGCCAACATGGAAAATGAACACACCATGAGGGGGAACGGGTGGGGGTTGAAGACGCTGACGGTCTGGGCGAGGCGCAGCTTGGTTGGGATGCGTCCGTGCACCAGTGGGCGCAGGCGTAGCTCATTGGGCACGGCGTCACCAAACACTTCATAGAGAATGGGGCCTTGTGAGGTGAGTAGAGTAATGTTAGCCTCCACGGGCCCCAATGTCTCGCTCATAAAGGCAATGGTGAAGGTGGTGTTATCGCCCGGTGCCACCACCGCGTGCTCAAACCATGAGCTATGAAAGTCGTTGCTGTTGCTTGAAATGCTGTAAAGGTGCAAATCAGCTCGTGGATTGCCGTTGACAACCGTGACCACGCGTTCTGCGACTTTGCACAGTTCCCTGCGAGGCAAGGCCAAGTTGAAGCACGTTCGAGGACAAGAATAAGAAAAACAGAAAAAATACGAGTCCAGAGCCAAGACAGAGCAGGTGGGGTGTCCGAGAGGCCTTTGTGGCAAGCGCGAGCTTACTGCTGGGGAAAGCGCAGAAAAGGAGGGACCAGCACTGGTGGATGTTGGCCTTCCACGATGCCCTCGCTAAACATGACATCAAAGAGAGCCATGGATAAAAGAGCCGAAGAAGATGAGAAGGTAGTCTGCAATTCACCATGCAGACCGGCCCCGCGCTGTCGATGCGATGTGAACAAGAGTAGGCCCTGACTTGCCTGGTTTTGGGACGCGGGGCTTGACCGGGGAGAAGAGTGAAGTCGGGATTATCGGTCTCTGTGATAACTGTGAGGCAGCGCAAGCAAACCACGGGCAGTCAGAGGACTGTCTGTCAACCAAATGCTTCAAAGCGGCCTGGTGCGAGGGCGTACCCCAGCCGGTGGATGGCGCCAGCAAAGCCGAGTCCAACGCAGCCAGCGGCATGATAAGAAGAAGGACAAAGGCCACGGTCGCCATTTGTCGAGCTCGCACGGCCTGTTCCAAGAAAGAAACAATTGTGAATGACACGCACGTGTGGAAAAAACAAGTGGGCCAGGCCACGAGAGAAAAGCAAAAGCGCAGGTCAAGTGCAGCGTACGTCGAAGAGAGCCATGAAGGCGGTCTGCGGTTGAGTTATGGCACCGCTCGCGTGTCTAACACAAAGAAGCGAGAAAATGCATGAAAAGTGGCGGCGGGCGCAAACCAAACGAGAATGCGGCTCGTCATGCGGCGAGAAAAAACTGCTGCTTGAACATCAAGAGCAGACCAGGAGGACGGCAAAAAAAACAAAAAAAAAACCAAGACGGCAGGGTTGCTGGCAGAGGGGCGGCCATAAGGGCAGCCTCGCCTCGCTGAGAAAGGCGTGCCAACGTGGCATGCACACACCCCAAACGTTTTAGAAGCATTTGCAGCTTCAACATGGGACAGAGAAAAGGGGCACAAACGGCAACCCAACAGGCAGCGCGCGTCACGCCAACCAAGCAGGACCTTTGACAGCCCTGTTGAGCTTGTTTTGGAATGCTGGCAAAGGCCGTTGTGCCTCAGGCTGCCATTGCGGTGACGCGTGCGGGCTATCCTAGTTTGGCCCCCTTTGCTCGCACAACAACAACAACAACAACAACAACAACAACAACAACAACCAGGCACACACACACACACACACACAAGCAGCAGCAGCAGCAGCAGCAGCAGCTGGCTCACCTAGAGTGCAGCGCACGAGCACAGCAGCCCGTGTGGATATGTATAAGTGACCCAGCGGTCCGCTGGACAGCTGGGCACCCTAACTACCCTCAGAGATATCCCAGAAAGGGCCGATCAGAGACAAAACGGGGGCCCAGCAGGTCAAACGGCGCTGCCGTTTCACGTCCTGCTTTCAGCTTCGCACCCCCCACACACATGCACACACACTAAAAAAAGAAAAATCAGAAAAAAAACCCAAAAAAAAACATAAAAAGAGAGAGAGAGAGAGAGAGAGAGAGAGAGAGAGAGAGAGAGAGAGAGAGAGAGAGAGAGTGTGTGTGTGTGTGTGTTTAAGTTGTTGTTCACTGTGTGTGTGTGTGTGTGTGTGGTGTGTGCGTTAACGTTCCAGTGAGGCTCGTTGACCAAACAACACTCTTCCACTCTCATCTAGCTACCAGATGAAAGTTCTCAAAGACATTTGGTAGTGCCTGCCACGACTCATCCGCTATTTGTCAGATACTTTTGTCAGACTAAATCATGCGTGGGGCGTTGACAACCAAACACAACATTTTGCGCCCTCTACTCTCTCTCTGCTCTCTGTTCTCTCTCTGCTCTGTCTGCTCTGTCTCTCTGCTCTCTGTGGCTGCGGGCGTGTTTTGCTGGCTGGCTGGCTGGCTGGCTGGCTGATCGTTGTTGTTGTTGTTGTTGTTGGAGTATGCAGGTCAGGGTTTGAAACACAAAACACAAAACGCGATACAGTGCCGCGCTGACGGATGAGGTGGTATTGTGAGCGGCCTTATCAAGCCGGCGAGCAAAAGGAAGTTGGACGGCTGTGAAACGGCCCTTGCGCTGTTTCTGTTCCTTGCCACCACCAGCCGCAGACCCGAGCAGGCCTCGACATGGTGTCCGTTAGTCCTGCCCACCTTATGCCACGGCATTGAGCAAAAGCCTTGATCCAGCAAGCCCCATTTCTCAAACGCACTTCGGGAGACGGCTCTGGCATTGTCCAATTCACGTTGCCCGAGAGCCACCGCTGCTGTTCATTTGGTCTTGAGCGTAGACCGGCGCGATGGGCTGCACCTCGAGCCTAGCCACGGCCGTGGACGCCAACTCGGTCGAGCGCGCGTTGGAAATCGAACCCGGTCGGCCACCCTCGCCCCCCACCCGACATCGGCCCCCGCCCGCCGCACCGTCCTCTGGGCGCCATGCACGCTCCCCGCGCCGAAATTCCATCCCAACGCAAGCCGAGATCGAGGCTCGAAATCTGCATCACTCTTTCGACGATGGCAGCACAAGTGATGATCATACCCACGCCCGATCTGAGGCACAAGCAAAAGAAAAAGACCTTGACAATGCCCCACCCACGCCACCCCTCTCTCCACTTCCCTCCCCGCTCGCTCGACCCCAACGCAGCATCCTCAAGCGACGTGTCGTGCCACCGGCCACCAATGAAGCTGCAGCTCCGCCTCCGGACGAGCCGAGTCGCTCATTTCGTGTCACTTTTGCCGCAACCAATGAGTATGCGTCTGCCCCCGGTTCTTGCTTCAGCTCAAAGGCATCCTCTGCCGCACCGACGCCCACCAGTCTGATGGCTTTTGACGATGAGCCCCACGCTGGCCTACATCGCCACGATACGCCCATGCCTGCGACCCCGGCCCCACCCGAGCTGACACCAGAACCATTGACCCCCCCACCACCAGGATCCATCACCCCAGAAACTGACTCGAGCTCTCCAGCCCTCACTCCCGATGTTCCCTCATCCAACGCCCTCACTCCCGATGTCCCCTCATCCGATGCCCTCACCCCTGATGCTCCGGCATCGCTTGAGGGCACTGGTGCACCACAAACCAATGACGTCCCACCTGCAGACGATGCCCTTGCCGCAACGCCCCAAGCGGTGGTGCCCCCACCTGCTACACCGGCGTCGGGCTTTGAAGCGCCACATGACCTGGCTGGATTTACCAACGCCGAAGAGTACGAGGCCGCCCTCCTCAAACATGCTCGAACCCAATCCGGTATGTGTTTTATCCCCACGTCTTCTCCCCACGCGAGCTTTGAAGACTGGGTTTGACCTTATTGCGGCCTTTGAAGACTGGGTTTGACCTTATTGCGGCCTTTGAATATGCCGTCTTTCCCGATTTGTAGGCGCGGCCAACCCGGGTGACTACAGCGAGGCTGTCGGGGGCTCGCAAGCTGAGTACGAGCAAGAAAAGGACTTTGAAAACGTGATGACTAACAAAGAGGGACAACAAGACGCTGGTAGGCATGCGCACCACACCCTCGCTTTGCCACGATGGGGCTTGACTCTTCATGCTTGGTTGGCCCGGCTGCCGATGAAAGCTCATGCCGGGTTTGGTAATTTAGGCCCGTTTGCGCTTCGACTGGTAGATGAAGCAGAGCGCAGTACCGGGCGGTGGCTGCGCACCTTGAATCAGCAAGGCCTCTGTTTTCTTTACGTTCACACCGTGACGCACGAGATTCGCGGTACCAAGCCCGACGACTACGTGGACGATGATGATGGATTGGCAGGTGCACCCTCGGTGGCTGAAGCCAACCAGCACCTTTTGCCGTCGCCACTACCCACCTGGGTCATGACGCATCATGATTGGCGACCCTTGCTCCGTTTCGCAAAGGCGATTTTGCAACAAGTAATCGTCATGCTCGTCCCTGCACCTGGGGATTACGAGGCGCTGAGCAACGACCTGCTAGAGGCCGGCCACGTTGTTATCAATACGCGGCCCCTCGCCCTTCCCTTTGCACGAACACGCATCAAGGTGCCAGATGCACTGGATACAGCTCGACGCCAGCTCTGCGCCGCGCTGCGAGACGGACAAACTGTAGTCTTGGACCTTCATGATACATGTCCTGCCTTTCGGGATAAAATCTGGAGCAACAATAAATTCTGCAACCAATTACCACCGCAGCTCTTGGATGCCCGCGACCGAGAGTTTTACCACTCCGTCTTTGATCGCGCAAAGGGAGATGGACCCCCATCCATGCACGAGGGTGAGTGATTCAAGTTCAAACCTCTTGCTTGGTGTGATGTCTCGAACCATACAATGCTGGGATGCTTGAGCATCAGTTGACAAACATCCTCGCGTGAATCTCTTTTTTGACAGGTTTCCGGGCCGTCGTGCTCGCCCAGATGAGTGAGCAGCAGGCACGTCGAGAATTGCAGGCAGAAGTGCCCACGACGGAATTGGCTTACGTGACGCTTGCAGCGCAGCCACTGCAGCCCCTATGCTACCCCACCCATCGGGTACGCTGCCGCCTTGATGTGATGTCTTTTTGTTTGCTTGCTTGGTAGAAGGGGGGGGAGGTCGCTTGTGTGTTTGCTTGCTTTTGCTGTTTACCCCAACGACATTTGGTCCAGGCATATGTGGTTACGTTCTCATCAAAGCATGTTGTTACAGCTGGGGGAGCTGGTAGGCGAGCTGCGTGAGCGTCAATCGACAAAGCCATGGCTGCTGATCAACGCCGACTCGGCCACCTTGCATGTTCTTCAATTCCTGCCAGTGTGTCTCTTCTTCCGATGCTTACCCAGCACAAGACTATCGAATGGGCTTTCGTCTCACCTTGCAATCGCTTTGATGCAGGACGTCGAAGTCCTCTCCGGTCTCGTGCCCCTGAGTGATGCAACGTTGCTGGAGAAACAGCAGCGCAAAGTTCGACGCACGGTATGTGCCCAACGTTGATTTGTTGACTCACGCTCAAAGTTTCCAGCCCCCGCGTGCCCACCAGGCGAGTTCTCGAATTACTCGCACATGCTGATGCGGGTGTGCGTAGCTGGCTCTGGCATTGCGTCATGGAAAATTGCTGGTGATCGAGGCTGGACAAGACCCGGGCTGGACGCTCACGGATCTGGCGTCTTGGTGTAACCTTCCAATCGCCTTCTTTCTAGGTAAGCATGCCCCGTCGCTGAATTTATGGATTTGATGCCAGCGCTCGGTCTCGCTGCAAGCTCATTGCGAGCTTGGGTCACCTATTTTGCGCTTTGTTTGTTGCGGCTGCAGGTGCCATGGAGCCCCAGGAGGCTGCTGAGCAGCTTTTTGAAGCTGAGGATCGTGAGCACGGCATGGCGGTGGTCCGAGCAGGATTTGGTCTGATATTTTCCACCAATCACGCGACGTCGCATGGCGAGGCTGTTGTACAGCTGGCGCTGACGGTCCCGTGGACGGCGCTTGCGGGGTGTGTGGCTCTGCAAGCAGCTGAATCCGACGCGTAGCGGCCAACCAACTTTAGGTTCAGCGTTTGGCCGAGCCGAATTTTTACAGATCATCCATGTTATGACAATGTGCACATAGTAGAGGCCATCTCATGATGAAAAAGCTACAGACGAACCGACCACACCAGATCAAATCAAAGTCGCCATTTGTCCTGCCGTTCTGAAATCGAAATCGATCTAATGAAGTTCAGACTAACCTAAAATCTCAGGTTTTGATCGGTCGTCGAGATGAAAAGCTGCGCCTGGGCCAGACATTATCTGTGGAATCATGAGGACAGTGTATACATGTCATCTCACGCGTTTGTCAAGGTGGATGTATCCACCTGAGCTCTTCCTTTGACAACACAAAAAAACAGGAAAAAAAAAAAAAAAAAAAAGGGGAAATTGTCATCAAATACAAGTGGTAGTCCGTTTCAACATGAAATTGGCGAAATTTTTTTTTCGAATTTTTTTTCGCACACACACACACACACACACACACTTTTATTTTTTTTGTTTCTTTGACGCTCTTCCGGCGGTTTCGGCGTGAAAGGAGCCAGAGGCAGTCGCTGTCAAATAAGCAGGGTTGGGGCGCCACAGGCATCAGCTTGAAGCTTGGATTTATTGGGTCCTTGTCCTTGTGCTGGGTGGTGTTGTTGGCGGCACCGTTCCAATCGGATAGCAAACTTGGCGGTCCAGTGGTGTTTGGTGACGCCGGCACGATGGCGATGACATCACAAGTGCGCATTGTCTTGATTGGCGACCGTCATGTGGGCAAGACGTCACTCATCACCTCGCTCATGAAGGAAAAGTTTGAGGAGGAGGTTGTGCCTGTTCTTTCAGAGCTCACCATTCCCGCAAGTGCCATGCCCGAACCCGTCACGACCCACATTGTGTATGTCCTCTCGAGCCTGCTCCTTTACCTCGTACAATCATGTGTTTGAACCGGCTCGCGTGGCTGTTCCATTTCATTCTGATCCTGGCTGAAGGGAAATAATGATACCTTAACCTATTTCTCTCGCACTAATCGCACGTACTCAGGGACACGTCCTTGCGCATCCAAGATGAAGAGGCCATCATGGCCCAAATCCGAGAGGTGTGCGCTCACGGCTGGATGGGACGGATATGAGTTTTAGAGAGGCGCTCTGCTAACCGCCTCATGTGGCACTCATGTATCATGACTGAAATGCAATGGTGTACATAGGCGGACGTGATTGGACTCGTCTACTCGCTTGCCTCGCCCGAGACCATGGAACGGCTTCAATCGTACTGGATGCCACTTGTGCGCCGCTCCGTGCAGAATGACACCAAGCCCGTCATTGTCATTGGCAACAAGGTTGGGCGACGAGGTTTTGGATGGGGAAAGAGACTTTCCTTTGCTTACCGGTTTGCTCGATTCCTTGCGTGTGCTCGGTTGCACAGAGTGATCTCTCCAAGACCGGTCCTGCCAGCCAAAGCGAGCGCCTGCGCAAGTACATTGAACCTCTGATGACCACATACATCGAGGTGGAAACCAGTATCGAGGTGCGGTGGCATGTTTTTTGGCCATTCCTACCCTGTTGTCAACCTGAAGGACGCCCAGTGCCTCACAGCTCCCTTGTCTGCTTCTCTGCCAAATGTTGCTTGCGTGTGCCATCATGTTGCCAGTGCTCCGCGAAGGCTCTGACTGGAATCAGCGAAGCGTTTCGCTACGCGCAAAAGGCGATTCTGTATCCCATTGCTGCCATCTATCATCCCCAGTAGGTTTGGCGTGTCGCCACATTTCTGCTTCTGGTAGTACATTCGTTTGAGAGTAGCACAGCTCAAATTCGCCCATGCCACGCCTCTGGTGTAGGCGCTACGAGCTCACGCCAGCTGCTAAAAAGGCAATTGCACGCATTTTTTTCATCTGTGATACAGATCGTGATGGTTTGTCCACGTCATGTCAAACCGTTTGTCCAACGCGCAGGGTCCCCGAACTCCTGGTCCGGGCTCACTCGCCCTGTCGTCGCATCCTGTTGCCAGGGCTCTTGTCCGAGGCGGAGCTCAACTCCTTTCAAGCTACCGTTTTTGGTCAACCTTTGAGCCAAGCCGAGCTCGCGTCGATCATCAATGTGCGTTTATCCTTGTGCATGACACACCCGTGGCGGTCTGCACTCACCGCTTGTATCTGGTTTGCGCAAATCGTCAATACCTTCAGATTGTCCAGTCATCCCTGCCACAAGGGGTCGAAGATGATGCGCTCACCTTGGAAGGCTTCGAGGCCGTGTTGAAGCTCTTTGTGGAGCGCGGTCGCTTGGAAACCACGTTTGTGATTGCTTTGACCTCTCTGAAGAATATCTGATCACTATAGCCTCTCACTGCTTTTGTGCCACGGGTCGCATCCTGAACTCTATGCACGCAAACAGGTGGCAAGTGCTTCGTCGGTTTGGATATCAGAACGACCTCACGCTCTTGCCAGCATACATCCGCCCCGAGTATGTCTTCGTCTTGGCGTTCTCCGGCCTTGCATGCAACGTGGTGACCTCACGGCCAGCGTTTGCTTGGTCACATGCGACTTAGGCTCGAGGTGTGCGAAGATGCTATCGCCGAGCCTTCAGAGCAGGCCATCAACTTTTTAACACAATTGTTCAATCAGCACGATGAAGAAGGTCGCGACTTTTTGGACAAAAACCAGCTCGATCACGTCTTTGCTCCCACCCCAGGCATGCCCTGGGCCAACGACATTCTTGTCGAAGCGCCCGACGCCAGCATGTCATTGAGCAACTTCCTGGCGCTCTGGCGGTGCGTTGTTATCTCGTGTGGCACTGAGATCCGTTGAGAAAGTCTAAACCAGCCTTGCCTTCTGCACGACCTGAGCCTTCTGCACGGCCTGATGCCCGATCATCCCACTGTTAATTTGCTCGAACAGGTATTTGTGCTACGTCGACGTGGGACTGTTTATGGAGTACATGGCGTATCTTGGCTTTACACTCTGCAGCCGTCAGCTGGAGCCCAACGTGGATGGGGATTCAGTATTGCAGGCCGTGAAGGTTTCACGTAGTCGACGGGATGAACGTGCGGCTGGCGTGTGCAACCGTGATCTCTTTATTTGCCGTCTCATCGGTCGCCGCGAGAGTGGCAAGGTGTGTTGATGCCGCTCACGCACACAAACACACCGGATGAGGAACGGGTCCTGCAAAAAATGCAAACTCACTGCTGTGCTGCACTGCCTTGGAAAACAGTCCACCTTGCTGCAGGAGTTGGCCAATAGCGGAACTCGGGCAATTCTGGGTCGCCGACGGGGACGACGTATTGCGCTGGGTGCTATTACTACCAACAAGGGCCCTCGCTATCTTTTGGTTCGTGCAGCCTCGTGTTAGCTTTGCCATTGTCAAAATGAAAAAATATGGGTCCAGGCTCATGGTCTGGATGTGCCCATTGACACTGGTGGTTTTAGATGGAGGAGTTCAGCATGGACATTGGGGCCTCTGAGGCCGTGGCCTCAGCCGAGTGTGCAGCACAGTGTGACGTCGTTTGCTTTGCTTACAATCAACATGATGGAAGCAGTTTTCAAGACCTTGTTGAGCTGGCGGTAGGTTGAATCAGCGTGGCCGCGAAACCTGAACCCCTTCCCGGTCATATATTTTGTATTCTTAGTCTTTTCAAGTCAGCCTGTGTTCTAAAATTCCAATGTTTTAATTTTGGTGTGGCGGGCGCGAGCAGGAGCAAGTCGTTCGCCCAGGACCCCACGTCATGTTTGCGGCTTGCAAAGGCGATCTCAGTGCGGCAGTTCAGGTTGGTCCATCGCTCCTTTCATTCTGTCCGCATCTGCGAATCGCTGAGCTTTGCCAAAAATAATGAAACGGTGCTCTTGTTGACTGTCAACCTACAGGACGTGTGCGACCAACCTGTGGACTACTGCCGGGCGCACAAGCTTCCAGCGCCCATTGTCGTCAGTGGTGTGGACCGCGATGCACACCCACCTCAGCAGCTGTTTGACGCGATTGGCAACACCTCTCTGTTTCTGTACGTCAAATGCTTGGGTGCACAAGAGTTGGTGCAGGCGTTTCACTCTTCCCCGCCATGAGGCGAGTTTTTAAAGCATGGAAGAGTGTGATGGCGCTAGACACTCATTTCCTTTTTGGGGCCTCACTTGACCTTGTGTAGGGCGGCGCCCAAATCGTCACTCGACTCGAGCAGCGGGCTTTTTGCCAGTGCACCCCTCCGCACGTTGGGTGCCATTATTTTGTTGGGTGCCATCGGCTACGGTTCCTACCGACTCATCCAGAGGTCAGTAAGCGTCGGCAGGTGCCCAATCACAATGCTCTGTTCGTGAAATCGGTCTCTGATGTGACGGCGCTGCCAATGGCTTTTTAGGCGGGTTGGTGCAGCATGAGAGCATGAGGGGTACATGTACAGCCGTAGCCGCGCTATGTCTAGATCTGTTTGTTCTGTGATAGAAAAATTGCAACGCTTGACTATCATTGCCGCTGATGAACACTGTTGACACCTCAATAATGAATACCATCCTCACTTTCATGATTCTTCGTACTGTACCAAAGGCGACCAAGGGTGCAGGCCAAGGATGAGCGGGAATAATTGAGATTATTGGGGTTGATGCGCTGGGGGTTTGATTAACTTGTAAGTCACAGAAACATGGGGTTTCACGAACGGAGGAGGGAACAAAAAAGTCGCGAGTCTGGCGGGCGTGTCTAGTTGGCCCATGCCGCCAGATTGGCCAACTCGTCGTCGTCTTCGGCTTGTGCTGTCGCTTGGGGCGTAGATTGAGGCACTGGGAATGTATTGCGACGGGGAAAAGACAGTCAAGGGTACTGAGATGAGCTGTTCGGAAACGCGCAAGAGCCGACCACAATGCACATGGACCAACCTGCAGGCATGTCAAGTGGTGTATCAGGCATGGCCATGCCAACATCTGTGTCAAGAAGTTCATCTTGCAAGTCACTCTCCAGCTCCGCGTCCAGCTCGGCCATAAGATCATCTTCATCCACGGGGGCACCGAGAATGGGCTGGCTCAGCATATCTGTAACTTCTTCTAACCTTTGCATCTGTAACACAAGCCCACGGCGATAAGCATATCTGTGTACGGAAAAAAAGAGGGGGGGGAAGCTTTTGTAGTGTCGCCTTTGTGGTGTCGCGGAAGGAACCTACATCTTCCTGGATGTCATCCAGCTCGTCAGCGAGCTTGTCTGCATCAATACCTGTGGCAAAGGGTAAAGGGTTAGCGCTCGCAAGCTAGCAGCATGGCCAAAAAACAACAAAAAAACAAATCAAAACAGGGCTCAACGAGGGTAACTAGGCGCAGCAACCCACCTTGAGCCCGAATGGCTTGTTGACCAGCACTCATGGCATCCACTGCGCCCTTGTTCAGCGAGGCAGTTTCCAAACTAAAACGCTGCGCTTCCATGTTCTCAATAATGCCTTCAATCTGCTGCATTTGCTTCTCCAGGCGGGCCTTGCGCTTCATAAAAGGCATGGCTTTTTGCTTATTGCCCTTGTTGGCTTTGACGGCGGCCTTGGCCTGGGCCAGCTCCTGGGCGATGCGCTTCTCAATTTGCTCCTTCTTCTTGCCAAAGGCGTCAATTTGCTGTGATGATTAATGAAGGGAAGATGTCAAAAAATGGGTTGAGACCATGCCTCGCGCTGGTAGCAGCAGCTCGAGATGGCCGGGGCAGGTTATGTCGAGGCTAGCGCCACAAAGTAAGCTGACCTCATTAATCTGCTGGATGGCCCCAGTCAGCTTGGCCTGCGCGTTGGGGTCGACATGTTGCTTGCTTTGGCCGCTGGAGCCGCCAAACAGTTTGGTCATCAGACTCATGATGGCGTTGACAGTGACAAATGTCAGAGCTGGTAGAATGTCAAAGCCGGCGGTGGTGGTGCAGTAGCGCGCGGCAAGACTGGTGGGTACCGGAAATAAGCCACAAGGTATTGTGTGAGGCAAGACGTGACGCGGACTAAGGTTATCTCACATTGACAATAACAATGACACCAGAGGACGAGTTGTACGCGCACATGGCTCACCACAACAAGGACTTGCCAGAACCGTGTACGCTTGGACGCAACAACGATCCGAGGCTGCAAAGACCCAACAAGCACTGATCGTCACTGCGGGCCGACTTCAATGGATCAACAACGACACGGGGAAAAGCCAGGCGCGATGAGGCAGAAGCTTGTTCAACGAAGAGTGATCCACGCGTAACGGTTCGGGGAAATGACGTCCTCACTCCCTTGCCACCCATGAAGCTATGCCTGCCTGCTAGCCTTCCATTTCCTCTCCCGGAACAACAACAGAACCGCCCCCGCCGACAAGGAGACACACCTCTTCGCTGCTGCTGCGGCGGCGGCTCCACACTGACACTGACTGACTCTGAGCGGCTGTTTGTGGAAACGGCTTGAAAGCAAAAACCAGATCCAGAGGAAGAAAAATGCGCAGTTGGAACAAAAGAACGAAACAAAAGGAAAGTGGTAATGGAGGGTGTCTGTGCACCATTTTACCATTTTAGAGAGAGAGAGAGAGAGAGAGAGAGAGAGAGGCAGAGAGACAGAGTGACAAAGAGAGAGAGAGAATTGGTGAAGTAAAGAGAGAGAGAAGAAAGAGAAAGAGAGAGAGAGATAGAGAGATTGAAGAGAGAGAGAAAGAGAGAGAGGAGGAGAGAGAGAGAGAGAGAGAAAGAGAGAGATAGAGAGAGGTGGAGCCGTCTTCCGCACACACACGCAGCGCATTTGGTTACCAAGATAAGCTGACACATGTAACTGATGCATTGACGGTCTCAACTGATGTTGTCAACAAATCAATTTTTTCTTTTGTTCTCGAACTGTGGAATGGTTGGCTGTCTGTCTGTGTGACCCGTCAAGGCTCGAAGTGAATAAAAACTGCAACTCCTGCATTATTATTTATTTCGACGCTTGGCGTGAACTTTGCGCCGACCTCCGCCCGCGGCCTTGTTGCCAGAAGTGCCCATCGAAAATCCACCTGCACAAACACAGCAGACACCGGTATCTGAGCCATTTGCGGCAAGCATGTTCTGTCAAAGAAGAATGAAAGAAAACAAAAGAAAACGTACCAGCGCCATTTGTCGCTGCGCCACCTGCACCAAACTGAAACCCTCCTGCTACAACAAGACAGAGGGACAGAAAAAAGGAGAAAAAGGAGAAAAACAAAAATGTCACAAACGATGGCCAGAAAGCAAATGAGCGTGACCACTCGAGTAGATCGGGCAAGCGAAGGGCCACCACCAGAGTTCACAGATGGCACAAGATGATTGAGCACGAGTTGCAATACATACCGGCATTGCCCGAGGCAGCACCTGTGTTTGCGCCCGCACCAAAACCAAAGCCGCCTGCGTTGGCCCCTGGAGCGGCCCCAAAGGCACCCCCGCCAAAGCTTGAAGCTCCAGCCGACGGCGCTGCGCCGGCTCCAAACTGGAAACCTCCGCTGGCTGCTGGCGCCGCGCTGGTGGCACCCGCAGCGCCAAATCCAAACGAGCTGCTAGCAGGTGCAGCAGGTGCCGTGGCGGCCCCAAAGGCAAAACCACCTGCTGCGTTTGATGTCGCAACTGATGCCGCATTGCCACCAAAGCCGCCAAATGCGCCAACTGGCGCTCCAGCGGTCGGCACTGGCGTCGAAGAAGGCGAGGGCTCTGTGCTCATGCCTCCCGTGTCTCCACCAGCGGCATTGGATCCGAACGAAAAACCAGCGCCCGTGCTGGCGGCAGGTTTTTGACTGTTCTGAGCTCCAAAAGCAAAGCCCTGTGTCGGAGCACTGCTGGCCGCGGGCGCAACTGAAGTCGCCGTGGCACCAAACTGGAAGCCACCCTGGTTGCTTTGATAGGCAGCGGTAGAGGAGGGCGCTGTAACACCAAACTGAAAACCAGTCGAAGGCAGGGATGCTGGTGCTGATGTGCCAGCCGCAGCGGTTGAGGCCCCAAAGGAAAAGCCTGTCGGTGCAGACGACGCCGTCGCTGGCGCTGGCGCCGGTTTGCTTCCAAAATTAAACGGAGCGCTTGGCGTGGCAGCGTTTGATGTTGTGGTGGGGGTGGCCCCAAACGAAAACCCTTTTGTCTCAGGCTTGGTCGCAGCAGCTGACGTTGCACCAAAACTGGACGGGGTGGAGGCGGTCGTGGTACTTCCTGCA